TGAGATTGAATAAAAAAATATATTTCGTACCAAAAGCGGTATTTTTTTAACCAACATGTACATTTTTTTTATATCTATATATATATACAATAAATAAATTAATTATAATTTATAAATGTATAGTCTCAGGTTCTAATATAATATTTTAATTTGGCCAATTCATGCGCTAATACTTGTTTTGAACTCAATATAATTAAATGTTTTGCTAATTTCTATAAAAAAGAACTATACAATTTTCAGAAAATTTTGCATGAGAATTAAAATTTTCGCTTGATACCAGCATACAATCACAAAGAAAAACTCCCAATAATTTCGTGCAATAAAACACTAAAAATTTTTTTGAGAACAAAAGACTTAAGAAGCAAACTTTTCTTCAGCCATAAGCATAAACACTACAATTATAGCTAAGAAAAGTTTCATAAAGAATTTCAAACTGCAAGAAAAGTCGGTTTTTATTTATTGGTTCTTAATGAGGTTTCATTTACCAGCTTTAAAAAAAAACAAAAACTCATTCTAGCAAACCCTTACTGAGGAAAGCTAAAAAAAGCACACCGAGGAAACGAATAAAAAAATTCTTAATCGTAAAATTTACTTACCTTACTATTACTGCAATAATATATATCGGACATTTTGTTGCTGTAGTTTAATATTTCACTTTCGTATGTATCATGAAGCGTTTATTGCAAGTGCAATATTCGTGTAAAAATAGCTCTTTCACCAAAAATATTTCCTTGTTTGTATTATTTATTAATTTTTTTTTTTGCTTATTTTTTTCTTCTCTTTAAAGTTTTTTTTTTGTTTTCTTTTTTCGTTTTTCTTTTTAATTTCGCCGAAAAGCTTTCTTTTTTCTGCACAAATGAGAAAGGTCTGGTAGTGTTACACAAACAAAACAATTAAATTTTTCATTTATACAATAGTAGATTTTTAGTTACAGTATTTAGCATACATATATATATATATATATATATATATATGTATGTATGTTAGTTTGTATGTAAGTGAAATGCCTGTAAGTTTTCTTTCAAGGGCATTAAGTATTTTTAATACATACAAAGCTACAATGAAATTTGAAATTATAACACAAACAAGAAGCAATGCGAAATTATTAACAACACAAATAATGTACAAAAAAAAAAACAATAAACAAAAAACACTCAAGTCAGCAATAATGCGGTTGACGGCAACTTTCTACTTCAGCGCGCACATTGCAATCCGGTAACAGTAGCAGCAGCAGCAGCACAATAACAACAGTAATACAGGAGTTACTTTACTACTACAATAATCAGATATGCACGTATGTACAGATATATGTAGCACGGTTGACAGCAGGCTCTAAGGCATCTAAGCTGAGGCAACAACAATACACTTTTCACCGGGAGGGAAAATCGTTGACGTGCATTTACTTCAATCAGCGAACTGTTCATATACATACATGTACGTGTGTGTTTATGTATGCAATCGCCGGTAACAAATCAAATATATGTACATATGTATTTCATATAAATAATGTTTTTTTTTTTATATTATATATTTATTACAAGCCGATTGAGAGAATAATTTACGAGCAGATTATTGGTCAATACAGCCGTAACCAAACATGCTTAGATGCATTCACACAATTATATCTACATATGTATGTATGTGTAGAAATATCTAAGCACTTTTGCTATGTTCTATATACTAAGGCAAGTGCTGTTGACTTTGTGACAGGTTGCTGACGTTAATTTCTACTTATTGTTTACATTTCTCTTCTCTACTCTACTCTACTCTACTCCTCTTCTTCTTGTTCTTTGTTATTGCACTCGTGCACAGTACATACATATATGTTGCGTTGACAGGTTTATAATTTCACACAATTCACCACACAATGTTCAGCTCACATTTCACATTTCGAATTTTAGAAGATTTTCTTCTGTTGTTGCCTTAGAATTTCACTCATAAATGCACTGTAACGAAAGGTGCACGCAAAAGCATTAAGAACAATGGACTTTCAGGTGCATGCACATATGAGTATGTATGTACGTAAATTGAGAACAGTACGCACAGCTTGGCAAGGCACAAATTAATGATAAACAATATTGTTAAGTTTGTTCGCTGCTGCCAATTAGCCGAGCAGAACACCCCATTTTGAATGCAACGGTGTTACAAGTGGCGGTAATACGATACCGGATCTGACGCGCAGGGATTCGCTTGAAAACAGGTCAAAACAAACACTAAATAAACGTACGTAATATGTAAGCCCGCTAAATATGTTCATACATACATATGTATATTGATTACAATAAACGTAGAATTTGCTGACACGGTGTACACTATTTAACTGTAACTGATACTGTTTTTAACGCGCAATCAGAAAACTTAAAACTTCATCATCATTTGGTCGTAACGATGACTTTTCCAAATAAAAAAAAAGAAACCGCGCAAAGAAACCGCTTAACTCTGCCAATTCGCACGCGCAACCACTACCGACTCCGTATAAAGTTCGCAACGAACTGAAAGTACACAATTCAAGAAACTACCAAACCAAGAAATACGCCAGACAACGGCCAATAACAGCCGTCAGCCGTCGTCAGCAGCAACGCAGCTGTTTGTGGCCGCAGCAGCAAAGTCGCAGTCAACGTAGCCTCTTACTTTTTTAGCACTCACTTTTCCAGTTTTGTTGTAACAATACTCGCGGGCTGTGCTGTCGAAAACTGCGCCTCTCAGTTGATTGGCAACATTTTTAGTCGCGTTCACTTGGCGCAGTGTAGCCGATATTTAGGTTTAGTAGTTGGCAGCAGCAAAGATTGTTAAGATTGCATTCAATTTAGTTGGTTTGTTTGTTGTTTGTGGCGTGTGAGTTCGGATGCAACGTGTCTGACCGACGGTTTGATATAAAATATGTTTTGCCAATATGTTTTAAAAACCGCCGCTGCTGGCTAGAATAAAATCCAGCCGACAGGACCAAATTTTGACCACTTTTCATAGCAAATAGCTCCGTATGTCAACAACATCACGTCGAATTTTCTCTTCCAAGCCGTCAATCGTCTCTGGCTTATCTGCGCAGACAAGCGATTTCACGTAACCCCACAAAAAATAGTCCAACGGTGTTAAATGGCTCTATTTTGGTGGTCACGACGCGGGATGATGGTGTGGTCGCATTGATTTTTGAAGAAATATGGGCCAATGATTCCTCTGTCCATAGAGAGCGCCAAAGAGTAACTTTTGTGGACGAAACGGTGTTTGAGCGTCATCGCTGAATAAGACTTTCTTGTAAATGGGGATTGGTGACCATCTCATTTTGAGCCCATTTGATGGTCGTTTGGCTTCCATTCTTACACGAGCTAGATTTTGTAAGTCCACAAGCCAAGATCCTTCCGCAAAATCATCCATAAATGGAATGATCCAGCTTTAACTGTTATGCGTGGCGGCGAACGGATTCATAGGAGGCTTTGTCGATACTCTGATCCACAGCTGCAATAGCGTCTTCGGTGCGTACTGGATATTGGACTTTTACTTTCACCAAACACAAAGAGAAGACAGGGCATCTACAAGCTAGATAAAGTGGAACTGGCTGAGTGCAGTGGAGAAAGTGGACGACACGCCAGAGCAGTAACTTTGTTTATGTCGAGCTTTCAGCCGATCGAAATGTCATATTTTCCACGACGCGTATGGGTGGTGCAACACAATCAGTTTAGTTACATAATGGCTTAGTACGACCGCCCGCTGAAGAATTCTCAACCTTCCCTTTCAGCCAACAAGTTAGGTATCCGTTTTTAACCAAGTAGAGGAATATATAAGAACGGAAATCGCTGATTAGCCTCCAAGTTTTACTGGATTGTCATGTTCGTTTACGCCCCGACTAAAGAGATGAATTATGCAACCAAATATGTTTTATATTGGCGTCTTAGACGCACCTAGAAGCGTTGTTAAAATCGAGCTCGGGGAAATATGGTTGTCAGTAACACCAGACTTCCAACTCAAGAAAACTCATCAAATTAAATGGCGAGAATGACGCCAAAAAGCTGTAGTCGCAGCGAACAGGCAGCCTGTTTTCTAGTCCCCTTAAACTCTTGCTGAGAGTATCTATCAGTTATTAAATATAAGAGACCTATGAAACACCCTCTCACTTCGTGCCAGAAAAAGAGCTCGTACCATGAGAAATGTCGTAGAGCAGTGGAGAGAAAACAGACTGCCTACCTCACGACGTTCCAGCTGACCACAACACCTGTGGCGAATTACAAGAGGTTTCAAGACGGGAGCATGCTCATATAGGAACCTAGGAGCTAAACTGGTATCCCATGACCAGAGCATACTAATTTGATGAAGTAAATACTTTTTCCGCCTGCTGCCCGGAGATAGAGAACCCGAATTTCCATCGATGGTGATGCAGAAGCTAGAAAACCATTACCTGACTACGGCGATACTTAAAGAATAACAAAACAGCGAAACTCGCTGACTTAACGGCTGGGCTATTCAGAAATGACGGCAAAGCATTAACATAATGCATGTATCAGCTTCTTAGCAGAATATGAACGAAAGCAGATCGACGATAGGTTCCAATTTGCTCTGTCCCATTCATAAATAAGAGATTGCACTGTCTGCGCCAATGATCATATCTAGAGTACTGTATAATCTCTCTTATTTATTAAGTCCACCAACTGATTGGACCTTCTTAGTATGGCTGAAGACCACCATAGACCAGATATTCATTCATCATGCAGTATTTGGTTGCTCAGAACAACGTAAAAACCAAACTCTGCAAGTCGCTCATCGTCATCGTCGTGCAAAAGCTTTAATTATGTAGATATTCGCTGAGTCGGCGCTCGGAGTTTTCGAGGGATCTAACTATTTTAGGCTGGATATGTCATGTCGTTCGAATGAATGCTTTGATAGGTGGAGTTAGAGGATAGATCAGTGCCAAGTGGCACCGCACTTTTAAGAGAAAAAACGGCTGCACTCTAGCCAGAAGAAGGAGAAGAGTTCGATATTAATGGTTCCTAGCAATAAATTCTAACACCTTTTTCCTGTTTTTTGGAAGCAATCTTGCGTATATTCTAAAATCTCATACAAATTCTGTATTCATTGAATTCTCAAAATATTTCCCCCATGGGCTTCAATGTGATCTCGTGCACCTAGAAGAGCGTTGATTTAGAACGTATTAAATTTTTCATTTTACTTTTTTTTTCAGTAACCCACCTGTACATGAGGAGGTGTGCGCAAAGCATACAAAACTGCATCGGCTATGTTTTCCGGCTCCAAACGGGCCATATGCTTGACGTAGAAATGAATTTCTTCGGGAAATATATTTGTATTCACGGCACCAGGACAGATACCCTTTTGAAAGCAAATAAATAAAAAATTTCGGTTGAAAATATGGAAAAATAAAATGAACTGAGCATTTGAATCAAATGCAGTATCGAGCTGCTCGAACTGACACTTACCGTTATCCGAACTTTATTCTTATGCAACTGAAATTCCTGTCTATAGGTTTCCGTCATCGCTGTTATGGCAAACTTGGTGGCCGGATATATGTTGAAACTGGGCAATACATCGATAAAATTCAACACCTGTTGGCCAGCTATGCTATTAATGATCAGTACGTGACCCTCATTGCCCCGTTTCAACATGCCACGAAAAACCTCCCGTGTACACCACAACACAGCCATAACGTTTGTATCGATTACCTGACGTATCTTCTCGGTATTATCAACAGCCACCAACTCCGTTTCACGTGTAATACCAGCATTATTTAACAGCACATCCGCGCCACCCAACATACGTTCAGTCCAAGCCACAGACTCAATAACTTGATCTTCTTTGGACACATCACAGCGACGCGGTATAAATTGTGGCTGTAACTCTGATGGTAAGCTCTGCTTGAGCTCCAGCAGTTTAGCTTCCCGACGAGCTAGACCGACCACACGCAGACCAGCTCCCACTAGAGCACGCGCGCAAGCAGCGCCTATACCGCCACTAGCGCCGGTGACTATTGCCAATTTACCTTGCCAACGTTCCATCGAATTGGGAACAGTTTGAACGACGGTTGAAAAGCAACTGAATGGAAAATATAATTTGCATTAAACTCATGCATGATTGTTAATATGTTTAAATGCTTATGTGTATATACATCTAAATATATCTGTTAGATTTGGGTCGATATTACATAGAATAATTATTGGCAATATCGATTGACGCTGGCGTTTGTTGGGCTTCCCTTCAACATCTGAATATCAAATCATAATCGCTTGAACTCAGCCACATTCAGCATGGAACGATGGCAGGGTAAAGTTGCTATGGTAACAGGTGCCAGCAGTGGCATTGGTGCTGCCTGTGCCAAGGCATTAGTCTGTGCTGGATTTGTTGTTGTGGGCTTAGCTCGTCGACAGGAGCGTATCACTCAATTGCAGCAGGAAATACCAACTCGATTTCGATCCAATTTGCACGCCTTTAAATGTGATATCACACAGGAAGATAAAGTGCGGGAGGCTTTTAAGTGGACACTCGACAGGCTGGGGTCTGGCGTTGATGTTTTGGTAAATAATGCCGGCATTATAGCGACCACGGAGTTAAGTGCCAACCAGAATACAGATGAAATTCGCTCCACAATTGAAACAAATCTCTTGGGTACGATTTTTTGTACACGTGAAGCTTTCAATTCAATGCGTGAACGGAATGTTGAAGGTCACGTGGTGATCATTAATAGTGTGGCCGGCTTGCAAGTACCAAATTTGGGACCAGATTTGCCATCACTCAATGTATACCCCGCAACGAAATTTGCTTTGAGAGCCATGAATGAGATTTACCGGCAGGAATTTCAGCGCCACAAGACACGTGTGCGAATAACGGTAAGTGAAAGGAAGTTTTATAATTATGTATATGTTGGCATGTCGACGAGAAGGGGTAGGGTCTTTTAATTATTTAAAAACCAATTCAATTACTGTGAATAAGAGGAAAAGAATGGATTCTTCTTCTTCTTTGCTGGCGTAGACATTGCATACGAAATTACGGTTCATAAATACATATTGCCCAAAAACGTTCGCTCAAAAACTGCCAACGCCGACTCATCATATTTTGCCATCGTCAATGCGATTGGTAGAGTTTGGGCTTTGTTCGTCGAGAGAGGACTATATTTTCAGTTGTCTACTCAGCCCAAAGCAGCACCTGTCCACAAGAATCATATTGAGTGGGATTTCAAAACAGGCTCCAAGATAGACGAAATTATGGACAACTTCAAAGTTATGACTATCAACAATGATGAGCGGACCAAGATGAAAGTGTGCCGACTGTTTGTTTGAGTAGACAGAAGATATTTCGTATTGCCTTCGCTCAGAACCAGACTCATACGCTTCATTTTCCTTATGCAGTCTGGAGAAAGCGGCGCTTTGGTTGAAGCCAATATCATCCGCGTACCCCAGCAGCTGTATTGTAGAAGATTATACTTTCTCCACTCTGCTCTGCTGTTGGTATGCAGTTACAAGCGCGGGGCAGCTTTCAATTCCTCCACTTGTGTCTACGTCGCGCACCGTGAAAATTTGAACAACTCTTGTGCAGGATGCAGTAACCAATCTGTATGAAGTCATAACTAAAACAGAGAAAGCTTCAGTGGAATCACTCCGACATATACGGTTTAAAGGTTCGCTGAAGTCTAATTGCAGCATCTATTCACCAGAGATGCGTCGGTCTTCAAGCAAGCGGCTCGCTATATATATTTGTGCTAAATTTAATCAAAAACTTCGCCAGTATTTATTTTATTAATATTTTTTTTTCAAGTCTGCCAATGCATTTGCAAATGCTATATTGCACAGCTTATGGTATACCAGATTTTATTCCAACGACTTCTTTCGCATGAAATTTCAAAGTTTTTCTAATGCATCTGCCGCTGATCCACTGCCCTGAAAAGAAAGGTGTTGTACTTATTAGCGTAGGCAAAAGCTAACTATCGGTCACAAGTTGGCGAAATTGAAGTTTGATCAAATTCGGCTTAGTAGTTTCGGAGTTCTCTGTATAGACTATATAGACGTGCATGTAGTTCAGAATTTTTAACTATTTATTTACAGACAATCAGTCCAGGTATTGTCGATACCGATATACTGCCAACGTCTATTCGTACTGTTGTTAAGGAAATGCTACCGAGCCTTAAATCGGAAGATGTGGCTGATGCTGTATTATGGGCTATAGGTACACCTCCCAATGTGCAGGTATATTTTTGTTATCAATTTATATATCTTTTTACACATACATACATGTAAATATTTATGTATTTATCAATTAGGTTCATAATATTACAATAAAACCGATGGGTGAAAAGTTTTAGTGCAACGAGATGCGCTAAATGTGGATTTACTATAGTTTCGGCTGGTTTCACAACAACTAATGTATCCATATATATATAACACAAACTACTATCAATTGGTCCATAATTGGCCTAACAATTATTTTTGAAATAAAGCTAAAAGTGGTGGTAATTTCATTCTATCTTTTAATGGGTAATGTCTCTGGGTATTGCAGAGAACTATTTTTATTGCCAAAAGATGATTCATAAGACCGTATGAGTGACTGCATTTCGCCAAACTATCAAAACAATGTATAATAGACGACCCTGACAGCAGATCGACTCAGGAATTTTCGGCAAACCACCTACACATGTAAGTAGTTTTCGAATACCTTGTATTTAAAAGAAATAGATGCGAGAGAGTTTTAACCTTTTGGAAGATATTTATATTCCACTTTTGAATTATTGGCTAAACTGTCTAAATAATCAGAAACTATTGAACCATGGAGACCAGTCTGTTAGGTAAAAATATTAATATCGCATTCTTCCAATCAAGGTTTGGATAAAACCGTTATTCACCCGTAGGATGTGAAAGCTTTTTGCTAATACTCAAGAAATAGTTTTAACATATATGCACATACATACTTATATATTTCCATCATATGTATTAATAATATAGCTAATATTCAAGGATTTAAAATCGTGGTTTTCTTAAAACTTTCTCACTATTTCAGTTGTTGATGGGTAGGTAGCTTCATTAATTGTATACTCGTATTTTTTAGCAGCCATTGAAATCATTAAAGGCAATTTTCTTTTCGTTTCTTTCCTTCTCGTGAAAGATTTTTTGAATAAATACATTATTATATTCTGTTTTATAAACATTTTATTTTTTTAATTTATATACTTATTTATTTATGTTTTTTCTTAACATTTCAATTCATTTGCGAGTAAGGGCATTAATAGGCCCTTAAAGTTTTACTATAGAAGTAAGGAGCACGCATGTCTTTAACGGTTAACCCATCATTCCTTTGCTGCGTTTAAATGCAGCACCCGATTTACGATTATGATTTGCGCGCATTGATTTGTTTTTCTCTTTTTTATCACGATTACGTAAAGTGTCTTTGTCTTGCCCCTGACCCTTTGGTGCGCCAACAACATCTCTCGACTTATTGTTGTCCACATTACCGCCGTGATTGCGATTGCCCCACTTAGCTTGCCGACGCGCTTCGTAGCGTGCTCGAACATCTTCAGGATTTTCACAGAAATTCATTTGTTTATTACGATCGAATTGAGCATTTGATTTGGATTTATCTTCAGCAGCATCTTCTCCTTCTTCACTTTCATCATCAGAAACGTCTTCAACATTCGCCAATCCAGCTTTAAGCTGCTTCGATTTAACTACACGTGTCTCACTCTCCAACAACGCTTCATAGCTATCATCATATTCATCATTGTATTCGTCATTACTACTTTCACCTTCACTTACTAGTGTATAAGCTTGATAACGTGATTTTAGCTGTGCCAAATCGCTTTTGTCATCTAGTAGTTGAGCAGCATTTTTGGGAGCATTTGGCATACCTTTTCCCTGTTTTATAATACATTTTGGATTATCTTGTGTCATGACATCATATTCATCGCCATCATAGACGTTGTAGTGTTTAACGCCGGTCTGTTGATAAGTCTTATCTTGAGGATCAGGCGGTATGTACACCTCCGTCTGATCAGCATTTACTAGATCAGGTGGAAGATTATTTTCAAGTATAGCAGACATCGCTTCTTCACTGTTATCATAGCGTGATAATATACGCCTCACATAACCGGTACCTAAATGAGGTAATACATCCAAAACTGACGTTACTTCTAAATCAATATCCCGTCCAGGTGTTACATTGGAGATGGAAGCAACATTTTCGTCATTCGCTGATGATTGCAGCTTTTTCTTGTTTGACTTTCCAGAATTTTGTGACTTCTTATTCGTTTTAGTGTTGGATTTTGGCACAGATGATTTCGACTCTTGTTTATATCCCTGTACAATGAATGAGGCCTTAAAACCATCCCTTTTGAATAAATTTAATTTAATTTATGTGCATTATATATATTAGAATACGTACAAATTATTGCAGATTTGGTTAAGTATATCCACATCTAGTTCCACTGGATATAAACGGCCATAATCATTTACGAAAACTTGCTCAGACAAGCATTCGGTGAGCAATCCTATAAAAAGTTCTGCGTTTTTTATACTTGCCGAGCTGAGGAATAAAAGAAAGTTAAATTTTCTGAAAGGGAATTTTTAGTAGAAAATACTTACGGCTGTGTCATAACCGCTTCTATGAAGCTGTAGGCGATACTTCGAAATGCTTTTAAATATTCCAAACGGGCAATATTAAGCCATCCTAGACTCGTTGCTGCTTCGTTTATGAGGAAAATGTTTTTGTACAAAAATGGAATAGTGTTATCATAGAATTCTGCAATACTACAATAGAAATATATATTAAAAATTTATTTTATATTGAAGAATTGCTTTACCTTTGTGCCAACTTGATTTCAAAGCACATAGTTTGTACCTCCGGACAAACCGATAACAACACGCTCAGCGAATATGCACAATCCAAAGTGTATAGAGCAACATCATCATAAGGTGTTTCAGCATTTTCATCTAAATCTCCTCCACCTGCACCTTCAAATCCCTCATTTTCCGCTTGTGTTTGTATACTTCGGAATGCGGCTCGGAAAAACGCTACAGCGGCCAGAAGGTCTTTTTTATAGTTCGGTTCAAGGCGTAGGAGAGAATCAAATATGCGTCGCAAGACAGCGGTATTTTGTGCATCCGCATCTCCTACAGCCATTAGCAAATCGAATAACATTGGTACTGATATTAAAAAGTTTTTATAAATTAATTCACGCTGATGTTCGATTGTTAGCCATTCTTCATCTGATTCACGATTAGTAATTAAGCGACATATGATACGCAGCGCAAGTTCTAATATTTGTTCGTATATTTCTATGACATTTTGATGTTGAACAATTTGTGACCAAACATTCAAGTAAAATGGGGTAGAGCGTTGCAAAAATGATACAACAGCTGCTAGTGCCGTTTTTTGAAATACCATATATGACCAAAACCTGCAAAATGGAATAGTTTTAGAATTGTTTAAATGTACATTGTTTTTGAACTCACTCGTGATGCCGGCAGTTTAGTAAAAAGTTCATATCCTTGCAGAAGTTAGTTGAATTATAGAGCCATTCTTCTAATTCGACATCGCTTTTAACGCGACCATATTGCGTTAATAGACCTATATAATTGGTAAAATTGACACGAGGCGCCCAATGCTTGTGCTAAAGTGTAAATAACATTAAGTGAGCCCCTGATTTGTAAACTACAAGTTTTTACCAATGCTGGAATGGGGCATGGATCTAAGCCATCTTCTGTGCTTATGCGAAATACAAGTTGATCCAGCGATTTTTTATCTCGATTCTAAGAATAAATAAAACCAGTTTATTTCATGCTAATATTTTAGTTATGTGTACACACCGAAAAATCTTCATTATTTATTCCACTCATATCTAATTTGAAAATACTAGTGTGCTAATAAAAAACTTTAGTATGTTGGGTAGTATTGTGAAGCAAAACCACGACAAATTACATTTACGAAAAGAAAACAGCTGTTAATTGTTGACACTTGCCACATTTCGAAATTTTTCATATAACTGGGGGCAATTCGTAGAACAGGGAATGCTACCGCAAAAAAATAAATAATGTGTGACGACATATATGCAAAAGGTCAACTTAGAGAAATTAAAATATATCATTTGTACTTAAGAAATATATTTAAAAATTGTAAAAATGTTATGAGCAATTAATTGATGATTTCAAACTTAAAATCAATTTGGTCATTTGTATATGATAAAAGTATGTGGAAACGACTGTTAATTTACATTTGTATAGATTTTAGTTCTTTGGTATATTTGAATACGTGACGATCCTGTCATTAGTATGTTAGAGAAACAAGGGAAATCTGATTTTCCACATAAATCCGATGAAAGATGAAAATGTTGTATATAATATTATATATAAAATCTTATAAATTGACAGTTCATCAAAACGGTTTCGTCGTGGAGAATAAAATAAATAATGATCGTGATTAATTCTGTAACAGTACAACTTCTGTCACAATTCGTTATCCATTATTAATTTTTACATAACATTTAAGGAATCTCTTGCAGTGTGCTTATGTTATCACCTGACATTCATGTAATTGGGTTCTGCTAAATCGATTCTTGAATGGTATACCTTATCTCACACCACAAATCCAATAGCTGAATTGTAAGGTACCCGGAACATAATATATTACATTAATTTAAACAATTGGTATTTAATATTGAACTTTAAAGAGAGCCAAATAGACGAACGACATTTAACAAAATCTACATACATTTACATACACCTGTGATAAGCATACATATACATATTTTTATTTAAAGATAAATATGCTGATAAAGCGCCAATGAGAAAGATTAGAAGAGCTCGCTGGCTGATCATATTATTTTAAATGCCCAAGAGCAACACTTGAGTAAACATTATTTTCAGCTTTAAACTGTCGCAACATTAAAATTTATACAATGATATAGTCATTGAATTTGAGCTAAGACCCATGGCTGCGCACTATTAAAAACACATTCAGGAATAAATTGAAAAGTAAAAGTTCAGCAAATAATTTATTCACCTGTTCGTAAAAATACTAAAAATGGGAAAAGTAATGGAAGATGTAAGTATTTACTTGTGCATATAAGTATACAAAATTATGGGTAATTAAGTGTATTTGCGGTAAACAAATAAATTTGAGATGCAATCAATTGGGATATCTGCGCTGCCCACTGTTTAAAATTCGACGGCGTTAATCTACTAAAAATGGGCAGCGTAAAAATTGCGCTTTTTGTTTACTTCGTAATTTGCGCTTTGTTTCTGCAGAGAACGTAAATATTTACGTTCTCTGCTTCTATGTACATTAGTTTCTATGTTCCTCTTATTTTTTTACCAATTGTGTGTGCGCTTTGCTTTTGCGGTTCTGAGCCAAGTAGGTTTTCTGTTTACGTGTCTGATTCAATAGTGACGACAACAATATTTTAAATATATGTAAAAAAGAGAAGAGTCGAAATTTGTCAAAAGAAATGGCTCGTCTTGAATAAAAAAGCTATTAATTTTTAATTCGTTACAGGTGTTTGGACGTACCCAAACCAATAAACCAGAGTTTGGTGGAAGTAGTCAAAAGGTCTCATCGGTAATACTAACAATACCCAACCATTTACCTATGAGCGCTACATCTATACCAACAACTGCCATGAATATACACGGTAAGACCACAATAAAATCTGACAATTTTTTGAAACTCTAAATATCCAGTCTAAAATACAGAAGAGGAAGATATCCTTACAGCTGCTATACCCTCTTCTAGACACATCCCAGAATATTAAATCTACAGTTTACTAAACCAAATACGTTTTCGATTTTCAGTAAATGCCAACACATTGAAATACATTAGTTTAATAACATTAACGTTGCAAAATGCAATACTTGGGCTTAGTATGCGATATGCACGTACGCGGCCTGGAGACATTTTCATCAGTTCCACAGGTATGTGGAGACATTTTCAAACCCAAAAAACTCAAAAGCAGCTTCTAAAGTTTTATGTATTTTATTCTTTATAATAGTTCATGAACTCATACACATAAATTTAGGCACATGCATTCGTATATATGTAAATATGTATGCATAGGTAAACATTAACGCAACACACCCGCTGTTGTTGCTGATAAGAAACATTTCCGGTATTCTAATCAGACGGCGAAACTAATCAGTTTTAAGTGTATTTCTACTTATAAAACACTTTCTCTTTACGCTCTTTTTTTTACATACATTTGCATTTTTGTTTCTATTGTGTATAATAACAAAACTGACCATTTACCGAATATTAATATATAGGTTGCCAATGATTTAAATTTTTATTTCACTATTTGAATTATTATTTTTTTTCTTTTCCTTTAATTTTTGTATGAAAATAATGTATATATAATATTTAGGGCTGCTTTTAGGAACGTACTTACATACATATATACATTTCGATTATATATTCTGCATACCATTTTTGTTTTATAGCCGTGCTTATGTCCGAGATAGTCAAACTTTTCACATGCTTGGTGCTAGTGTTCAACGAGGAGGGCAAAGACGCACAAAAATTTGTACATTCTTTACACAAAACAATCGTTGCCAATCCCGTAGACACGCTCAAAGTGTGCGTACCCTCACTAGTTTACATTGTGCAAAATAATTTGCTATACGTATCCGCCTCGCATCTGGATGCTGCCACATATCAAGTAACCTATCAACTTAAAATTCTTACCACAGCCATGTTTGCTGTGTTTATACTGCGACGTCGCCTTATTAATACTCAGTGGGGTGCATTAGTACTATTGATCGCAGGCGTCGTAATGGTGCAATTGGCACAGACAGTGGATGATAGTGTAAGCAGCGCACCGCCAACTGGTCCAGAGCAAAATCGTATGCTCGGATTATGGGCCGCTCTGGGTGCTTGTTTCCTATCTGGCTTTGCCGGTATATACTTCGAAAAGATTTTAAAAGGTGCAGATATTTCAGTATGGATGCGCAACGTGCAATTAAGTTTACTTAGCATACCGTTTGGCATACTGACGTGCTTCATTAATGATGGACGACAAATATCAAATGTCGGCTTCTTCCATGGCTACGATTTATTTATTTGGTACTTAATATTTTTACAAGCTGGTGGTGGACTTATAGTGGCTGTCGTTGTTAAGTATGCGGACAACATATTAAAAGGATTCGCCACATCTTTAGCTATCGTAGTTTCATGTGTTGCATCTATATACATTTTCGAATTTCATTTGACGATTCGCTTTGCGGTTGGTGCCGGTTTGGTAATTGCGTCAATATTCTTGTATGGTTACGATCCAAAAAAATCAACTGTAGGCATTAAGCAAGGATCGACAGGTACTGGACAAACACAATTAGAGGATGAAGAAAAGCTTTTGCCTAGAGTTTAATAATTGGAGTTGGCACTTGAAAATCAATTTGCAAAACATTGATTTACAGTATTCGAATTTGAATTGGCGTATTTTACCGGCTTCTAAAAGTCAATTAAAATTATTTAAACAACCGATTTTTAAGCTTAACAATTTGACTTAGTCACAAGATGTAATGTGTGAATCTATTTATAAATAACTATATTATTTTTTCGCAATACTACTTTTCTCTGTACAATTTCTTTTATTTATGTACTAAAGGTCATATTTTTTAATATGTATGTATATATTGAGTCTGATTTGTAGGTTTAAAACCAAAAAATTTTGATCCAAGTCTAAAGAAATGTGGGTAATCTATGATATTTCCTATTATTTTAAATTAATATTTCAATAATCTACAGCTGAAATATTAAGCTACTATTTAAAATTTAATTGAATAAATTGTAAGCAATTTCTCACAAACTAAAAGTTCTTTATTTTGTTTACTTTTATAGGTATTGTTTATTCACATATATTTTGCATTGAAAATAATTACAACTTCACTTCACGCAACTGGAATATACTGCACATGGTCAATATATCCGATGCGAACTTACATATTTACTATTTATGTTAACCGTACATACAAGTAAATAAAATCGCTTTACGCTATGCGTTTCATTAATGCAATATATTGTATACCATATAGGTAACCAAATATTAAACTAAGAAGCAAAGTAAAACTATAAATGTAACGAAAAAGCTCAAATGAAATCTTTACATTTAGAGTTAAACTGAATCCAAGTATTATGGTAATTTGAATCAAAAAAATATGCAATAGTTAATAACATTATAAAGAAAAATAGCTGAATATTAAATAGGTAGCTAACCTTAGAGTCCGCAATTCCAACCTAGAGTCGGATCATTTAATTGTGTTTGAATTTTCAGTATTAAACTGTATATGCGCAATGATGGTCCCAATTTAATGGGAAGTTTTTTAATAACATCGCTTCGCTTAAGTAATAATAATGAAGTTCCATCGATTTCATGTTCCTTAAATACGTGCGCTTCGTTTGGAAAATATTTGGAGAAATATTTAGCGACTTGATCTGCATTCCAGTCTTTTACATCGGGCACATCAATCGGCTCATAAGGACTATAACGTATAATTGGTGTATTATTTAAAGTTTCCTCATGAGCAGATTTTGGTCTTTTTGCCGCTATATCATCATCAACTTTTTTTTCAGCATTTGCACTGATGGTGATGCTACTAGTTGTGCTACTGCTACTAGTAGTGCTACTACCACCGCTATCTAGACTACTGCCATCAGTTTCTTTTCCTTCATTTCCCTGTTTTTGCTCATTTTCACTGTTGCATTGTACTTCCTGAGTTGACAATTTAGCAGCAGCATTTTTTGCCTCAGCTGCGGCGGCAGCAATGTTGACATTTGGTTGAATAATTTGTTGAGAACGATTTGCACGTTGTGGATCATCGCCAATTATTTCTCTTATTGTTTTCACTGGTAAAGAAGAAACACCATTATTCACACACGGTTGGCATTTACTGCATTTCCATCGAAAAATCTGTTGATATTTATACACATTCGGGATGTGACAGGTAAGATGATATGATTTAACACATTTGGAACATGTTATCAAAGGTTGCTAAGTAAAAAAAGAAACATTTCATTTATTTCTTATCCTACGCATATTATTAAAATGTAGGTAGGTGCATGCTTCTAATCTTTTAAGTACTTACATCAGTTTTGGGCTCACCATCTTCAAACGAATCACATACGTCGCATGTACGGCAATTTGAGCACTTGAAATGCTGTCGTAAAACATCAATATCTTCAAAATCCACTGGTAGACATAACTTGTGCACACGTCGCTCGCATTCCAAGCACGTAATTAATTTGTTTCTGGCATGAGTGCCGCGTTTTGCTTCTCTCTTTTGGCAAACATCACATACATCAGCGTTTACGGTTTCAGGTGTAGATGCGGATGAGGCGGCCGAAGTAGCAGAGGATTGGGAAAGACGTTTGTTCTGTTGTGTATCTTGTCCATGTACTAAAGTTGACGATGTTAAAGTGTCCCGTTTACGATCTATAAGAACTGATGTAGCAACTACTGGTGGTCCCGTGCCGACTGGGTGAGTTGATATTATGTTAGCGCGTTGTGAACGTGGCAAGTAATTGTCAGAAGGATCAAAAACAGCTTTGGGTTTCTAAAATACAAAATTATAATTTTTAAAAGCATTTCATTTCGCTTATGAAGTACTAAAACAAACCTTTATACGACCTGTGGTGCGCACGCCTACATGATCAGAACCCCCTGCACTGGCGGTATCATCTTGCTGAGCAACACGCAAGCGAGCAACTTTCTTCATTTTGACTTCTTATCACACAATTTAAATAAAACGTGTAACCTATCTTCCCAGAAAATGTTTAACACTCAACTCATAAATTACTTTAACAAAAGTGATGGAAACACAAATTTTCAATATTGTTATTTTTAAGGACTAAATACTTAAATTTTCGCTTAGAGAAGTTCAAGCTTTAATCAAACAAAACGATTACTCAAATAATAAGAATTCACATATATTCGGCTTCGATAGTTTTTCTTGTTCTTATCTTTGTAAGAAAAAGGGTATTCACAATAATTATTTTATTTGTTTCAATTCGTAGATTAAATACACAATAAAAATTGTAGCTTTTAAAAGAAAAGATTACGGTATGAAAGGACGAAAAGTTTTCTAAATTTCAATGCCGTAAATGAACGTTTTAAAATATTCAAATGTTGATTTAATCAAATTTATACTGATTATTAGCACAATATCGAAATCATAAATTAAATATATATGCCAAGCTCGTTTGAACAATCGGCAATGTTTTATTTTAGCTAGATTGGTGATCAATTAGGTCCTTTTTTTATATGTACATAAATATATTCATACGAAGTTTGTAACAAAATATCAAAGCATATGTACTTATATGTAAATATGAAAACAATTTTAGGATCTTCAATTTAATCAGTTTTAATGTGCCGTCCATATTGCCAACTCATCTTGACCAGTTCGCTGTTTTCTATAGACCAAACTACCAGACAACAAACTACACTCGAAAATCCATAAAATAGATGCAACATGAGTGACGTACAGTAATACTAAAAATTAATTTAAAATATTATTAGATTTCGTTTCCAACACTCTTTCCTGGACTTACCGCTGAATATTTACAAGTTATGCCAGTTATTATAAGCGTAGTAAAAAACCATTTACCGGGCAGCAAACCATGAAGCGGCTTCAGACCTGTTGGTTGGTACTGACGATATATAAACCGGGTACTAGAATGAACAAACATTTTTGTAGTATTTACATATATATGTACATATGTATATCACTGGAAATAATTTCTATAATAGTCTTAAAGTGCCTACATATGTATGGATATGTATATTGAACAAACCTGTAGCAGATTCTGCAGAACATATTTATGCAATTAGCGAATATGAATCCAACCGGTCCCAAAAAACTTGTTAAAATGTAGGAGAGGATCAGGAAACTAATGGAAAATATGGCCATCAAGTAATTATATTTGTCGATGTCTTTACTAGTATTGGTTGCAAACATATAACCCTCTGTAATACCGTTAATAGCCAAAAAATAAATAGCTAGGCAGTGCCACTGTAAAAGCCGTTCTGGTAATCCACCACTAACAAAGTCGGCTCCACCATATAATAAAAGTAAGGTATGAGAGTAACTTTGTCCAAAAGTTAATGCCAATAGTCCAATCGACGTTACCGCTAGAGATAAGTTTTGTAGGACTTTTGCCGCTTGTGTAACTTCATCCTAAACAAAGTATATTTAATTAGTCATTATGTGAAATTAATTGATATATTAAATTTGTATGCGAAATTCCTTACTCGACTTTGTTTATGCAATTCAATATCACGAGCAATCGTTTGAGTAAAGAAAAAATAACTACTGTCCTCTATAGGCCGGAAAATAAATCGTGCCGCCAAACTGCCCAAGTTATTTACTACATCGTACGTCGCTTGTTCACTGAAGCTCAGTACTGGACTTACAGACATAACATACTTCTCTCCTTCCGTCAGGATTTGTTTTAGTACGCCTTGCTTAACGAAGCTTAAGGTAAGTACTTGCAATTCTGAATTAAGGAAATGTCCCTACATTTTAATTCATAAAATTTGGATATTGTATATTAGGAAAAGGGTAGGAAATATAATTTAGCAAACTTACCTCATTTTTCAAAACACCTGGAAGAAAATCAGAAATTTTCTTGAATGGAAAGTCGTTCATACTATCAATCATATTGGGATTCCCATTAGACTTCACTTCCTTTTCTTTATTTTGGTTAATTCTCCAAATGTAAAAATAGAAGAAACCATAATTTCCAAGTATTATGGTGGCAGCGCTCATAAGTTGTGCTATAGCAAACGCATTAATAGCAACACTCTTGTCATTTATTACAATCCACAGGAATACAGCTGAACGTACTAATATATGTAAGGTGTTTAAAACAATTCGTAGTCGCACGAAGCAAAACACCTGGGTTACAAAGCTGGGTGCCTCGGCACAGAGCTCAATAACACATGATAAAGCCATTGCGTAGCAAGCGAATTGATATTGAGCATGAAACTTTTCATCAACGGGTGAAAGCAGATGTAACCATATGTATACGCATGGAATGCAAATGATCACACAAGTAGGGGCTCTAAAGAGTATTGTTCTAATTTTAGCATACAATGATGTTTTATTAAAATCATATTACTTACGTAAGCCACATTTGATTAATTAGCTGTGCCCATGTACATTTGTTGCGTTGCTGTGTAGTGGCACTTAATCCCGCTCTGTTAAAAGCTTCCCTGGACAAAAACAGCAAAGTGCTTTCCAAAAGAAGAAGACGCACATTCATAATGCCCAGCGTTTCACCCCCAACATTTCGTACAATGAAAGCATTTATGGCAAATGTAAGAAGGCGGCATAAAATCTTCCATTGGGAAGAAATAATGTAGGCTTATCAACCATTATCGACACCAATATTATTAGTATAGAGCAGCTGGTTTAAATATAGAAAAAAATGTACCTGGAAAATAATGCTAAAAGCGGCACTAAGTAGACTGCTTCGCAGCACATTCCGTTCCATTCTTCAAAAAATTACAAACCACTTTACTTATGTTATATATTAAATTATAGATTCCAATACAATTAGACACCGGTTATAATAAAACAACATTCCGGAGATATAAACAAACTCCTGCTAACGAATAAAAACACGTCAACACATTAAACAGCTGTTTCAAGTTCGTGAAAAGGTCACAATAAAATTTCAGATTAGAAAATTTCCAATTTTTCTTGGAATAAGAAGAAGAGGTTGGCTTTGTTTACAATACATTGATGTATTGTGTATTTAATTATTAGCTCAAATATCAGCAGAAATGGTTTACTGCTCGGTGCCTGGTTGTGAAAAAAACAATAAACATCAAAGAAAACGGTTTATGTTTAGCTTTCCGAAAAAGGAAGATTTGTTACAAAAGTGGCTTGAAGCGATACCAAATTTGGGTCGGCCTATTAAAAGTTCTTGGCGGGTTTGCCAGCATCACTTTGAAAAGAAGGATATTTTACAGGATTTTAGTCATACAATTGGCGGTGAAGTGTACGTTATAGAAAGAGAGAGACCGCGACTGAAACCAAATGCAGTACCCACTAAAAATCTTCATAGCGAGAAATTTGTAAGTAGAAGCTAAACCATTTTTTTTATACAATGTACAGTTTATTTATACCCTTTATCCATATAGCCTCAAAATGAGCAAAATATTAAAATGAAAAATACATATTTAAAAGTTGCATCGAATTCGACAGATATTGATATTGCAGATGGAGGGGCTCATAAAGATCGAAATCATATTAATGATAAAACTCAAATTACTGAAAATTGTATTGAAAAACCGCATATAATCAAAGTTATTGATACTGTACTACACAATAATAAAAAAGCTAATTTGCCAACACAACCAGAGACTGCAAAAGAAATACATAAAAACGTAGAATATGTAAGAGAATATAATGAGCAGATAAACAGACCAAACTTTGAAAATTTTGAAGCTGAAAAAAGCAAATCAAACTCAAATGGAACCGATAAGGCAGGTGTTTTAGAAAGGAGTCCCTCTAAGGAAAGCTTAAATGAAAATAAAATCGCTTATCCTCCTCAATGTTCTAATACGCCCACACCAACAGATCCAGAATCATTCGAAAATCTCTTTGATAACGTTTTTGAAATAGTTTTGCCAACAACACTTTGGGGCGTGCATCGTTCTACACAACAAAATCGTATTATGTTCGTAAGCATAGAGGAAGAGCTTTTAAATATAAACAAAATGATAACAGTAAATGATAAAGGTGAATTGAAGATATATTTGGCAGAACGAGTCATACGAGAGGAGCAATGGCCGTTAAGCATTTTAACTACAGAGCATATATCGAACATGCTGGCAGAATTGGAATCAATGCAAATATGTCCTGGTGCCCGTTTTTCTGAGTCCTGTGAAGTGTATCTAGCAGATAACGACCATAACAACGAACAAAAGCCAGCCTTCTGCAAAAAATGCTACTAAAACACAATTGTATGATATAAAAATAATAATAATTTTTATTAAAATACTTATTTTACACTCTTTACTCCTTTAAAAATTCAAGCGCTCCTTAATCAGGTAATTTTAACGCAGCAAACTCACTGCTTAATATCTTCATGACATCTGCATGTTTGAGATCGGGGCGTTTGTGCTGCTTATAATTATCCTTAACAAATTTTGCGAAACCTTTTGCTTCGCGTACTGGCGTAGACATGACATTTCCGTCTTTATCTTTTCTGTTCAAAAATATTTCAATGGCTCCATGGCAATACGAGCATCTGATATTCTCCACTTTCTTCGATTTTGAGTGCGCATGTGATCTATGAAAATTCTTTTTAGTATTTGCATTTATGAATAGAAATAAAATGAATTACTTTGCGGCGCATAAGGTGCATTTGTAAGTGTATTTATACTCTATCTCATACTGATGGCATACACCAATTTTAGGTATTTCCGGAAACACTTGATTGGCTTTCAGCGCCCTAAAAATGTGAATGTATTTAAAATAAATATTAAATATACAATAATTCCTAATTACCATTGTTTCCAGGTGCTACCATGTCCACCTTCACCATTGAATATCCAAGTGGCCGCATGACACAATTCATGTATTAGTGTACACCGCAAACGATCGGCGCTGGTTAGTACTTTTTCACTTAATTCTATCACACTCGTACGCACACCCAATCTGCAATATGCAAATAAGATATTATATAACACTTCTTTATTATTTGGTTTGTTTAAATGTATATAAATAGTATAGTACATACTTCTTCTTATTTAAACACCTTCCGGCCGTATTGCAAAGCTTTTTGTTCCATTTAAGTGGGGCATGCAATTTTTTGTCAAATAATTTTTCATTATAGAGCTCATAAAGTAAATTTGCCAATTCCTCCTTCTTGGTGCGATAGTTTTCGCGATAGCTCAACGCTTCGGGATGACAAAGAGATTTGGCAACGCAAACTAAAAATGTACCAAAATTTTGTATATATGTTTTATGTATGTTTCAAATTATGCATTACTAAATTTACCATCAAGTGATTTAAGAAAACCATATTTGTGCTGAGGCGTAGGTATAATTTGATCATCCAATTTATTGCGTTCTCTCAAAGTCCTTGTATGTTTTATACGTACGGGAGTTACTTAATTAACAAAAATGGTAATTTCTTTATTAAAAGCGGTAATTATGTATGTGCATACATATATATTTTCCTAAGAATATTAAAAACTTCTGACTTAACTTAATAAGCTAATTAAGCTACCTGTTGATTTTGGCGTGTCTGGCATACGTGGTGGTGTCGCTTTGAAAATGGGTCCTCCTCGTTTTACAGATTCCAAGTGTTTGTTAAAAATAGCTATCCCGTCCACACCAGTGATTTGTTTCACCTGTTCCATATCATGTAAAATCTCTTCTTCTTCGGTTGTAGGTGCACGCCTAACTGGTGTCCGAGGTTGTACTCCATCTTCACCAACTGTTAAGTCAACATCCTCTTCACCAAAATTAGCTGTGAACAACTTCCTCTTTGTTTTCCCACCAGTATTTGGCGTAACTGAAATTTTTGCCTTATCGGTAGCTTTACATGTGCGCAGAATATCTTCCAAATGTAATTTAAAATTTGCATCTGTTGAGTTTTAACATTGAAAAACTAATTAAAAAATGTCTTTTATCTATAAATTCAAATCAAGCTATAGGAGAGAATTATTTAAACTGTAGTGTGAAATTAACGGAAACATATAAACTAATAATATTAATTCTTATGATTATGTGTTCCGTCATTATTATTCTCTGACAGAAATCCAACATACATATATATGTCAATTTAAAATGTTATCTTTATTATTCATTACCTGTATTGGCTTTTGGCGAGTTCGGCTCACCCTCCTGTATAGTTACTTCGTCTTTAGATAAGTCTAAGTAAATCAAATTATCTCTCGACTTAGCTTTCACTTGCCGTCCTCTTGTAGAATTACCTACACTTTCAATCGCTGATTTTTTTTCTTGTTTTTGATTCCTCCTTTGAATTGTAGATACTTTTTTAGGCTGCTTGATTTTATAGTCACTGTCATCGCTATCATCAGATGTAAGACTCCATTCTTTGTCTGTCTCACTTTTATTTTTTTTATTAACATTCAAGGAATCATCGAGATGTTCAGTTTTGTCTAGCGTAAGATCATCGGAAGCATTGTCACCTGAGGTATCACTATCCTTGTCAATTAATTGTCTCCAACGGTCATTGCACTTCTGTTGTTTAGCCGTAACTTTTCTTTTTATTTCAGTTTTCGGTACTTTGAAATCGGTGTGCGGTTTAGTCTTGCAGCGGGGCTCGCTATTATAGTTGTTTCTGTCAACAATCGATGCAGCCTGTTCTTTGTGTAAATTTGGTGTCGTAAAGCGTGTAGAATCCAAATTCGTCCTCACAATGTTGTGACGAACTAAAACCAGAAATAAAATGTATATGCATCTGCATAGTTTTAATAAAATATTAATATATTTATTCTATCACATACATGTAGAAAAATCATCCAGTACACTTTGCTCAATATTCTGATCCAGCTGTAGGCCCACACTTTTGTCAGCTGAACCAACCAAGTTTGCATCTTCTATTATATGCTCTCTAATATTAGATGCTTGTGGTGACTGCGTAGAGTCTGCTTTCTTTGGTGTACGACTCGTGCGTTTTAAAGTCCGTATTACTTCCGGAGTTTTCCAAGACGTTCCATATACTTGATTGAGCAATCTTTCCGCTTGCGTGAGAAAATTAACGTCTTCCTCTTCTTCACTAGGTATTTCTTTTTCTAAATTATTACTTGTAATGGGATCGACAGGGTCCGTGTAAGTTCTATCTTGTTTTTGACTATGACAAGTTTTTTCAAACTCTTGATTATTAGAGTCTTGTGTTGGTGTTTTTTCATTATAATCATTTTCAGAAGACATGTCATTTTCTTCCCCACTGTCGTTGTTAGTATAATCGACTTTAGTTTTTTCTTTCGCGTCGTTTTCGCATTCCTCTTCCATACTATCCATTTGTGAAATAGAAATTTTAATATTTATCTTTGCAGATATATTAATACTACCAATACTCATTACAGGTGGTGTCAATTGCTCACTCTCAGTGTCTGAAAATATACAATTAAATCTTTTGAAATAGACAATTTATTTTGTTTCAATAATTACCAACGCCTATGCTTTGTTCCGTATTAACTACTTCATTACTGCTATATCTGCTATCATGCACTGAATGACTACTCAAATTTTCACTAGACGTCTCTGAAATAATGACCGAATCGTCAGGCACATCTGACTTGGAAGCATCCGAAATGGAACTTTGTTCACTGCATGCTAAAGAATATTCTTCTTCATTCTCTTGTGTACTGTGGCATCGATCCAAACACCCAGACGTGTTAGTATTAACTTGAGTTTCTTCATCTGTTATCTGATTGTTTTTGTGGTTATTTGGAATATCGCAAATTTGAAAATCTTCCGATTGAAATTGACTCATGGACAAAGTATCATTTCCCATCCTGCGCTCATTTTTTATGCTTATAAATTGATTTTTACTTTCACAGTCTTGAAATTCATTACATTCCTCTGATCTTCTTTGCTCAGTGCTAAATGTTGTCATTGACTCGGTATCTGCATATGCCAAACCACCAAGAACTCTTGCATTGTTTTTGTCTGTTTTAGGAGAATTCTTAACCGTTGCTACATGTAGATGAAATTTATCTTTTTCAATTTTCTGAATCTCTTCATACTCCCTACGTTGTTGGGAAACGTCACGTAAAAAGGCTTCCATCCGGTCTGCCTTTTCATTACTAAAAGTATTTGGGAGGAAAGCGTCAAGAGTATGCCCACTTTCTGGTATATCGGATGTCATAAAATCCAAGTCCAATAATTCGGAGATACTGCTATCAGTTACTGTTATAGCACTGCCATTATCGTCAGTGGATGATAGGGATATACATGTTGCTTCCGGATGACCTGATATGCTGAGAACATTTTCATCACCGTTAGTACTTTTTGTACATGTCAGTAACCTATTTGATTCAAAGTCAGTATTTCTTTGCTGGCTTTCCGTAGAAATTAATAAAGTTGTATCAATTGGTTTTTTTTCGTTTTCAAGATTTTTATGATTCATGGTCATTCCTGATATACGATTCGTTAATATAGATATATCGCATTCAGGTAAGTTTTCTTCAGTGCTTTGACTTACTTGTAACGGCTGCATACAATCCGAAACTGTTTTATCTGAATTTTGGATATCAACTTCGCTGCATATTCGTTTCATCGGATCACTGCCACTGCTATCGCTTCGTAGCAAAGGATTTACATAATAACAAATATCAGTAAGATTGGAAACTGTGGGTGCCGCGGCAAGGTTTTTAATCAAAAATCTGTTTGAAAAATCGCTGTTATCACTGTCAACTTCTGTTTGGACAGTATTTTCAATATTGGAGCACGTAGGATCGGATACAGTATTTTTGCATAAAGATCTATTCATGTAATTTTCATGGTATACAGTGGATTTATCTAAAAGGGCAATATCCGTAACATTGGAGAGTGTAGGAGCGACAAGAGTTTTTTGCAGCAAAAATTCGCATTTGTTGTCTGCAGTATTTTCAGTACCAAGCGTTTCCAAAAGGTTGCGGCTAACACGTTTTACTTGCGCCATAACTTCTTTATCGCATATTTGTCCTGCAGCAGTATCAATATCTACCTGTTGTTTCTTTTTGTTTGATAGCGTTAGCTTAGCGAATCCTAAAAAAAGATATATTTAATCTTTCATTAAAGCTCTTAGAAGGAAAGAACGTACTATCTCTAATTGGCACATTGACTTTTCTGGGATCTACACAGGTTATCAGCTTATATTTTTGATCGTCGTCCATTAAATAAAGTAAAATTTGATAGATTAAATCTCGACAAAAACACAACAATAAATAAATTCAAATTGAACGCGTCGGCGAGCACTAAACTCTTCTTCTTCTATTAACAGGGATACTTTTGAGAGACAGCATTTCCATACCAATAAAGAAATAAACCCATACCAGATAAAATATTTGTTAAGCACAATTTTTTTAAATACATATCTAGTTCTCTCAGAGATTGGTATAGTAGTTTGTAAACCAGAAAATTAGTAGAGCTTAATTAAAATTGTCAAGTAAAAACACAAGTAAAACCAGTTTTCGCTAAAAACCAATTGAAAACTCACTTTCGATTCATTCCGATTTGTATCCTCAATAGTTAAAGCGATATTTTTATTGAAGTAGAAGCGTATTTTTTCATTCCAAAGAGAATAAATTTAAAATGAATTGATATTTAAACCCTAAGTTAATTGACTAATATTTTAGATATCTGGCTCTTTACAAACTTCAAAATCCACCTGTACGATAAGTTGCTGTTTTAGATATTGAATGTATATTCGAGACTTTCCACACATGTAGCGTCCTAACTTAATATTTTCAGCTTTTTGGATGCTGTTGTTCAGTTATACAAAACGAAAATATTAACACTTTCAAATACAGTAAAATAAGTTCGTGTTTGAAACATCTCCAACTTAAATTTTTAATGTAGTAACTTACCAATTTCTATTAAATTTTCTAATAAAAAGAAGTAAAAATAAACTGTGAAATATATCAAGTAAAAAACCATGTGTCGATGCGAATACCTCTGAGCCCACAGACCACAAACTCGTTTTCAAAGTGTTTCTAATGTCGGTATGAACATGGTGTAAGCCGATATCACTGCTTGTGGCACAACACAATATTTTTATCGACATTGGAAACATCAAATTTTGTCAATTTTTGGGTTTTCGACAGCAGTCATATCGGCAAAAATATTTATTTACGCCAATTTTACTCTTGTTTTAATTTTGTGCCGAAAACATTAAAATTTAGTGGGAAAAATGGGGCGTCGTTCTATCAACACCACGAAGAGTGGGAAATATATGAATCCAACTGATCAAGCAAGTAAGTATATCTGGATGAAGCTCTAGAGAAACCACCAAACGTACCATACTCTTAATTTACATTCAGGAAAGGAAGCCCGTAAAAAGGAATTGAAAAAAAATAAACGCCAGAGGCAAATGGTTCGTGCTGCTGTACTAAAAAACAAAGATCCTGGTCAAATTTTGGAAGAAATGGAAAAAATAGATGAAATGGGTATAATTTAAATTTAAGATCTCGTGCTAAATTTATAAGTATCACACAAATTTTTAGAGTACAATGTCTTACAACCATCACCGTTAAATGAAAAAGTCCTTCGCGATAAAAGGAAAAAGTTGAAGGAGACATTCGATCGTGTTATGCGCCTTTATGTAAGTCAACACTGACAAATAATGTGTTTTTATATACGGAATTATTTAAGTCATTTTAATTAATTTTAGCACAACGATGAACCTGAACATTGGGCCGAATTGAAACGAAAAGAGGTCGAATATGAAAAGAAACGTCTAAAAAAACAGCAATATTATGAAAGTGTTAAGCATGCACAAAGTGTACAAATTGATGAGATTCCATTGCCATCATCGAGTCAGGGCCCACCTGCCACCAACTCTACAAGTGCCGTAACATTTCATGTTGCGAATAGGTTGCCTCCCCCGCCAACAGCACTTTCCCTACCGCCATTCGCCCCTGGGGCACCACCAGGCGCAATAAAGAAACCAAATGAATTAGTAAGTAATTTTTAAATAAATAATTTTAACAAACAATATCTTTAAAATTATTTTTAGACTACAAAAATTACTGACAAATCAAGTGATGTAAAAAAGAAGGAACTCTTAGGAGTTCCACCTGGACCACCTCCAAATCTCCTGGAAATGAAAGATTTAGACACAGAAGCGGAAGACGACGAAGTGGAATTAAAGGAATATAATCCAAAATTAAAAGCTTCCAAAGCAAAATCACTAAGTAAGCCCAATTCATTACAACAACGAATGTTAGCTATTTCTGGTCAAAATATTGATGAATTTATGAAAGAAATGGAAAATGTACATAAAAAGAAAGAAAAAGAGCGAGAATCTGCAATGCGTGGAAGTGATGTACCTTCGTCAGATGAGGAGGGCAAATCTAAACCATCTCATAAATCTGATGGTGAAGATGGTACACCTGTAAGTAGCCGCAGTTCAGATGATTCAGACAGTGGGGATGATAGTGAAAATCCTGTTCGGTCACCTAAAAGAATACGAAAGGAAACAAATAGTCCAAAAGATGAGTCAACTTCTGCCGTAGGCACTCCTGCGTCCACATCTGTTCCTGTCACCATACCTTTGCCGCCTGTGCCACCCCATGTAGGTCCACACATTACTATTCCCGCTCCACCCATGCCACCAGTGGGTAGTTTAGCGCCTTCAATGATCTTGCGGCCCCCGCCTTTACGACCACCGGGAGCGTTACATAGTTTTGGCATACGTATGCCACCAGGTCCACCGCCAGGACCACGGTTGCATGGAATGGGTGGCATGCCACCAAGAATGGGTATACGTATGCCGCCTGGGCCACCGCCTGGTATGCCTCCACGAATGGTACATCATCATAAAAATCAACAACTTATTCACAAGGATCAGACTAAAGGTATAACCACCATTACAGCAAAACCACAAATAAGGTAAATAATATCAATATAGATATGGTGAATTTTTATAAAATTTGTTTTGTTTTCAGAAATTTGAGCGCGGATGTTACCCGATTCGTTCCATCTACTTTGCGTGTAAAACGAGAAGAGACGCGGAAACCTGGCACGCGTACGAAGCTGGTCCAAGAGCCAAGTAATCATGGTGCGGAAACAAATAAAGCAGCCACAAAAGATGATGCATATATGCAATTCATGAATGAAATGCAAGGATTATTGTAACTCTCATATGTATAGAGTAAATTAATCTTTAAGTACTTCTTTTCTTTTTTATTGTTGTAGGAATGATATGAGTTATTTATTGTAGAAAAATATGAAAGCACAAGAATTTTGTTTGGTTTATGACTAACTTTTCAGCTACTCAAATATTTGCATATATGTATTCCTTATTGGCGCTTGGAATTTGTAAAAAAAATTTTGGCCGAGTAGGGATCGGAGTACGAGGTCTTTGGTATGCATATTAATAGTTTTTTAACAAATGGAGTGATAGCTGATCGATTTTTTGAGGGAGGTTATTCTCTGATATTAATTGCTGCTGCTGTAACCATAAAAGTAAGTTGCTCTGCTGAAACCCCGGTTCGTTTCGGTATAAAAACCCACCTCTTACTACATTAAGGCCTGAGAGGTGATTCTCTGACCTCGCTCTTACCACGGTGGTCTTGCCATTTAGGGGCCTTGAACTCAACTACTGAGACAGCCACCGCCACTATCTCGAAATCGACAGCGATGATGATAGCAAGATATCCCGGCATAAGAAAATTTACCAAGCTATATGGCTGTCGCCAGGTCTAGAAACTTGTGTCCAAATTTGTGATAGACGTAAGACAAGTTGCCAGTCCTAAAATCGAGCGCCATTCGTTTCTGCTTTTTGCTGTGTGGCGCCAATTGGAAATACCAAGTACAGCCAGGTCCTTCTCTACCTGGTCTTTCCATCAGAGTAGAGGTCTTCCTCTCTTTCCACCGGCGGATACTGCATCGAAAACTTTCAAAGCTGGAGTATTCGCATCCATCCGGATCGCCTTGTGGAGTTTGGTTTTCGTTCGTCGGGAGAGGACTTTACTTCAATGCGGGGGTATAAAGAAGGAATATTGCAAGAAAATCTATGAAAAGACAAAACGGTTTATAGCATGTTTAAAGACTGAAACATACTCATGTGGTAACCAAAGATATAATATTGGGACCAATGTCCAGAGAACTCTTGGTTTATGGAGAGAATTCTTCTCCTTACTAAACAGCGATGAAAGTCGTGGAAGGTAGTAATATCCAATAAGTCGATACTAGAAGTTTTCGAGAGAAAGGTTTTAAGAAGCTGTACCACACTCACATACGTATGTATGTAGTTCAGCTATGCTGGTCTGGATCATGTTATCCGGATGACTGAAAATACTTTAGCTCTTCAAATCCCTGGATGAAGAAATATCTCGAAAAGTAAATTAAACTATTAGGAAAAGAGAAAAGATAAATAACAAAAATACAAACAAAGCAGAAATATTTACACCAACAATCGATGACGTGAACTCGTGTACTACAATTACGACGAATTACGTGAACTAGTGAGTTTTATTTTATAAATTTTTATGCGATTCCCATAATCTGGCATCATGCGTGTATATTCTTATTCTCACCACTTATTTTTGTTTTCATAATCGCATCAGTGGTGGCTTATAAAAATTGACGTTTACCGAAATATTTATGGAAATTTGGTTCCATTACTATTTGATCCGTTTAATTTTTAGACCAAGTACTGCATCTTAAAATAAGGATATGATGCGGATGGTGGTCTATTTGACAATAGCAGCTCTATTTTGGCAATTTGAGTTGACGAATTCCCGCACGTCAACCCTGTGGAAACTAAATATAGATAGTGGCAAAATAACAGGACACATCTCAACTACTCGACGTCAAACGGATAATGCTATGCTGGAAGATTTTAATATACCAATGTTTGATGCCAGTGCTGATGTCTATGCTCAAGACGAAGTTTTTTATATCATCGCTTCCACTTTTGCATTGGGCGCAAGTGCAGGAGTTGGTAGAGGCGCTGACGGCAATGAGAATAACGGTGCTGGATACGGCTGGGTGCGTGAATCTCCAGAAAATTCATTGGAAACATTTGAGACATTAACGAAGCATTGCAATGAAAGTAATTCCGCCGAGAATGAGCATGGAATGACTGAAATAAGAAATAAAAAGGCAGCCGGAACTGCAGGTAGTGCGGTTATAACAACTACGTCTAACGTGGATACAGCATTAGTGATTGATGAAACTCTGGACTGTCCACCTGTAAATTATTCATTCTACGATTATCTTATCGGAGTAGGTCATAGATTTGATCTACCTAAGGTACCCGAACCAGAGGTCAATATATAACAAAAGGAAAACTATATTGGTGAAATATTAAGACTAAATAAATATTTTTGTTAATTTGATTAGGTAGCGTACCTGTTTTTGAAAACCAAAGACGAAAACTCTTTCAAAAATTTTGATATTACTGCGCTGGAACGACGCTTAAAAAGAATTAAACGTGAAAAGCCCATGAGTGCACAGTTATACCATCAAATTGGAAACTACTGGCGTATTGTGGGTGATGCACGGCAATCTATTAATTGTTTCAGGCGATCTCTGGCAATGTCGCCAGTGAATCCAGAAGCTCTCTTAAATTTAGCGCGTGTACTTTACAATTTACAGTATCTTGATGACGCTATATATTTGGCTCGAAGGTATGTCCTTTTCAACTTTTTTCAAATAGCGTCCTTATAATAATTTTTCTTATTATTTGCGATTTGAATTGCTGATGTGTAATGAATGCATAAAAATTGCTGTGTTGTATTCAGCTGTATAAAAATTAATCTGTAGTTATTACGTTTTTCTTAATATTAATTACTAGTTATTCCATCAGGTCACTTGAACTGACACCATCTGGAGGCAATTGGCAACAATTTTTCACGCTCGGAGAAATTTTTAGAACATATGGACATTTCCAACAATCAATTGTCCATTTTCGACAAGCGCTTGATCGTCATCCACATCACGAACCCATATTGAAGGCGCTGCGGGACTTGGAAAATAATCCTTCATCAACATTGCATGTATACACTGTCGTCATTATTGTTGCCTTGGTGAGTATTATGATGCAAAGCGATTACTTCTTAACGTAAATTTGACTTTAATTTAATACAAAGTTAAGAGTAAATATCATACTCTAGTATTTTTTACTAAAGTCCATTACAAAAGCTTTAGCTCTGTTTTAAAGCATTAATAAAGTTTGAAATTTTCTCATTATAAATATAAAAATGTATAACTTTTGAATTTCACAGGTAGTTGCTGTTTTTATTGTAGTAATAACATCGTCAAACAAGAATGACAAATACAACGGTTTAAATGGCAGTAGCAATCAAATTGAGAACGAGCCAAAAACGCAACGACATTTCAATCGTGCTATGGCCATGCGTTCACTTAAAGGCTTTTCCTCTTCTTCAACTCATACAAGTTCAACATCGCGGGGCTTTCGACACAAAAAAAACTAAGCAATTTAGAGCAACTGTGTAAAAGGTGTTACATTACCGCTAGTGCTTATTAACTACGTCCACGCCCATGTCCACACAAATAAAATTTGTTTGATGGCACAAATGCTTATACACATACCTATACACAATACACCCCCATTGAACGTAAAGCGAGATCGATCAAAAGAAAAATTAAATTGTGTTTATCAAAGAATTGATAAAAAAAAAATTACGAAATGCCAAAAAATGCATGGATCTCATAAAATCAAACGACCCAGTTACATATTCATTTTTATTTTATTTTCTTACAACCCTATTAATATTCGCATTAAGCAAATATTATGGTTGCATGTTTTTATGTTATGTATGTATAAATATTTAATTTTTTTTTTGCAAGCCAAATAATTGAGTCATAAAATGAAAAATTTTGTTCCTATTATACGCATATTCGATAGTGGGTATATTCTCGCAAATATGTACTTCAGAATCTTTTAAAGAATGTACATACGTATCCGATTGGGTATACGCGAAATCATTGTATGTATGTACTTAAATTTATATCTAAATATTTGGTTTTTCTAGAAATTTTATAAATTACTGTGATAATTTTAATACCAGTAAATTTGTTATTTTTTGCATTTGCACATATGTAGTATTTCTTAAGTTGAGTTTTGAGTGTCGTACTTACATAATTATTTATTATAATATTTATATATAATAATTTTCTTTATTTAAGAAAACTGAAAACCAAAAATGTTAAAGACTTGAAAAAAGTTTCTCTAGTTATTTAATTATTAACTCTCATTTTGTGGTTTTGTTCAACGTGTCATTACAATATGAATAACCTTTGATACATCGTAGATGATTAGCCAAGCAAAAACAAAGAAAAAACAAGAAAACCAATCGAAATAAAAATTTTGTTATACTCCACCTAAAACATAATTTATGTTAGTACATTATAATTTAAAATTCTGCTAAATAAAGCAAACAAACGTCACTAGATTAAATAAACTTTTTTATTATTAACAATTACCAACATAATGTTTATTTTGTTACAAATAACTTTTTTTTAATTAAATTTCAAAACAACAAAAACTGGGTAGTATATAGATACTTGAATGAAATCTCGTACAGTTTATACTATTACATTTAACGCTTTTTTAATATTAAATCGTTATTTTTAATTGAGGAATTTGAATAGCGTTTTAAAACGATTGTTTCATGGTTTGTTTTCTTGATTTCGTTTTGCACAACACATTAAGTATGTATAGTTAAGAAATGGTTCCAGTTACATATTTATTGAATTATCTATATATTTTTTTTTTTTTTTTGCATTTTATTCTTATAACGATAAATAAAATATTTTAACATTGTTAATTCGTTGTAAACAATACATATGGAATTTGGGCGATAAAATGGCATTTCTGTTTGATTGCGTTCAATATGCAACTAATTTTAAGAAGTCTATAAATGGATTATTTATTAAAAACAAAACACACTACTAGAGTGCAAATTTATGCCCGAAACTTATTTTAAAATATGATATAACTCGATTACACACATATAATTAATAAATCATTTCTGAAATCTAACTTAATGCGTTCTTTAAACCATTTGATAATTTTAAAATGATGACAATGTCCAAGGTTATATAATATATATGTATATGTCAATGTTTGAATTCGAAAATTGATATTAATTCGTAATAAAAAATAAATCGGAACCGAATTGCTTTTTCATCAATTCTCTAAAAATTCTTATCTTTCTAGCATCATCTATGCAATCCCTTAGCAGTAGCAAACTCTCAATTTCATCGCCAAGTGCGTTTTTAACTACAGGAAATGAATTCAGTTTTTTTCTAATGTAATTTATAGATTTAATGTTGCAATTTACGAAATGCAAGTCATTGAAAAGTAATTTCCAACAAATAAATGACCTTTCCTTATTATACAAATACAGTTTCCATCTTTGAATAGTATCTTCATGTTCATCTGGTGTAATTATCTTTAAAGCCATGGAACCAAACCAAGGCGACGTGATGATCTTATTAAAATATATACTCGAAATAACTTGATTGTGATTTCCGTTATTTTTCATCAAATTTGTTTCGCGTGGTTGTCGGGAGACGGTGTTGAAGTTGAATTTCTTAGTAAATAAATGTTCAAGTAAAAGAGCATCTGACTTAGTTTCAAATTCGATGTGTAGTACTGATTCTTTGTTCATCATTGCTGTAGCTAAAAAGTCTTGATGAAAAGAAGGAAATTCAAAGGAGAGCTCATACTTTTGTCGATTGTTTAGTATATTTCCCACATTGAAGTTTGTTAATAAAATATGTTGCTCGAAAATTGCAGTTTTTGTAGGATATATTTGAGGCTGTGGATGTTCTTTCTCGACCTCATAATATAATAGTAATGGGCAATTCTCGAGTAAAAGTAATCGAGAAGTGTGTATTGCAACTAAAAGTACAGCAAACGATGATGGCGCTAATTTTGGTAGCTCACACTTTTCCCATATTGAGTTTATATTGTTTAATTCTTCCTCTTCAGTTTGAAAGAATATTTCCGCCGTTTCCAAATCCTCAAACTTCATATGTAACTGATACATACGGTAGTTGTAGATAATATTTTCGGATAATGCATCGTTCATCTTCAAAATTGGCTTCAAGTTCTTGATTGTGGTTAGACAATTTTCGGCACAGTTATTTACAAGTGGAACTCCGATAACAATAGTATCACTCGCAACAAATCTGAACCACACATCACCACAACGAGAAATCAAAGGTTTTTCTTCAAGTTGATCACTGCGGACATAGTTGCATCCAAAGGTTTCCAGATCACGTAAACCGTCAAACTCTTTATGTGTTGTTGACTTATGAACTTGCAGCTCAACTTTAGCGCAGCGAACCCGTTCTAACAATTGTTTTAGGCTATTTTTGTCATTGATATTTTGATTTACGTTTGTAAAATTTTCATGGTGCTGAAAATCTGTACAATTGTAGTTTCCATTTTCAAATTTTATTTCCATTTTAGCTTCAAATTTCTTTTTTCCATGAATGATACGAAAACTATGAACGCCATCAATCTCAGTTGCCAAAGTGAAGTCGGTCAAATTAATAACCAACAACTTATTCCAACAATGTATCAATAAATATATTGTATGTAAATCAAAATTCCTGTAAACATACTTTCCAAATGTAATTCTGTCATTAGAAAAAGATGTACAGTCTCCCGATGCCGTGGATGGCAGGTTTGAGTTTTCTATAGAGCCGTGGGCATATACGGATTCTCTTTTTCGAGCGTTGTTAAAATCAAACCATTTTCTGTTGGGGCCCTTGTAAGCAATCAAATGTTGATAAACCTCCTTCAAACAACTTCCCGATAAATCAATGGAGTTAACAAGTTGTTTTTGGCAGAATTGATAAAATTTCAAATTGCGCGCCAGAGCAAATAAATGTCGCTTCCGATTGATCACAAGACTGTCATAAAATACGAGTTCACCAACGATAAAAGCTGGAAATTCATCTTCCATTTTTGCGCTTTAAAAAATATTAAGGTATATTATTCGATGTATAAAAGAAATATATGCCCCCTATTTTAATTAAAAATCAGGGCATTGTACCAAAATACAAGTAACGCATGTAAAAAATCACAACTCAATTTTTTTTTAATAATGGTTATGTCATACAAACTTAAAGAACATAAAGTTGATTATGTGACACTTAGCGCTTACATGCTAACACCTGGTTAAATTATTATTTCAATTAGACAACATCAAATTCTTCATCCTCATTTAAATTTTAAATTTTAGTCAAAAGAGAAATATTCATCATGTCTCTGAAGCTTTAATGTGACTGTAAAGGTACAACCAAAGTTTTGAAAGGATTAAATGACTTATGGGATCGAATCCAAACTCTGGAGAGACCATAAAATCAGTCCTCAAATCGTTCATTTCGAATAAAAAAATTCGATTTATGATACAACAAATGTTCCTTGAATGATATGCAATTAATTTTCTATCAAAAAGTTAAAACTATTAAAGTAGTACGAATAGAGGTTAGTGTAAATTTAGAAGTCAAATTATATGAAATTTGTTGATAAAGAAGTTAAATTAAACCAGCTAATGGCCAGCGCACGCAGAAAGAGTCAAAAATTTACTTTTTCGACGTGGTATCGCCGTGAAACTAGCTTTTGCAATATAGTCTCATATAATTGCAGAAATAAAAGTTGTAGGGTATGACAGTACTCATTTATTTGCAATTTGATTTCTGATATAAAATTTCCTATTGCTTGTGTTGCGCTAGCAATTTGTAAATCTCTTGAAATTTATATTTATTATATTTAGATTGTTGTCAAAGAAGATTTTAGATGAAATTATTGTAAATTTAATTGCAATGAAATTTTTTAAGCTGGATATGCGTGGCTCGTGAAATAAAATTTTAAAATTTCGAAATTGATTAGTTGCGAGGTCTGAGGACACCTTAAGTTTGACAATTAAATTATGATGGCAGAAATTGTCACATTCATTTGTGATTATTTGAAAGAGCAAACGTCTGATTTCAAAGAAATCTGAGAAAAGTAATAAAATTTTAATAAAAAATGGAGCCAATGACTTTAGGAAGCCCCGGCGGTAGTCCAGCTACAAATAGCCCTTATTTGCCTTCTTTCCTTATGGGAGAAAACCAGATACCTGCTTCTCCACGCAACACTCTTTCTCCAAACAAAGGCACTAGGAACATTTCATTTGGTAAGAATTAATTTATGCTCATATTCTAAATTATTCCTTAACATAATTTTGTCTTAATTAGCAACGTCGCCAATACAAAATACTCCTGTATCTAGTGTTCTGGTAGATCACAATCGTTTTTCTGTCGGACAAAAACAACTATTCAATAGCAGTGTAAGTGCTAATTATTCTGGTACACAAGGTCCACCGACGCAAGGCTTATTTGATTCCTTACGCAGTGAACGCAATCTCGTTGAGACACCAACACGTGGTATAGAAGTGCAATCTCCAATTCGTCTTGGAACTCCAATTTCTAATCAACATAATTTAAGTAATTTTGGTTTGCAACAACAACAATTGCTTCAGCAACAGTTTTCACATCAGTCAACCGCACCATACAATGATTCATCATACTTAGCCAATGTTTCATATAACACCACAGGTTGTGTAACATCACCACTTGGGTCCTTAGGTACACCCAACGCAAAAAGTAATTCATATATGCTGCAGTGCCCACCAGCTCCACGATACACAGACTTTTGGGTTACCATTTATGGGTTTCCGCCAAGTGCGATTTCAACGATTTTACAACATTTTGCTCAATGTGGCACTATTGTGGATAAAGTATTTTCCCCACAAAATGGAAATTGGGTACACCTTAAATATGCATCACGCTTAGAATGTGATAAAGCCCTCAATTATAATGAGAAAATATTGGGCAATAATATTATGATAGGTGTTACACAATGTAAGGATAAAAATATCATCGACAAGGAAAATATGTGCGAAAATAATACGTAAGTTATGAATATAAGAGACCTTCAAAATTTTATTTATATCAAATTAATGAATGAACATAATTTTAGACAACCGTGCAAAGTACGACCATTGGCTCAAAATGCTTATAAAAGCGCCCAAAATGACTCTGCTGTCGACAATAACATTAGTTTACCACAAAAGAGCTCAGGTTTAATGAATAAAGCTATGGATTTGTTCTTCGGTTGGTAAATAAGAGCGACGAGGTGAAATATATGGCTTCTTATAAGTTCTCGTTCAAATGTCCACCATAAAATACTTGTAAACCGATAAAAAAGTTTATTTATAATTTGTGCTTTAGTCAATAAAACTTTTTTAATATTTAACTAAACTTAATAGATATTTACACTCACAAAATTTACTACAGCAATTATGCATGCATATCTTTCTTATGTCGTCTATTTATGACAGGTTAAACGATTTAGATATTCGTGCCAGTTTTATGTTGTGTTAATCTCTTTATTTTGTTTTTGAATATACACATCATTCATAAGTATAGTAGTACAATATTAATATTTTTACTAATAAAGCAAATGCCCGATAATAGAAACTTATAAAACACTGCGTTTAATAATTTACGATTTAAACACCAATCATTATCCATTAACTCGACATATTAGATGCTGCAAAGTACAACTACTTTGGTTTCTCTATGAGTGCTGTTTCCAGTTTAACCATCTTTGGATAATGAACGTCCCGACTGTCTAACTTAGACTGTGCCCAAAGAATTAATTTAAGTAAGAACATAACTTTAGGTGTTGAATCGGTGCTATGTTCGCACTTAAGTATAGCCGCATTCAGTTCGCTGGCAATCTGTGTGAAAGTAAATTAATATCGGTTAAATTATAAATATTTTATTTACCTTCTGCCTATGCGACTGTTCTAATAAATCAGAAAATGGGCTATTTTGCGGTTTTTCAAAAGCCAATAAAGCCAAAGTTCGTTCAAGTTCATTAAGAGCCTCCGGAATGTCCTCACCTGCTTCCGATAATTTATTTTGTGCGAAAGTTAGAGCTTCTTCAATTTTTCCACCACTATACGTATATATTCATCATAAAGAAAATTTGCTATGATAATTTAAAACCCAGAAGCGGAGTCTTACCGAATCAATTCAATAAGCTGCAATTGTTGCAAGTGAAAGAACAAATATCGGTCATTGTCTAGCAACTCAGGATGCAGCTGATTGACAAGATGTGTCGCTTCCTGTATGCGCCCATTTTGGACAGCTTCACGTATAAGTATGCGATCATCTAACGAACTCAATTCTACACTAGGTTCCAGTCCTGCTTCTAACTGAAATTTTTCGGCTGCTTCCTTGAATCCCTCTATGATATAAGGCGTTAAAAAATATTGTTTAATTTTAAAATTATTTTCTCTATCCCTACCAGTTACTAAGTAATTCATAATTAAACGATTCATATCACTCTGCTTATATGGAAATTGTTCCAACTTTCGCATCCAGTCTTCCTTTGTTATACCATCACATTTTTCGTTGTAGCTCATTTTCTTATTCTTCCTTATTTTGCCAATTTTGAGGCCGTTTTTAAAATACTGAATGCTCAAAAAAAGTTATTTTTGATAATCTGATGTTATGAGTGTATATATGCCGTTTTTATATATTATCTCTTCTTGAAAATCTTCGTTCTTTAAAAAATATACAAATATACTTCTCTAGTGTTTTTCTGAAGCTGAAGCAAACTTATTTTGCTTTGCTCCTACTTTTCGTTCATATGGTGTGTTCAGTTAATGGAATTAAACAACATTTCTTTATAATGCATAATATTTCAATATTTCAAACATGATAAATGCACGTTCCCACAAGAAAAAAATTGTCCCTAAAATTTTTGTTAAAGAATACATACATAAATTTCTAAAAGAAACGGCTTATTTTTATGTTAATATAAATTTTTGTTTATTGTGGTTATCTGGAAAAATTAACGAGATAAGTTTTGTCAAATTTTTAAATCAATATAATGAAAACCAAGAGAGATATGGACAGATTCGATTTCATGTGTCCAGTTTAATAATAGCCGTCAGATTGCAAAGTGACGGAAAATACCCAAAACTCGCAAAACAGCTAATAATTCAATTTCCCCCGTCCTTCTTGACATATAATTTAACTTTTCACAAAAGGTAAACATAAACAGTATCAGCTGAAAATTAATCAGATGCATTCGTTTTTGGAATCATTCACTATACTTTCGAAACATGTACAATATTTGAAATGGATATCTACAAGATAGAGCGAATGAATGAATATTTGAGGAACCTTCCATTACGGAGTATCCTTTATTTTCGTTTCGATGCTCTGTGATTTAGCGTTTTCAATATCAAATAAGCGAATATTTGGGAGTACTCCATGTCAAGCGCAATTTACTTCAGAAGAGAGAACACTTCCTTTTTCCGATAAAGAAATAAATATATAAATATTAATGTTGTGGAAAGTGATTTAAAGAATAATATTTTAATATTTACCTAAAATATGTATGAGTTAATATGAAACTATTTTATACTGGACTTGCAATAAAATTACTTCTTTTTGTTACTGGATCAAGATCACCTTATATAAATTCGCCTTATTGTCTTGATTGCAAAATTCATCACAATACATACCTTGAACTGAACATACTGCGAGAGAAAGAATAATGACATAGAACAAAAAATATACATGAGGATTCGATGAGGACAAAAATGACATTTTGACTCATTACACGAACAAAAGATATTGAATAAGAACAAAAAAACCTAGGTTTAACTTGCTGCCGTATTAAGAGATAAGATTTTGTGAAAACTTATACTTGGAAAAATTAAAAAAAGTTCTGACGCACAGGTTGTCGAACTAAATATAGTAAAGAACTCACAATTTGGTGAAAATTATAAGTCAGTAACACACTTTGCATATAATGGCGAAGAAAACCTACGATTTACTTTTCAAGTTGCTACTGATCGGCGACTCAGGTGTAGGAAAAACTTGCATACTTTTCCGCTTCTCGGACGATGCATTTACCTCCACCTTTATTTCTACTATTGGTAAGTTAAGTTTATATGCTATTATAGCCCCAACTTTATGGGTGGAATTTTATACAAAGACGAATTACATTTTCCAACATGGGCGTGGCAGAGCCTGGCCATGCAAACATTGAAACTTTTTTTTACTATGGGGTAACCTTATACTTTAATATGTAATTTGTGTACTTTGCCTTCTAGATTTAATTAAGTTTATAGATAGTTATAATATTGGTATATATTATATATGTAAATTTGCATGTCTTATAAGCATATCTATGTATATATGTACAAGTGATCCCGGCAAACAATTCCTTTGTTTACATACAGTTTCACATAGCAGATATATGTCTTACAAACATATAAAATAATTACCAATGTATCATATAGTAGCAAATATTTTTCAATTAATCATTATTTTGTAAAAATAAGTACATATATTACATAAAAAATTCAGCTCACACGGCATATCAATCGAGTATCAATAATTTAAAAACAGTTTTTTTTTGTGAAATATATGCTTATATATTTTTCTATAAATATCTTTATTGTGTAATTAAAGGTATTGACTTTAAGATAAAAACAGTCGAGCTGAGGGGTAAAAAAATCAAACTCCAAATATGGGACACAGCCGGTCAAGAACGTTTTCACACTATCACTACGTCCTATTATCGTGGTGCTATGGGCATAATGCTAGTGTACGATATAACAAATGAAAAGAGTTTCGAAAACATTGTTAAATGGTTACGAAATATAGATGAGGTAAGTAGCAGTTGTCTTCTTATTTATGTCGATTCATGCATACAAATGTATGCATGTGTGCACGTACATACTATCTAAGTATGTCTGTTTCTATATTACTTATGTGCGAACCTAACTCGAACCAGATACCATTTACATCATAATAAATACTTTTGCAACTCATAAGGATAGCCAGGGTCATCTTTAGTGTTCCTTGATCAAAATCTAATTTAATGAAGTACAAATGTGTGCATGTACATGTTGCATATAAATAGAAAGCAGCTCGGTATATATGTTTTAAATTCTATTGACACATTTTTGCGGAATTGTTTTTAGTTGCTATTTGAATGCATATTTAAGGTACATACATACGTATATGTATAGATCTAATAAAAAATGGCGTAGTTTTTGTTATAGATTTTATTTATCATTTTAGTTGTTTCATTATAAAGGAAATTTATTAACAAAAGTGTTTTCAATTTAATAATTTCGATAATGAATTTTAAGTTAATTTGGTTATCCGTATATAAAATGGTCTGTTGATAATAATATTAACAAAAATCAAAATTAACTTGCAGTTCCTGAACTCATTAAAAAAGATAAATTCGAAAAGAGTCCACAATACATATGTATATGGCAATTCTATTCAAAGAGTAAAAGATTATCTAAAGTAAGCAAAACTTAACAATTTCAGTAAGCAAATATATAAATATGTATTATGTGTGCATATTTGTATGTATTTAGTTAATTATGTTTTAGGAAAGATACAACATTTGTTTGAATAAGAATTATAACCTTGTTTATAAGAAGCTGCCTACTACTGCTTTATTGAAAATATTTTTTACGGCTTCTGGCTTTCTAATGTGCATTAAATTTACACATTTGTTCATGGTGTCAAGCAAACATCACAATTTTCATTAGGATAAAAAAACATCCTCCGATCAACTAATGAAGTTTTATAAGAGGTTCTGGTTTTAATGTGATGTAGATGAAACATGTAATCTGTATATGCATAAATTGTTTGAACTTTTCGTACAGTTTACAAATTTTTCACACTGGGTTTGAACGTACATTCATGCATAAATATAGGAGTAAACATAAATACATAATATATAAATATTGTATATATAAAAAATATTAATTTTTTTCTGTTCAAACCCAGCATGCAAACGAAGATGTGGAAAAAATGATCCTTGGTAATAAATGCGACATGACAGACAAGCGTGTTGTGAGCAAAGAACGCGGAGAAGCGGTAAGTTAAATTTATTTCCATTTGTTATACTTATAATTTTATTCCAACATGTTTTTCCTCATTGGCAGATCGCGGTAGAACATAGTATTCGTTTTATGGAAACATCTGCCAAATCCAATATCAATATTGAACGTGCATTCTGCGAACTTGCTGAAGCTATTCTAGACAAAACATCTGGTAGGGAGGCAGCCGATAATCCCGATCGTTTAGTGGTCGATCGTCGGAATAACGAAAAGACGCCAGCCTACAAAAGTTGTTGTTCTTAAGTTTATCGTAACCGACACTTATCTACTACGCCACCAACAGCACCACCACCACCAATTACCACTTCTACATCCTTATTGCTACTAAATAATAAAAAAAAAAGATATTGAATAAGAGGCAAACAATAAATACAAATCACTAGAATAGTATTTGCCTATAACAAAATAAGAAAATATCAATTTTTATATAAAAAGAAATTAATTATCAACACAATTCAATTCATTTATTACGTGTTTATTGTAATTTTTACGATAAGAGGGAAAGGATTGAAATATTTGTATAAAGTGTAAAATGATATGTGCAATTGCTTATGCATTGATTTACATAGGTCAACATCATATGCTTTTATTCGCTTCTAAAAAATGTTTGAAAGAAGAAAGTAATGAATTACATAAATCTTTAAATTAAAATATCCATATATGTATATATTCTTTTTAGTGGTGAAATAAGTTTATGTGTGGTAGCAAGTTATGCGTATACGATTACACGCTTCACTTCTCCAAAGAAGCATCGTAATTCGTTAAGGTTATAATTTAAAAATGTTTACCCATACACATAAGTCGGATTCTTACATCCAACAATATTCTATCTTTGATATTGAATGTTAATGATGAAAAAAAATTAAAGAGACATCTTGGCATCTAGTTTAAACAAAGATAGCAAGCATGCCAAATACAAATTTTAGAATTATATAGAAATAATCCCACTATTGAATTTATTCATTTCAAAAGTATTTTTTTCCCTTGCACAACAATATATTCAGTTAGTTGTTATAAAAAATTAAGCGCAGAAGTGAAAAATAGCATCATATACATCATTACAAAATCTCCCCATTAATTTAGATAGAATACAGCCGGTACACTTGTCATGTTTGCATTCGAATTCTTTATTTATGCAAATTACATGTTTTATTTTTCATTATTAATAAACTTAAGAATATGTTTATAATTTCAGAAGTTTTTCCATAATTATTGTGTTTTCTTATCATCCCCTTTATTACCTCTTGAGGTAGCTACATAACTTTCTTCTTTAAAGTGTAAAAATACAAATGAAAAGAGAAATACTCCGATCATCATGGAGAAAGCACTGGTGTAGTAAGGAAATGCACTAGGGATGAAACGTTCATATTCCGTATGTTCCAGCGGACGAACCGAAACTTGAGTAGTATTATAAAGGTGTGTATAGCCAACACGGTCGTAGTTAACTTTGAATTGGTACACACCATATACATCAGGTATTTTAAACTTTGCTTCATAATGCCCACCACCAATTTGTTTTAGGGTAGTACGTACAAATGGATCTATGCGCACAAATTCTAATTGCACATCATTTGCTTTGAATGGTTGCCACTTTTCCTGCACTAATTCATCTATAGTAATAGTGTATACTACTGGGTCGGTGATTGTGTAGGCTTGTTCTGGGGGATGCGATTCGCCCTCTTTATGATGATTCACAGTAGCTACGCGCAAACGACCGCTTTCACCAAATACCCATTTGCTTATAGAAGTGGCTACATCCTGATTACTTGCTTGTTTGTGGAGTATACCATCTTGGACATTTTGTATGGAGGCAGTAAAAGCTTCATCGGAAAAGAAGTGTAGAGATCCAGAAAACACGACACGAGCGTTATTTCGCGCTTGTATAGCTGCAATGAGCAGGGTATTGCGACCTACTGCATGTGGATATTCCTTTACAATAAGATCTGGCTTGTAACTATAAGCTGTACTTTCGGCAGTTAATAAATGTAATACCAAAGGATTGTCCTTGTCGGCCAATAGACCAGTACCTCGGTATATCAAGGGAGCAGTTTTCTTTGCACCTACAATTGTTGCCGCATTGATAAGATTGCTTGCAGATGTTAATATGGTAGTATGATCACCAGCATCGGAGGCGTCATAATTTAAGTGGTCAATGACAGTGGCTCCTTCCTCATCGACTTCAAATCCACATTCTGATGCAAATTCACGCAGAGCATCGCCCGATTGATCACTAGCTGCAACTAAAACGTTGCCACCATCATCAACGAATTCAGTCAGTTTTTCTACGTTCAGTTCGCCGCCGAACTCTTCCACACTAGGTGCAAATATAATAACATTCTTGTAAAGATATTCTCCATATCGCGAGAGTACTAATCCAGAGTCATCAGCCAATTTATAAACAAGTTTAAAGCCACGATCTGCAGAAAGAAAATGATTCCATGATATTTGACCACGTCACTTCAAATATTTGATAGCTTACCTTGCAATGATTTGAAAAAAATTGAGTGTGTTTCACGTATCGCTAAATTATCTAACAAAACGAGCGTATTAGCATCGGTCTCCAAAACAGCAATTGTGGTTTGAACTGCAAGGAAACTTAAAATAAAATACTTCCACATATTCTTTAACATTTATGCTCGCCGGAAGATATTTAGAAATATGTGCAATGAGAAAAAATTGTACGCCCGATAATAGAGTTGCCAAGTAATTTGTAAAGAAAACTAACTACCGGCGAAAGAGTTGTCGTTACGAAATTAGTGCAGCATGGTTGCATTATAGTTGTCCATTAACAAAGAACGTATCTGAATAAAAAGCGACATGACGGTCTCGTAAATTATTATTTATTTGAAGAGTCAGTCACAGGAGTTCGCGTCCCCTTTACACGATTCGTTGTTCGGAGCGGCGATATGTTGAAGAACGTCCATGCGTTAATTTTCGAGACCGTCATGCCGCTTCTTATTCCGATACGTTCTTTGCCGCTTCTATTCATATACGTTCTTTGACTCGACGCATAGCAGCGTTATTCAAATATCTGGCAACGAGTTAACTTATTTTGACATTTTATGTATTTGGCTGCAAGCGTTAATATTAGCAAAAATCGGTTTTACGTATATCAAACGTTGAAAAATGGAAAATATTCCTCGTACTCACGAAGGTAAGTCAATTTTTAATAAATATCCAGATCTTGAAAGTTTCGTTGGTGGCTAACATTAAATTTTGTAATCACATATACTTTAACTTTTTGTGCTCATCCAATCAATGTCCACACTATTCCCATATTGATTTGATTTTTCCCACTCGACATGAGCGTATGTCATGAAAATCACTAAAATTTTGTTTTTATTGTTATATCTGCAGATATTGAGGCACAGATTGCCGATATACAAACCAAAAAGAAAGAAATTCAAAAAAGTTCCGTAACTGGAGTTGGATTATTGGACACTGGGGGCTTCTATGATACTGATTTATACGATGAAAGCGGAGGTAAAGGCAAAAATCGCTATGAAGGTTATAACACATCGATTGCCGCTAACGATGAAATGGATGAAGATGAAGATGATGGCTTTCCTGTACCACAAAAACGTACCACTTATACAGCACCTTCTTCTGTTCTGAAAGATGTTACTCAGGGAAAAGAAGATGTTGATCCAATGGCTGATAGGCGCCGACCAACTATAGCGGATAGGGAAGATGAATATCGGCAGAAAAGGCGACGCATTATTATATCTCCAGAACGTGCAGATCCATTTGCTGATGGTAAGCACACTTGGAAAATTATTTTTTTTGTTTCAAACATTCATTCGTACAAATTTCTTTTTAGGTGGAAAAACTCCCGATATCGGTTCTAGAACTTACCCTGATATCATGCGGGAGCAAATGCTCAAAGGAGAAGAGAGTGAGGTATGTATACTCCATGAAAATTTGAAAAATAACTAATGAAAAATTTTAAATATTCAGTTACGTAGGAAAATACAAGAAAAGTCCAAGGACGGTACATTGTTAAAATCATCAAATGGAGAAGTACCTAAAGAGACTACTACGCGTAAGCGAGGACGTTGGGATCAAACAGTAAGCGAAAGTTTTGTACCTGCGAAAGTATCTGCAACGCCTAACAGTGCCGCAACACCTACTTGGGAAGATGTAAGAATACTTTTAATTGTTTGCTGTGAACAATAATTTGTTATTATAATTTTTTTTCAGAAAACACCAGGCGATCATCGTTGGGATGAAACACCAGGTCATAAGGGAAGCGAAACTCCTGGTGCAACCCCAGGTCTGGGAACACGCATTTGGGACGCTACACCCGCACACCCTATGACGCCTAGCCATGAGACTCCAGGCCATGAGAAATCAGCAAGGCGCAACCGTTGGGATGAAACTCCTAAAACGGAGCGTGAAACTCCTGGTCATAGTGGTTGGGCCGAAACACCTAAGCCCGATCGCGGTACAAGTGACAATGTTGTTGCTGAATCTACGCCTGGCGCTTCAAAGCGACGATCACGCTGGGATGAAACTCCTTCAAATGCGACTCCTTCAATGACACCCTCTTCGGCTATGACACCTAGCCTAACGCCCAGTATGACCCCACATACCACTCCAGGTCACATTACACCACTGCTAACTCCGGGTGGCACTACGCCAATTGGAGTCAAAGCGATGGCAATGGCCACTCCTACACCGGGTGCGCTGGCAGCAATGACACCGGAGCAACTACAAGCTTACCGCTGGGAAAAAGAAATTGATGAACGCAACAGGCCGTTAACAGATGAAGAGCTTGATCAAATGTTTCCGCCTGGCTATAAAATACTACCACCACCTGCTGGTTACGTACCCTTACGCACGCCTGGGCGTAAATTGATGGCAACACCCACACCAATAGCCGGTACGCCCGCAGGATTTTTCATTCAAGTTGAGGATAAAAATGCCAAATTTATGGATAACCAACCGAAAGGCCAAAATTTGCCTTTCATGAAACCCGAGGATGCCCAATATTTCGATAAGCTACTTGTTGACGTGGATGAAGATAGTCTTTCGCCTGAAGAAGCTAAGGAGCGTAAAATAATGAAATTGCTTTTAACTATCAAAAACGGCTCGCCTCCAATGCGTAAATCATCATTAAGACAAATAACAGACAAGGCACGTGAATTTGGCGCTGGACCTCTTTTTAACCAAATTCTCCCTTTACTTATGTCCCCAACCTTAGAAGATCAAGAGCGTCATTTACTTGTAAAAGTTATCGATCGAGTGCTTTATAAGTTGGATGATTTAGTTCGGCCTTACGTTCATAAAATTCTCGTCGTTATTGAACCATTGCTTATTGATGAAGATTATTATGCTCGCGTGGAAGGAAGAGAAATTATTTCGAACCTCGCTAAGGCGGCAGGGCTTGCCACTATGATTTCCACAATGCGTCCAGATATTGACAACATTGATGAATATGTGCGTAATACAACAGCGCGAGCATTTGCAGTTGTGGCTTCAGCATTGGGGATCCCATCCTTACTACCTTTTCTCAAAGCAGTATGCAAGTCGAAAAAATCTTGGCAAGCTCGTCACACAGGTATAAAGATCGTCCAACAAATAGCTATTTTAATGGGTTGTGCAATTCTGCCCCATCTAAAGGCTTTAGTGGAAATTATAGAGCATGGTCTAGTAGATGAGCAGCAGAAGGTGCGGACAATTACGGCCTTAGCTATTGCTGCTCTGGCTGAAGCAGCTACACCTTATGGTATTGAATCTTTTGATTCGGTACTGAAACCTCTCTGGAAGGGTATTCGAACTCATCGTGGTAAAGGTTTGGCTGCATTTTTGAAAGCCATCGGATACCTGATACCACTTATGGATGCTGAATATGCCAACTACTATACACGTGAAGTCATGTTGATTTTGATTCGTGAATTTCAATCGCCCGATGAAGAAATGAAAAAAATCGTATTAAAGGTCGTGAAGCAATGTTGTGCAACTGATGGTGTAGAGGCTCAATACATCAAAGAAGAAATTTTACCTCATTTCTTTAAATTCTTCTGGAATCACCGTATGGCTTTAGATCGCCGCAATTATAGACAACTGGTAGATACGACCGTGGAGATTGCGAACAAAGTGGGTGCTTCGGAAATTATAAATCGGGTTGTAGATGATCTGAAAGACGAGAATGAACAATATCGTAAAATGGTAATGGAAACAATAGAGAAAATTATGGGAAATTTGGGAGCTGCAGACATTGACTCCCGTCTGGAGGAGCAGCTAATTGATGGTATCTTATACGCTTTCCAAGAACAAACCACCGAGGATGTAGTCATGTTGAATGGATTTGGTACGATTGTTAATCAACTTGGCAAGAGAGTAAAGCCATATTTACCACAAATTTGCGGAACTATTCTTTGGCGTCTTAATAATAAATCAGCCAAAGTTCGTCAACAAGCTGCTGATTTAATATCCCGCATTGCCATTGTCATGAAGACCTGTCAAGAAGAGAAGTTGATGGGTCACTTAGGTGTTGTATTATATGAGTATTTGGGTGAGGAATACCCAGAGGTTTTGGGAAGTATTTTGGGTGCTCTCAAAGCAATTGTAAATGTTATTGGTATGACTAAAATGACACCGCCCATAAAGGATTTGCTGCCGCGCCTCACACCAATTTTAAAGAATAGGCATGAAAAAGTACAAGAAAACTGCATTGATTTAGTCGGAAGAATTGCGGATCGTGGGCCAGAATATGTTTCAGCACGTGAATGGATGCGTATATGCTTCGAGTTACTTGAGTTACTTAAAGCTCATAAAAAGGCTATTCGTCGTGCTACTGTGAACACTTTTGGGTATATAGCCAAAGCAATTGGTCCTCACGATGTACTAGCAACACTTCTTAATAATTTGAAAGTGCAAGAACGTCAGAATCGTGTATGTACTACAGTTGCAATTGCTATTGTAGCTGAGACTTGTCGACCATTTACAGTACTACCGGCGTTAATGAATGAGTACCGTGTACCCGAATTGAACGTGCAAAACGGTGTACTCAAATCACTTTCTTTTCTCTTCGAATATATTGGTGAAATGGGCAAAGACTATATTTATGCTGTATGTCCCTTATTGGAAGACGCATTAATGGATCGCGATTTAGTACATCGGCAAACTGCCTGCGCTGCTATTAAGCACATGGCACTTGGCGTATACGGTTTCGGATGCGAGGATGCGTTAATTCATTTACTAAATTATGTTTGGCCCAATATTTTTGAAACTTCACCACATTTAGTACAAGCATTTATGGACGCTGTTGATGGACTGCGTGTTTCGTTAGGGCCCATAAAAATTTTGCAATATACTTTACAGGGCCTATTTCATCCGGCACGCAAAGTCCGTGATGTATATTGGAAAATTTACAACTCGCTTTATATAGGTGGTCAAGATGCATTAATAGCGGGATACCCAAGGATTACTAATGATCCCAAAAATCAATATGAACGATACGAGTTGGATTATATGCTCTAAAAATCGTCTTTATAATTGGAAAACATTTTTATAATATTAATATGATAGAGTAGCCGTACAATGATTATTAAATGTAATAATAATAACGAAATAGTTTTATTTCATCCAAATCGCATTTTTACTTTGTTAGAAGGCATTCATTCCGGAAATTGTGACATTCAAAAATCACCTCGTAAAGAAAGTGAACGGTTGACATGGTTCATTTCCATTACTTCTTCTTTTGAAAGGAAAGATTCGTACCGTTTAAAATATCATTCAAAATATCCTTCTGGGATTTCTTTATTTTCATTAATACATTTTCACATACATATGTGAGGAATATTCAATTAAATTATTGTAGTCGGGTACATTTACGCACATACATAAAATTAATATTGGCCATGTTACGGAATTCCGAATGCTGATTTTGTGCTTAACTGTGTTATCGTTCCATCAGTTCTTCAAAAACCATAATTAAGTTTTCTAATCCAAAAATATAGTTGGTATCTAAAGATTGGTTTTCGGTGGGAAATACATGTGCGAAATCGATCATTTTCACCTTAACCCATTTTACAATACTTGTTGAATACTCCGGGCACTTCTCCAAATTAAAATGTGTGCTATGATTATTTTGTATATTACCATTTGGAATTTGTGAAATTCCATTGTTTGTGTGTGTTTCATTTTGTTTTAGATGCTTTTCCATGTAGTCAAAGTCATATACTATTAATAAGGAACTTGCATAAAAATTATAAATAGTTTGCACCTTAAACCAGTCTCGTATGCTGTATAGTTGTTTTAAGATTTCAAACACTAATGGTTTAAAAACTTCTCCATTTTGAGCATTTAGAAAGAGTGCTATAGTTTTCCGAAATCCATCGACATCTAGATTTTTACCATACTCCTTGCTATAGCGTAGAGCTTTGCTGACTGCATACGTATATACTTGGAAGCCCGGTACACATAGGCCCAACACTTGTTTGCAGCGTAGATATTTTTGTTCCTCTACACGACGTTTTTGTTCTGATGCCATGGGGTCCCAAGTACGTTTTCCCACTTTAATATCCATTATGCAAGGCTTTCGCATACCGTTTGTAAGGTCTTCCATCTTTAGGAAAGTATGTTGACGGTTGTTAACAAATAATTTTACCATTTTATAGTATTTGGGTACAAATGAACGTAGTGGCAACAACAAATTTGAATCTTCCGATTTTTCAGCCAGTTGCAAATTTTCATAAAAATTTAGTTCACGTTCTCCACACTCAGGTTTACCTAAAGGTTTAAGTACGCAACCATTATTATCTTGTAGAAGACCTAAAGAAGCGGCATCGAATGTATGGCCAGCCACCTGCGTTTCCATCGCTGCAAATCCGGCAGGAAGTTGTATTTCAAGCTGTTCGACAACAGACAATACGTTTGTGAGTTTTGACGACATTTTTGTCGAATATAGACTTGGCATCAGCTTACAATTTTTCGTAAGTTAACGCTAAGCCACTTGTAAACATATGTATGAGTAATGCAATTACTACAAAAGCACTTTCAATTACACCATTTATTCATGTTTAGATCCATATCCCACTGTTAATACCGTCTGAATCCAAAAGGGGGTTTGGAAAATGTTGCCAGACATCACATAATTTGACTTTTAAATATTACTTTGATGAAAAAGATTATATGTTTGCTTTGAAAAATATATTACACTACTAAATTATAAAATTAGGAAAATATATAGCGATAAACACATCATATATGAGAAAAGTAATTTTCTTTAGTTTGCATGTATATAACTTTTTTAAGCATACTTTTAGGTGTTTCAATTATTGATTCACAATATAATTTAGTAATGCCATTTGTCTTCAGGAGTTTCAAATACCTTAAATTTTTCGGCAAAAATTGTAATTAATTTAGGTTTAAATTTTTGAAATAAAATTAACATATTTCTAATAAGTTCATTTGGATTTTCAATGTGTTCAATTTATATATTGGTGAAACGAATTAATTCACAGTTGGTAGTGTTGGCTACACTGACAGCGCGCAATCAACCGATTTCGCACACGGCAAAGGAAACGAACTAAATCCGTCGGAATTTGCACGGAAATAAATTCCTATTTTTTTATAAGTTACTCGTATTTTTGCATAATTTTAGTTACTGGATTATAAAAAGGCGATGGCGTTGAATCCACAGTACGAGGATATTGGTAAAGGATTTGTGCAACAATATTATGCGACATTTGACGACCCCAACCTCAGAGCGAATGTGGCTAATTTCTACAGTGTGAGTGTGAATATGATTTGAAACTTTCAGCTGGTGTGGTCTCCGCTGTCTTACTAATTATGTTGTTGTGATTGTCAATATTGCTCCGCCTTTGTATCTTGAGGTCTTATAACTTAAGACTTTCCAAATAATATATGACATTAAAATTCTATACATATTACAAAAGTGACAAGAACGCTTAACGTCCATTAGAGCTATTTTTAGTTTATCTTCTCATGAGAACATGCATTTTCTGGACCATTCCGTGAGGTCAATGAAGGCAGTTGTAGCAGCAAAACTAATGCAAATGATATTCCTACAATTTCTTATTTACACTACATCCACTTTTTCAGGCAACAGAATCATTCATGTCCTTTGAGGGCGTACAGATACAAGGAGCACCCAAAATAATGGAAAAATTATCTGTGAGTTCTATTTGCACATGTGTACGAACTGATTAACGAACATTTTATTTCTGCAGAGTTTATCTTTCCAAAAAATCTCAAGAGTTATAACAGCAGTGGACTCGCAACCAATGTTCGATGGTGGAGTATTAATCAATGTATTGGGCAGACTTAAGGTAATAAATGAAATGTGCCACAATATATATATAAGAAAATGTATCAAAAGACCGTATATACACACATATGCAATTCTACATTTAAGTTTTCGATACTTTTATTAATCTATTTGTGTACACGCTGCAATTGATGCCTCATCAGACCGATGATGACCAGCCGCATGCGTACATTCAAACATTTGTTCTTAAACCAGTGGGTGTTAGTTTCTTCGTACAACATGATATTTTCAGGCTATCTCTACACGACGTATAGTTTCAAGGAAATTATGCACTGCGTGCACTGCCCCCAAAACACGCGCTTGACAGTGAACGCTACAGCTACTGCTGCGTTAACTACATAAATGAAAATTTTAATAAAAACTATGCTACTTTGCTAACGTATGTTACCTTAAATAACGATAAACAGAAAAAACGAGAAATGGCAACAATTTAGAATAATAAATTTGACTGACTAGTGACTGTGTCGCTCTTACACGTCGGCACTGCCGCCCACATCGCCTTTTTCATCGCTGCCGAATAGCTATGAAGAGCGATCAATTGAAGCCGGTGGACATAAATAAACGTGATTGTATCGTATGTAAAATTTTGAAGTCGTGTCTATTACCCTACCCTCATAGATACATAAGTAGTATGAGTATCTACCAAATCAACTTATTTCTAACGCTTTATACTTTTGATATATATATATTTTTTTTTACTAATATTGGGATATATGTATGAATGAACGTACACCCTTAATATTAAATAAACAGCATAATATTGCTTTAACTTCACGCATGCCAAACTATGTACAAAAAACGTAATTCCAGAAGCGCTTGTTATATGATATTATAAGATCTTATGTTATGCTGAAAGCTATGTTATGTGCGGTCAAATATAGGTTAAATATCTCTAAAAAAATATAACATTAGTAGTATATTTTAAACTATTATGAAATACTGGGTTTTATATTAATACTAAATCTTTAAGTTATTCTATTGTTTTCGGCAATAAGTTTTACCTTTGGTAAATTAATAAAACCCCTTGGAAAAAATGTCACGCTCTCCCATTGTGCAAAATAATTAGTCAATTCATGTTTTAATGAAATCATACATGTTATTTTTAACATATTTATTTAGTTATATGTTATTTTAGAATAAAGCTTCTGTAAAATAATTCCTTTTATTTCTGTTTGTTTATTTTTAGTGTGATGACGATCCACCACATGCTTTCTCACAAGTCTTCGTCTTGCGGCCAATCGGCAGTACATTTTTCTGTGCACACGACATCTTTCGTTTAAATATACACGACACAGCCTAGTTGTGTTAACATTTTGATTACATTTATAATAATAATGATATAAAAATATTAAAGAAGAAACCGAGTAATTGTAATAACGTTAGAATCTGTTTGAATTTTTTTTTTGTGGAATGTGCGCTATGGCTGGTTTGGATCTCTTTTTAAAGACATTTCTATATTCTTAATTAGCAGCCTATATAGATGAGAACCGGTATTCTGAAATCGAATGACTACCCTGCAAGAAGGCTTTCGATTATTTGAGCCAACATATGTCAGGAATACATGACGACATATCCCGTCAGTTCGTAGAACGATTATCCTATCACTTTCTTAAGGCGGAAATAACAAACGTGATGCTGAAGAAAATCAGCTTTGACAAAAATTTTCCCTACATATATACACAAATACAAATATTATTAAGATTCAGTCTTTATTTCAATATATAACATAAATTATGGCTACTGCAGTAAGATGAGAAGCGTCCATTACAGTCAAACTGCACCATTAGCTGATCTTTCCGTACGACATGGAGTGCCCTTAAAAAAAAAAACAAATGTAAAAAGCAATGAAAAATGAAATACTTAATTAGTCCAAAATATATTATTACCATAGCTTGTACAGGATCCTGATCATGTATTTTTCACTTCCATTTACTGCGGAGAAAACGAAAAAAAATGGCGTTCTACTCGAAAATGAGAACAAAGAAAATTGGATAATCCGTTCATCTGCAATCTTCTTTAATTTGTATGTGCTCAGAAGAGAAAGATGAACAAAAATAATCTGCATATGTGTTAGTTCTGCGGAAATCGTGTGAGTGTATTGGTGAACCCATAAGCCCGTTCTTGCAGGGTAATCAACAATGCAATCAAAAAAAGAAATATCCAAAGTCGCGTTATCTATTAACAACATAAAATCACACGACATGAAAGTTTAAATATTCATATTCTGACTAAATTAAACTAAAAATGAAGGGTTTAAAAAAATTTTAATATTTAGTTGTTTCACCTAATGGTTCAATAACTGCCTTTGGACGTCGAGGCATACATAGATAGAACCAAGTTTTCTATTTCCGATGGCGAAATTTCAGCCCATGCCTTTTTCAGAGATTCTTCCAAGACATATTTGCTTGTTGCAGTCACTTTATCAATATTTCGTACTAATTGCTTCCAAATATGCTCAATCGTTTTCAAATCTGTGATTGCGGCGGACTAGATATGCTCAGGGTCGTTGTCTTGTCGAAAAAATCTTCGAACTTTTGAGACCCAAGGAATCCACCGAAGACTGCATACTATGTTGCTTTAAAATACTATTTTAAATACATTTGTATATTATTCCATCGATAAACGTTAAATGTCCTACGCCAGTTGAACGGCTGATGGATTTTTATGAGGAACCTTTAGTTCATGATAAATACGCTCGGAGGGGGTGACATTTTCTGCCGTGGGCCGTCCGTTAGAAAGTTTAGCTTAATTTTTTATTTTAAATTAATTCTCTATAACTTTTTGGATATTAGTGCGGAACCGGGATTTGAGCCAGAGTCTTCCGAATGGCAGTACGCAATGCTAAACACTCGGCTACCGCGGCCGGCGAGGGTTTTATACTTTCGTACAATATTTTGAACACTCGCATAAGGTTTATCATGATGATTTAGCATTCTTGTTTCATAGAACATTTATGGGAAGAACTGAAATCTAAGCTGAAAAAATCTAGTCCCCATACCAAAGAAGAACTTAAAAAGGAAATTATCAGAATATGGGGTGAAATATCACCTAATTTTACAAAAAAAAAACTAGTAGACTCGATGCCGCGGAGGATGCAAGCTGTAATAAATGCAGCTGGTGGACCCACAACCTATTAAATAAAAAAATAAAAAATAAGTGAATTAAATTGTTATTTTCCATGAAGTGTATACTCAATTTTGTGACATGAATTTATCAATAATTTTAGTTTTTTGTTTAAGTTTTTCTTAACGCTAAATAAATTAATTAATTTAGCTTCAAATATAGTCGATAATAGTTCAAGCTTCAAATTTGCATCAAAAAAATTCAAATACATTCACTAAATTTTGCATAGTTTGTGTATTTCTCTTACGAAAACCTGTGTATACTCATTTTTGTGAGTAACTGTAAGTGATGGCTCCGTCACAATGGCAAACCATGCATTGCGATTTTAACAACATTAGAAAAATTTAACTTCAGCAACAACATCGGGTTAATGGGCATTCGAAGCTTTCGACGCATGATCATCTGGTGGAAACAATGAATAAGTATTAATCATGATTAAATGAAAAGGACTAAATAGTTATTTTTTTTTTAAAAGTTTTAGTCAAAAGTTAATGTGAACGTGATTAAATTTTTATGAATATGACTAAATGTTATTATTGAATGAATTATTTTTAAGTACATATAATTATGAATTACAAAAACACAAGATAATTTTCCATAGTAGCCGAGAGTGCAATTAATTTATACATATATGATTTTAAAAATTATTGTACATTTCGATTGGCTTCGATTGCGTTGAAAACATCATGCAGTGTACCTTGGCTAACGCCATATTCGGCAATATTCAGACGCCTTTTATTTTTTTCCATCGAACCATACAGAAATGAGTAACTGACGATTGGGACTGGCAAATAAAATTTAAAACAATTATCGATGCGCACCCTAAAAAATTCCAAAATCAGTTATTAAGTTGAAAGATGAAAAATAATAAGTATAAATATTGCTTAACTGTAATTCAGAATCCTCATGCAAGAAAGTAACAAAACGAACTAAATTTTCGGAATCTTTATATAAACTGTGAAAGATAGAAAAATTATTTATGCTTATTTCTTTGAATGGAAAAACATAATTCATTGTGTGTTTTGAAACCAACGTACTTATCTCTGGCTTCTTCCGCCGTTGCGCCGTCAATTTTTAATCTCACGTCTAGATAAAAGCCCTTTGTATATCTACTCCGCAGGTACTGAGCATTGCCGAACGCCCACATCTCACCTTCATTGTAGATAAGTACGCGATCAGCTAATGCCTCTAATTCAATTGCATTGGATGATGTGAATATGATGGTTTTGCCCGAAAAACGTTTATATCGTAAAACATTCCATATTTCACGACAGACACGTGGTGTTAGTCCACGTGTGGGCTCGTCTAATACTATAACTGTTGGATGAGCGATCATAGCGAGTGCTATATTAACTTTGCGACGCCGATCAACGCTGAGCCCACGAATCGGCTTATCCATATAGCTACCCATAATAAAGGCACGTGACAGATCGCGTAGCACACCTTTGATATCATTTGGTTCAATACCGCGTAGCATGCAAAAGAAACGTAAAATTTCTCTTGGTGTGAAAGTTTCCCATAGGCCGTGGTCTTGGGGTACAAACGACATTCTTTTAAGTGCTTTCTTCGCCTCGTATTTCATTTCGATGCCGTCAACAAATATATCACCGAAGGCGAAAGTGGTTTGACCGACAAGCTGACCAGCCACATGTGATTTTCCGCTATGACGTGTGCCAAATATAGCTAAAGATTGACCCCTGGAAAAATAATCGTATCGATTTTGAACAATCCGTTAAACTTATAAGTTCTGTTCGTTGCGTAAATAAACCAAAATAATGGTAAATAAACCATATGAAAACTTGGATCACAAGTACAGTTTTAGCGGAGCCACTTCGACACTTCATACGGAATTGGCGCTGTATAACCGCTGAAGCGATTTTCGGCCGGGCTCCTCCTTTAATTTGAGGTTTTGGGTCATAATGTTTTTTCTAACGAATGGAGGGACCTACAGTTAATACTAAGCCGCCTCTAGACCTCTGATGTTTTCTTATGAGGAGCTTTTATTTCATGTCAGAAATATACTCGGAGGGGTTGACATTCACTGCCGAACTCGGTTTGATGGTCCGCTAAAGTTATAAGGCGGTAGTTAATCACCATAGGCAAAAAATTACTCAAAAATTGAGCCCCTCGGAATTCATTCGACCACTTGCGCCCATATTGATAGCATGCTCTTCCTAGACCATCGATAAGTGGTTACCGATATTATGTCCAATTGTTTGTGAAATATACTTTTTGACCCAAAAGTTCACCCGACATTTTTTTGCACTTCTCATATTCTTTCTTGGCTGCTGCTGTGGTTTGCATTGCGTACTGCCATTCGAAAGGCCAAGGTTAGACTCCTGGCGCAGCCAACATCTAAAATAAATTTTTCTAATTGCGGTCGCCCTCGGCAAGGAATGTCAAGCTCGCCACAAAAATCCATTGGCTGTTTGGAGACGGCTTAGTACAAACAGTAGGTCCCTCCCTTAAAACTTTTAGGCTGGACTACGACAAACTCAAATACCACAGAACCAAGCGATAACTGGACAGAACAATCTACACTTCGCTTGAGTTTCCGGTCACAGGGACATAGAGGAGAGCTATTGGGCAGACGAACTCACTATGCACGGTACAACCAAATAAACCTACCGTATAAAGAACGCATATTAGAGGAATCTATTTTCAGGCAAGCCTCGTAAAGGTGAGAGAAAAACTTTCCGAAATATAAGCGGAGAAAGTCTTATACTCTTTGAAGTAAGCGGACATTACAAAGGTAAATGCGCTCTTATAGATGGCGAGCAGAACTCAGGTCCTCTCTAAAAGATGCTTTAGGAGCAACCATGATACAATAACTTAAATGTGGTTTCATTCTCTTTTCGTAGCCGGCTTCATAGCCAACTGACGTTAAACGTATTTTTTTAATTCAATCTAACCGCTTAATATAAGGTTGTCAAATTCCCTTCCGCTTTTTTGCTCTTCATTCAATGCTTTACAAAAAGTGTTACAGTGATCGGATTTAGTTAAAATATGCGCCGTTTTGTTCGATGATCTGTTTCCATCTAGACGACAACTTCATAATACCTTCCTCGTAGAAGCCCCCCTCCTTATTTGCGAAGAATTCGGACAGCCACTTTTCACAAGCATCTTTTGAGTTCAACTTCACACCACCAAGGGCATTCGCCATGGACAGGAACAGGTGGTAATCACTTGGCGCTACGTCCGGGCTATATGGTGGATGCGATAAAACCTCCCATCCGAGCTCCCGTAGCTTCTGACGAGTCATCAACGAAGTGTGTGGTCTGGCGTTGTCCTGGTGGAACACTACACCCTTCCTGTTGGCCAATTCTGGACGCTTCTGGTCGATCGCCTGCTTCAAGCGGTCCAGTTGTTCGCAGTAGATGGTAGAATTAAGCGTCTGGCCATATGGGAGCAGCTCATAGTGGATGATTCCCTTCCAATCCCACCAAACACACAGCAAAACCTTCCTGGCCGTCAATCCCGGCTTGGCCACTGTTTGGGACGATTCACCGGCCTTCGACCACGACCGTTTTCGCTTGATATTGTCGTATGTGATCCATTTTTCGTCGCCAGTCACCATCCGCTTCAAGAATGGGTCGAGTTCGTTCCGTTTCAGCAGCATATCGCAGGCGTTGATTCGGTCCAGAAGGTTTTTTTGCGTCAAATTATGCGGCACCCAAACATCAAACTTTTTTTTGTATCCAGCCTTCTGCAGATGGTTCAAAATGGTTTGGTGACTAACTCCCATCTCCTGGGCGATGTCACGAGATGCCATATGCCGGTCTAACTCGATGTATTCCATGATTTGATCGGTATTTGTCGTCACAGGTCTTCCGCCGGCTGGCTTATCCATGGTGTCGTTTTCACCGGCTCTGAATCGTCGAAACCATTCCTCCGCGGTTCGAAGTGATAGAGTACCATCCCCCAAAACACCATTAATCTCACGGAACGTTTCTCTAGCGGATTTGCTTTTAACGAAGGAAAACTTTAAAATAGCGCGAATTTCGGCGTTAGTGAACTCCATGTTTACACGTCTATAAATGTTGGACGCAATATCCAAACTAATCATGCATAGCGTTGTTTTGTAGGTTATGTCAAGACCTTTCAAATTATGTGCAGTGTTGCCAGATACGAGCTCTGTACATAGCCACGAAATTCAAAAAAGCGGTTATTTGACAACCAATATATTGTATATTGATATTTGAAAATGCAGTTAGTTAGGGTAACACGTAGCTCACTCACGGAATCTTGATTTCGTGATATAACTTATACCTGGTTCTGTGAAGAAGATTTCTTTCGTTTTTCCAGATACTCAAATTAACTAATGTATTTTACGAAGTTTAGAAGATTAATAATTCCTAGAGATGCAAGCTGCACTGAGCGCCCACAACCCAGTGCTCGTTAAATACGCCAGTTGTTATGCTTATGGAGGTCATATTTAGAAGGAGTAAAAACTTAGTTCTGTTTACTTCGTCAATATCAAACATTTCTGAGCAAACACGTTGGAACGTCACAAAATATCGTATGATGTCAAGGATATTAGTAGATTCAAATTTTTATAATTTTGTTGAAAAACATCAAAACAATTACCGTTACTTACTCATCAACCACGAATGAAATGGTATCCAGTGATTTAACTTTCTTTTGAATTTTATATTCCAACTGATCAACCATAAAACGTTTTTTTAGACTACTTTGTAGATCCTGTTGGGCTACATATTGCTTTAAATCCACGACATCACGATCATCGTAAGGATGTGTTGCGGAATGAAGAGTTTTAACGCTGTAAATGTAATTGAGATAAGTCCATTTTGTAGATTTAACGGTAATAATAAATACGGTAAATGAACCTACTCTCGTTTGGATGTAAACATCTTACGGGATCTTCTCAATTCTATAATACAGAGTGCAATAAATAGAAATACAGCAGAGGATAGCATGTATATTATAGCAACCAAAATTCCAGGATCCTCAAATTTAAAAATCGTTGAAACATCTAAAATACATAGCAAAAGAATATTATAACATAATGTGATAAAAAACATTCACTGGTTCTCATATTATGATTGATGGACGAGGCACTCACATTTTATGTCAGTGGAATGGGAGGGTTGTAGGGTGGTGACGAAAAAAAACATATATATTGTACATTAGACCAGAAAGCTTCCGGAAATTGAGTTTTTCGATCTTCGCGGCTTGGTTCATCATGAATTTCTTTTAACGGGACACACGTTCAATAAAGATTATAATCTCAGCGTTTCGAGGCGTTTTCGCGAAAACATCCGTCCTAAACGGCCGGAATTGTGGGCCAACAATTTCCGAAATCTTTCATGACGATAATACGCCATCGCACCGAGCTGAAGTTGTGAACGATATTAGACCGAAAACTCGTTCAATACCATCGATCAACCGCCGTATTCACCGTATTTGGCCATGTGCGATTTCTTTGTCTACAAAACACAACTTACCACACCATGGAACCCGTTTCGACTGAGACCGTAAAAGAAAATTCGCAGAGGGAACTGAGGTCAACCGATTCAACGGCTATTGCAAACAAACTGGTTGACAAATCGCGCTCATTTTTGGCATAGTAATTACGGACAGCGCTACCAACCTAATACAAAAAATGCTGAAAAATATTCAGCGCGGACAGTTTAAATGACTATTTCCTGAAACTTTCTGGCCATAATATACATGTACAAGTGACAACGTTTACTTAAACAAGCCAGGAGATCCCTGAAACACCATCCGGGAATGGGTAGGAGCATTCTCGCCGATGCTTGACTAAGATGAAACAATGTATTTCGTGAAGGCCGCCCAAAATCAGTTCTTTTGCGTTTTTTTTTTTAACTGGGTATGTTGGCCAGTGCTACTAAGACAACGCAGAACAGTAAATTCTGAGTGATACACAGCCATTTGTTCGCCAGTTGCCTTTCAAGAAATCAGGAAAACCAACCGCAGAAAGCAGATCACTCTTCACCACGACAAGGCGAGCTCTCGAATATCGACTGCAGCATTTTCAATGATTGTGATGAGAAATCCATCGCATAGTGATGACTTCTTTTTACTCCCGTACGTAAAAAATAATATCTGAGAGTTCAATGTTCCATAATTGGTTCAAATGCAAGCAAAAGTGTATAGATCTCAATGAAAAATGATTTCAAAAACAATAAAGCATAATAATACCGAAATATAAAAGGCAACCCTCGCATAAATTAATTGGTGGAAAGATTTGAAAAATGTATCCATCTAGCGGTGAATATATTGAAAAGAAAAATGTATTTAGTTTTTTTTCCACCCCGCACCTTCCATTCCACGAACATCAAAACGCTCGCTCGTACGATATCAGCCAAAAAAAAAAACCCACACAATTCTGTAAATGTTGAGTACAGCTTTAGACTTTGGCATTAAGCGCCTTAGATAAGACGAGTGATGAAAAAAGAGTAAAGTGGACGGCAGATGAAACTTTTTTGAGCACCACAAAGTAATCAAATGGAAACTAAAATCACCTCTAACATTTGTCGTTACCTTGGCGTCACCCAACGGCATGTAAAAGGTCTATGCGCCATCGAATCATATACTTACGGCAGCATTGAGGCAAAGTGGAGCATATATTGTTCTTATCGCAATCATCTTCCTCCTCACAAGCTTGATCACAGTAAACAACCTCCTTAGTTTGAACATAAACATTGCTTATGCCTTCCATGAGGGAAAAAGTGGGGAATATTGCCCAAACATAAAAGAATATATCATTGTTCAGCAAAACATTCCAATATACAATATACGAAAATATGCCTGAAAATACAAATGTCGAATGCTTTTTTACTGAGTATATTAATGCAATGTGTTTAGGCAGTTCACAAAACGTCGTATTCTTCATAGTCATTTTATTATATTTGTCGCATTTTGGGATACTTCACTACTTCACTGAATTCATTGATTTACCCTAAACTTGATTTTACAAATCAAATATATTCTTGTGCTAATAACGCAAAAGGAATCTTAAGGATTTTAATACTTATTCCTCCCGCTCTCTTTGCTGATTCAAAAAACTCCTTACTGGGAGCTTTAAAAAATATGTAATTTCCTTCTCCGTTTTATGTATTTTATGACAGCTGATGAGCACATTTGCTGCTGTTAAGTATACGAGGCAGAAGTAACCACGGCCTTCCACGGTCGGTGTCGTGTTTTCGGCCACCAGTCAGTTAGAATTTTCTATTATCTTTCAGGCGCCCGGGTGAGGAGAGGTGCTGATACTGGGTTCATCGTCAAAAAAAAAAAAAAAAAAACAAACAAAATAATTATTTCAATTATTTAACGAATTTATCTAAAAGGTATAAAAGCCATAAGCCATTTTCTCACGCTTGACTAAATGTTGCTCATACGACGTGACAAACTGATTACTTTTAAGTTAAAATTAGTATTTAGCCGATTGAAATACACGTATAACACAATTTGTTTAGAATCAAAACATTCAATTTTAGATTTTACCCAATATTGACGAGTGTACAGACCAAACTGCGGGTCGAAAAACATTCCATAGATAAGTGTCACTTGGTGTCAAACCAATTTTTTTTTTTCTGGGAAGATTGTGAAAACTTGCTCAGCAAAGTAATCCGCGACTGATATACATTTATTTTATATTCAAGAATTTTTGACTGACTCTAATTTGAAATTTAAATTAGTTAATTTCAACTGTCGTAATATCAGATTCCCAGAGTGTGCGAATTGGTTTTGGTTTATTGCTTTGAGTTTGGCAATTTAGCATGAGACCGAGTTTTGCAACTTTGTCTACGTTCTGCTTATCCTGGTGGGCCTGTATATCATTTTCTTGACCGAAGAATGATAGTGACTTTCATCGAGTCCAACTGAAATTTTAAGTTTCTTGTGTATCTTGTGGTAGCTCACTAGAAAATTATGATTTCAATACAAATACTTTACAATGGCGAGAATCTGCTCAAATTCATCCACATTCCAAGGACTAAAAACCTCAAATAGCAAATATGCCAACTCTTCTAGTGAGAAGAGTCTTCAGCCAATATCACATTTTTATACTCGGCAGCACAACATAAGCTACATATACAGAGTATATAAACTTTATTCAGCCGACGGTTGTGGGATACAATAAACAATAATCGAGATAGGTACTTTCATATGCATATATTATGTGTATGCACATATGTATATCAGACTTCGTAGAATGATAAAATGAATCGCCTTGCTTCAACTATTTTCTGTCTGTTCTTACTCATACGAACACATACTTCGAACATATCTATCCAATTGCAACTTGAGGTTAGGTGTGGTGAAGTGCTTATATGAATCAGCTTCATTTAGTCATGTCTCACTGTCCGTCCGACTTAAAACGAAAATATTGATGAAATATTGTTCACAAAATGCTTGGGCACCAAGTTCAGCACACGCTCAACCTCCATGTAGGAGGGAGCGTTCTTATGGTATAGTTGTATGGAGATGACTCGGGTCGTAATGTGCTTGGTGACTAATAATTAGTATGAATATAATGTTTTATTTTTATTAGACAATTAGTCTTTGAATTATCATCAACCAAGCAACATAATCGGTAGTGGAAAAAAGAATAAGGAAAAAATTCTTGTACGGGGTAAACCAAGATGCACTGTGCCACTTGTGCTTGTGCTTGTGCCATCGTAATGACTACGCCAGATTTTAAACAAAAAGTTGAAAAAATGCGCACTACTGAGGAAATGGTTGGAATGTCCAATACTAACATTTTTAAAATCCTGCATGATCACCTTGGCAAGACTGAGGTCAGCACAAGAAAAAACCATAGCCAATAGCAATACTCTATAGCTTAGTCCTGGCCCGAGGGATCAAAAATGAAAAAAGAGGGTATTTTGAAGATTAAGAGCAAATATTTTTATGAGGGTATAAATAAATGAATTGAATGATCTGAACTATGTATCTGTGTTGCAGGAGAATATATTCAAAAAGAAAATTAATTTTTCTTTCTTATTTCTACTTCTTATTCCCCGTTTCGTGAACATAAAAATTCCCCTACATATACCATAATTTTGAAAATAAGAAAAAATTCTGAAACCAAATTTGCAATTAAAATCATATTTATTAGGAACGATCGCGTTAAGAAAAAAATCAGTTGTGCCTGGCCCTCTTTCAGGTCAAAAAGTATACCTCGAGACACAATTCGATACTATAATTTCATGTGTCTGGTATGAACACGAGCAACACCCATACCCTTACCCTACGTATGTAACGAACCTTTTACTTTTCACTTACCCCTCCTCTTAATCCAATATTTAACACATTAATCAATAGAACTAAACCAAATTTCGGTTCCATCTAAACTTACACTACCCCACGTTTCGTTGTCATGATATAATTGCTGGTTGGAGAAATTTCTTTTTAGATCAGTGTAAATATTGTCAAACTCAAACTTCTTTGTCCAACAAGTCTATTATTTAGTCAATGTATATACGAAACTTAAAAATTTACCTGTTCCAACTTGAAATAAAAGCGCTATCAGAAATGCAGACCACAATGTCGTGTAAAAGTATAAAGAAAAAACATAGATTAGACCTAAGCCGGGTATGCCGTAGATATTCATTAACATCATTGCATCTAGAAATTTCCAAATGTAACGTTTATTATTTGAAAAAGGGACCAAAAGCTCTTATTTGAATTGTGAAATACTTACATATTTTATCTAAGAATGAATAACCTTCAATTGGCGATAGGGCGAGTATAATTGTATAAACGATGGAATAGGAAAAGAATGTAATATAATCCCATAGAAAATTGACACACCAGTAACGTGACATCTTCACTCCGGCTATTTTTTGTAAAGTCAACAAATGATACTTTCGTTCCTCCACAACCGGTACAATGAAGCAAGCGATCGATATGGGTATAGCGATTCCTAAAACCATTGGTAGCAGCAAGTGGGTTTTCTCTTGATCTAGCAAGTGAATTTTGTAGCTTAACGGCGTATGCTTGGGATGATTGGTGATGGTAGTGATGGCTTTTACGTTATTAATCTGATTGCTAAATGAAAAATATTATTTCAAATATTAATAAAAAAATAATAAATTATTGTTAAATGTGATTATCTATATATTATATAATGTGTTAATGGCGGTTTGTAACCGCTGAAGCGATTATTGGCCAAGCTCCTCCACTAAGTAGTAGTGTAATTCGTTATGTTTTTCCGAAAATCGGTGGGACGTGCAGTTTATATCAGGTGTACAACTTTGCTTCCGCTGTTTTTTAACAAAATTAAAAGCTTTATTGCGAAAAAGTGCTTACAGATATATTATTCAAAGTATTTTCCTTCGCCAGCGACAACTTTCTCCCATCTTTCCGGCAATTTTTGGATCCCGGCTCGAAAAAAGGAGTCCATGAAGCAATCCATTTTTCCAATTCTTCGAAGAATTGAAAATGTTGATCTGCCAAGCGAATGGGTGGAAGTCAGAAGGGGCGACATCTGGGAAATACGGCGAGTGGAGCAAGACTTCCCATTTCAGCGTTTCCAGGTACTTTTTGACCACTTTTGCGACGTGAGGCCGAGCATTGTCGTGTTGGAGGATGACTTTGTCATGTCGCTCTTGATATCCACCACCATGTTTGTCTTCGACATCGACATCACCATTTTTAAAACGTTGAAATGGACCCGACATATTCTTCATTCACTCAGATCAGCATCAACGTAAGTTTCTGAGAGCATTCGATGCGCTTCAGTTGCATTTTTTTTCGAATTGTAACAGAAAAGTAAAATTTCCCGCAAATGGCGAGAATTGGACACATAAACGGACATTTTCGAGCGTGAATAATACGAAAAGAAGAACAACTGTCACTGAAACGGCACTGTCCACACTCACTTTAAAGGCATTATCATCTATGTATTTCAACCAGCCTCAGCCGGTACAGCCACCTATCGGAAAACGGCGGAAGCAAAGTTGTACACCTGATACTAAGCAGCCTCCGAATGGCTGATGCTTATTTATGAGGAGCCCAGACTTTATTTTATATCATTAACACACTCGGAGGGCTTGACATGCTATACGTATAAATAAAAATGAATCGTCAAAATGTATGTACACGTATAATTTGGCTGGACCGTCTAGTTTTAACTTGAATTATTCGAAAAAGTCGTATTGTTGATCCGAGCTACTTCAAATGTTTTGGACGGAGTTTTGACCAAAGCCACATTAAAAAATGAGTGAATGCTGTTTTAGTCGTATGATTTCAATAATTTTTAGCTTCAATGTGGAGTTCCTTATATTAGGTCAAGTAAAAAATTCGCTCGGTTTTTATCTAAGATATTGCGTTATTGTCCACAGAACTAGTGTTACGTGTTGCATCATTTTATGCTATACGGCACTGAAAACGTGTTTATTCGCCTTGGATTCAAAAAGAACCTCGATGTTTGGGTGCCACACGAACTAACGCAAAAAAACATGATGGACCGAATTTCCATCTGCAAATCGCTGATGAATCGTAACAAAATCGATCCGTTTCTGAAGCGGATTGTGACTAGCGATGAAAAATGGGCCACTTACGACAACATCGAGGGCAAACGGTCTTGGTCAAAGCTAGGGGAAGCTGCCCAGATGATGACCAAGACCGGGTTGACGGCCAGGGAGGTTTTGCTGTGTGTTTGGTGGGATCGGCAAGGAATAATCAGCTACGAGCTGCTCCCCTATGGCCAAACGCTCAATTCGGCCCTCTACTGCCAACAGTGGACCGGATGGGAGGGCCTAATGCACCCACCTTATAGTCCGGACCTAACACCAAGTGATTACCGATTTTTCCCTTTCATGGCGAACGCGCTTAATGGTGAGAAGTTGGCCTCAAGAGAAATTGGCTCTCTGAGTTTTTTGCTAATAGGGACGCAGCCTTCTACGAGAGAGCTATAATGAAATTGGCATCTCGTTGGCAACAAGTTTACGAACAAAACGGTGCATATTTGTCCTGAAGCAGACAAACGTACGGGCGAACTTTTTACTTGACCTAATATGTGTGCAGAATATCAAAATTTCCGCTCGTGAATACTATTTTGACAAATCTATGACCCAAAATCTCAGATCAGCTAAATATTTCGCATATATGCTGAAGTGGTCAGATCGATTGAATGTTCCAGTGCATCTGAGCTCCAAGTTTGGTTGAAATATCTCTAAAACTTAGAGACTTATTTGCTTTCGGGCAGACAGACGGAGAAACAGTGAGATAGACGTAGCCAAATCAACTCAATTGCTCATTCTGACCCGCTCGGTATAAATTTTGTTGGACTTTCTCTTCTCTCTCTGGTACTTACATACTTCGGACCAAAATGTCATGTACATCAAAAGGTACAATAAATGTGAAAATACAAACATATTTATATTAATTTTTGCTTAAAAATAGGCCAATTACTTACGACAAATAAATATTGTGCATTAAATTCAAGACGAGTGGAGCAGTATGAAATATGCGTTGATTAATCCAGCACGTGTATTTATCCCCATTGAGTTCCACTGCACCATATTTGTCTCCTATCTGTACTGATTTCTTTAAATAGTTTTCATAACCAACATTAAGGCAACGAAGAGAATTTTGATCAAATCTTAACGAATCTGCGTTCGATCCTTTTTGTCTTTCTTTAATAGGATTAAAGATTTGAATAGTTTTACAATCTTTGAATGCACTTAAATCCACATCTTTCGTAGCACCCAACTCTATGGGATTGTAACGTGTCGGTGGTACATGTAAACTATGTCTGCCCATAATCGCTATTAAAAGTATGAAAAGGAATGATACACCAATCGTTATGAGGGGTACAAAATTCGGTGCTTGATGTATGAGTTTTTTGTTCAATAATGCGTATATTTGTTGTTTTCCAAGTTGCTTCGGAGAGACAAAATCGTAAGTAGCTTTTTCTGAAATTAAAAGAAGGAAAGTCAATCTAAATATTTCAATACTTTTGTTATAAAAGACAGTGATTCTAGTTATTAAGCTTGCAACTAAGAAGTGCCTGATCGATTTCGATGATTTCGGAGTGGTCTCTGGCCAAACAAGAAGAAAACGAAAGAAAAAATCTTGGAAGTGGAGCAGGAACCTATTCGATTATATTGACTTTATGATTCGATTCACTTAAAATTTAATGCGTTAGAAGCCCTTCGCCTAAAGAATATAATTTCTAGCCGCTGAAGCCATTTCCTAACTAGATCGAGACATGGAATACTTAATTTCCGGAAGGGCAGCCTTACAAAACTTCGAGATATTCATATTTACATTTTCCTGCAAGACTTTTAGCAACAAAAAATGGACTAATCTCTAACTATATCTGATAAGTACCTCCATGAGTGTCTAAAAATTACTCAGTCGAGGAAGTGTTTCAATATTCGCGGAATGGAGGATACTGTTAGATGGCGGAAACCACTCCCTCTCTCTCTCTCTCAACCGAGCTCCTCTTCAATATTTGTGGTATGTGTATTGATATATTTCAACAAATGGAATGATTTTTGTGAGAAACTTTTTATTTCGTGCCAGAAATACACTCGGAGGACTGGACATTCCCTGCCGAGGGGCGATTACAATTAGACATTTTTTTTCTATAACTTCGGCTGCAGCGGTAGCCGAGTGATTAGCATTGCGTACTGCCATTCGGAAGGTTCGGGTTCAAATCTTGGTATGACCAAAATCCAATAGCAATAGAAAATTAATTTAGATATTAAATTAAGTTAAATTTTCTAATTGCGGTAGCTCGAAAAACAACAAGACGCTAAACCACAAATTGGAGGAGGTTGTAGGTCGAAAATCGCTTCAGCGGTTAAAAAGCGCGAATTATATAGTATACATACTCTCCAAAAAAATAATTTCTCTTCAAAATGCACCGTAACCAACTCGTTGAATTCATCATCGATAAAGTGTTTACCCCTGAGCGCTATTTTCATTTTTGAAAACAGGTAAAAAGCACTCGAGGCCACGTCTAATACATATACAGATAAGCCAACGAAATGTGGCTCTTGTTTTTGCGGAGAGGTGAGCATTCTTGGCACCCATCTTGCTCTGGCCTCAGTCACACAAAGATGATCATATAACATTTTAGAAATTATTGCATCGGTTATTCCAATCATTTCTACGAGTTGTTTCTTCTTTAATCAAACCCTCGACAACGCGAATAATTTTTCCACTTTTTGGACAAGTTCTGGCGTGGTCACCTCGATACCCGGCCTCGGGTGATTCCCTTCCTTGTTTAAATATATTGTGCCACTTGTACATCATGGTTTTTCCCGGACATAAGGCTTCGTAAACCAATGACAACTCATTCATTATTGCTGCAACTGATTTTCCTTAGTCCCGATTATGTTGTTTGGTTGACGATAGCTCAAACACTAATTGCCCATTAACATTTAAGCCCCGTAGTTATATTAATTATGAGTCATTGAACAGATTACGACCCTAATGAGCCTAAATGACCTACAAGCATCTACTTCCGCGAACCAAACAGCGCTCACACTTATATTGGAAAATTTAATATCTTGCATTAGTTGAACCTTGATGAGGATCTTTTTATTATTTGTCTATCATCTACTCCATAATACCAATTGAAAATTCAAATTAAACAAGATACATAAGGCCACAAAATATAAGGTTGTCAAATATCTCCCTTCCGCTTTTTTGCTCTTCATTCAATGCTTTATAAAAAGTGTTACAGTGATCGGATTTAGTTAAAATATGCGCCGTTTTGTTCGATGATCTACCTTCCTCGTAGAAGACCCCCTCCTTATTTGCGAAGAATTCGGACAGCCACTTTTCACAAGCCTCTTTTGAGTTCAACTTCACATCACCAAGGGCATTCGCCATGGACAGGAACAGGTGGTAATCACTTGGCGCTACGTCCGGGCTATATGGTGGATGCGATAAAACCTCCCATCCGAGCTCCCGTAGCTTCTGACGAGTCATCAACGAAGTGTGTGGTCTGGCGTTGTCCTGGTGGAACACTACACCCTTCCTGTTGGCAAATTCTGGACGCTTCTGGTCAATCGCCTGCTTCAAGCGGTCCAGTTGTTCGCAGTAGATGGTAGAATTAAGCGTCTGGCCCTTCCAATCCCACCAAACACACAGCAAAACCTTCCTGGCCGTCAATCCCGGCTTGGCCACTGTTTGGGACGATTCACCGGCCTTCGACCACGACCGTTTTCGCTTGATATTGTCGTATGTGATCCATTTTTCGTCGCCAGTCACCATCCGCCTCAAGAATGGGTCGAGTTCGTTCCGTTTCAGCAGCATATCGCAGGCATTGATTCGGTCCAGAAGGTTTTTTTGCGTCAAATTATGCGGCACCCAAACATCAATTTTTTTTTGTGTCCACCCTTCTGCAGATGGTTCAAAATGGTTTGGTGACTAACTCCCATCTCCTGGGAGATGCCATATGCCGGTCTAACTCGATGTATTTCATGATTTGATCGGTATTTGTCGTCACAGGTCTTCCGCCGGCTGGCTTATCCATGGTGTCGTTTTCACCGGCTCTGAATCGTCTACACCACTCCTCCGCGGTTCGAAGTAATAGAGTACCATCCCCCAAAACACCATTAATCTCACGGAACGTTTCTCTAGGAAAACTTTAAAATAGCGCGAGTTTCGGCGTTAGTGAACTCCATGTTTACACGTCTATAACTGTTGAACGCAATATCCAAACTAATCATGCATAGCGTTGTTTTGTAGGTTATGCCAAGACCTTTCAAATTATATATAGTGTTGCCAGATACGAGCTCTGGAGCGCTTTGTACATAGCCGCGAAATTCAAAAGACAAAAAAGCGGAAGGGAGATATTTGATATTATATATAAGAATGTAATACATACTCTCACTATGACTTATGACTTGTTTCGTTTTGCGCGTTCCCATTGTCATATAGATTTCCGTAATTTCACTGCTCAGCGCTCGCATATCAATTATACCCAAATTCTTTTGCTCCTTTTCTAAATGTATCAGCATATTTTGAAATTTGGGCCGCATATCGAGTGGCAGTTTGTAGTAAAGTAGCTCTCCAATTTCATTCTCCGGTATCACACCCGGTATAAATCTTCCAATTAATTCGGTAATTGCTTCTGTCGAAGTTGTCGCTGATTTAACGATTATCTTTAAATTAAACGAAATAAATTAATATAGAAAATAAAGAAATAAAAAAATTATAATATTTTTAGCTTAGTGAAATGCGTGATATTAACAAATGTTAGAAATCGTTCCGGCGACTGTTGCAATGAACACGCTATGTCCTATAAAAGGTATGATTTCGAAAATTGTTGTTGCAGTAAATGGTTGACAAAATTATAATAAAAAACGAATTCCATGAAGATTTTGCAATTCAATATGTGTGCTTTCAGAAAATATTAACCAGTCAACCAGGACCAGCCCAACCGACACGATAGGCGTCATCCGCACAACGTACGGAATATGCCGAATCATGATTGGAAAGCGTTTGTTAAGTGTCGTGATATAAAACTGTTCAGCTATAGAAGAAATAATATAATAAATATTCAACTCAGAAATTTGTTGAGAGGAGCAAGAAAAGTTTTTTTTTATGCTAAAAATTGAGTCTGAGAGGTCGAAGGTGTTGGAATGAAAATTAAAATTGAGACACAATCGGTGAAAATGTTCATTCAGTTTCATTCGGTTTGTTTTACATGACTTTAATATTAAATGCCTAAACTGCTTAGATACAGGAAGTGAGACATTAAAGTTTACCTCAGTCAAGAGCCATGAAATGAAGTGCGCCTAACACTTCTCTACGTCTTGCGAGAGTAAGTAGATTTAGAAGCTTTAAACGGTTGGTATAGAGAGGAAGATTTATCGTAGAGTGCCATCGGAAATGTCTTAATGGAAAAATGAAAAATTATTTTGAACGGACTCTAACTTCTTTTTCATCTTTACTGGCGTTGGCGTCGTCCAATTCATAACTTCCTCACTTTGTTTGGCGCCAGTTGGAAATGCCAGGTGAAACCACCACCACCTGATCCTTCCACCAGCGAGTACTCCATCGAATACTTCCAAAGCTGGAATTCATAGTCAGTTGGTAACTTTAAGTCAAATATACGCCATTTTGTTCGTAAATTTGTTGCCCACGAGATGCGAACATCTCGCAGAAGGCTGCGTTCCTATTGGCAAAAAACTCGGTGAGCCAATCTTCACAGGCCTCTCTTGAGGCCAACTTCTCACCATTAAGCACGTTCGCCATAGGCAGGAAAAGATGGTAATCACTTGGTGCCAGGTCCGGACTATAAGGTGGTTGAATTAGGACCTCCCATCCGAGCTCTTGGAGCTTCTGGCGCGTCACCAAAGACGTGTGTGGCCTGGCGTTGTCCAGATGGAACATAATTTGGCCTCTGTTGATCAAAGATGGCCTATTCTGGATAAGTGTTGCCTTCAAGCGGTCCAGTCAATGGCAGTAGAGGGCCGAATATAGCACTTGGTCATAGAGGAGCAGCTCGTAGTAGATTCTTTGCCAATCCTACTAAACACACAGCAAAACCTGCTGCATCTTTGATCCTAGCAAATCACTTTTGTGCTACACGTTCGTTTACAGCATCGGAACCATAAACTAAATTAATTTTTTCAGCCGCTTTGGTTGCTTTTTCGCCTTGATCGAAGAAAAATTGTAAAATATAGCGAATTTTCTCTTTGCTGGTGTCCATCTTTGGCGAGCGCTCACAACGTACTGAGTTAATCAATCGAAAAACTGTTAAAGACCAACTTCTAATGCGAATAAACACGTTTTCAGTGCCATAAACCGAACCAACTTCTTTCTTGGCCTAATATATAAATAACATTTTCTCGTTTTAATTGGGCTCGATAGAATCGAATCGACATAATTGAAAGAATATTGTTGTTTATTTATCTAAATGCACAGATCTAAGAGTTTACTTGATTTCAACTGTACTTTCGTGTGTCTCAATAACTAAAACATAATTAAAAATTTATCTTACCAAATCACATCCAACACCAAATTTACTTTTAAGAAAGAATGGAGTGCCATAGGTTAAAAGCGCGCCTTCGCCAAGCATCGCGATCCGATCACCAACAGCTTCAGCTTCAGTAACGTCGAAAGTGGTCAACACTATGGAACGGCCGTACTTTTCTTTATGTAAAATATGCCAAAACAAGCGCTGATCTCTACCTTTCATATGAAGGGTCGGCTCGTCAAGCAACACGATTTTTGTACCAGCAGCGAGGGCGCAACCCAAACTTACAAAACGTTTTTGGCTATAGCTTAATTTGTTCACCATTGTCTTACGTTCTATTCGAGCTGCTCTTACCGATTCGAAAAAATTATCTAATTCCATGTCTATTTTCTGATTATCCTTTTCGGTTTGCTTAATCCGCATATAATAAATTAATGTCTCCTCCACAGTTAACAAGTCGAATAGCGCATTGTTCGGCATGCAAACGTCAATATAATGACGATACTCATTCCAATGTTCATATAAATCATTATGCTCGACTTGTATTTGCCCCAAAATAGGTCGCTTCCAACCGGCCATTATTTGTATAATTGTAGTTTTTCCCGAACAATGGGGTCCAAATAAGACAGTAATCTCATTAGAATATATGCGCATCGTAATGTTCTTGAGCTGTATCCTTCCTGAATTATATTTAGTGTGAATATTTTTTAAGCGCATTATTTCAACACTACTTATAGTTCCAAATTCAAAATTTTCCCATATTATTGGTTTTTCAAGTATGACAATATTGTGTTTCTTGGCATTCGGAGCTTTAGCCGGCTTATTCATGGTGCTCAAACAGTGTCCGGAGAAACATAAGCTAAAGGGTAATGTTTTTATATAGGGTCCCGGACTGAAGTACTCGGCGATGGAAATTAATATATAATAAAATGCACAGCAAGCAAGCATCGTTATGGCTGGATGAAATATGTCATCTCCTTCCTGTAATTCTCGCATGCCATATGCAAATCCATTGTTAAAGAATCCAATAAAACAAATGACTAAAATCGTTGTCATATTTGTATAATGTTCCACCAGAATTGAGAATAATGAATACATAGTTAACCAGGTGACAGCAGCGAACAAAACGGCGTGCAGAGCTTTTGTGGAAATTGAGACCATGAAAACGGCAGAGATCAAGAGTGCAACATTGTAAGACATTAGGAAAAGTATCAACCAGACTATGCTGCACCTGAATTTGCCATCAAATGGTAGCTGTGAAGTAAAAATACACTTTATATAAACTCTATGCTCATAATATTACAAAATAAAATTAAGCAAGCCGATGGCCTCAGTAGCTCAGTAGCTAGTGTCTCTACTTTTGTAATGTAATTACTAATAATTATGTTTCATATAAATAAAAGAATAAATAAATAAAACTAAAAACACAGGCTGGCTAAAAACAATTATTAATCCTGGAGAACCTAAGCAGCGTCATGCATATATACGATGAAGAAATCAGAAAAACTATTGCGTACGGCCGCAGTCGGCAAGTGAGTAGTCGAAGAAGTAGAGCTTCGAGTCCTTGACAGACAGGCGTTCGGAAGTTTTTTCTAAATCAGCAGGAATGCCTCGGAGTGTATTTCTGACTTGAAATAAAAGTTCTTCATAAAAAACCATCGGCCGTACGGAGGCGACATATTGTAGAATAAACTATAAATAAACATTAATATATATGCAATAAAATACAGGATTTCTGTACTCTCTCTAATTTAGAAAAACAAAGAATCGAAGTCGAAATCGAAATACTCTGCTCACACTTAAAAAAAGTATATGCGTCGGACTTAAGAGTCCTATTTTTCATCGGTTAAAAATATTGATCTATAGAAAATCCCCATTCTGTAGTACATTATTTCTAAGCTATCAATTTTGCTGATATTGTAAGGTGTGTTTCATGATCATAAGACACTTTAATAATTCTACTATAAACGTAATATACAAACAATAAAAAAAATCCTTTTTTCGAGTGTAAATTATAATGTTTTCAAGTCATTCAGTAGAAAATTAACATTTTCCCACTGAAATCAATCAAAAATTATCGGATTAAGCACGAACTGTATCAAAAACCTTAGTACTTTAAGCACTTATACACCGATTGGAACACAGTAAGCTATTGCTGTTGAAGCTTAAGTTCATCTGTTTGACTTTATTTGTGTTAAAGGTTATCTTCTCGAGCGAATAAAAGAAAATTGAATCTTGATTAGTCAGTTCTATGGGAGAGATTTGCGGAAGGGATCCTCTGTGCTTCTCTAAACGGAATTTCGTAGGAGGTTTTTTAAAGACAAGCGGGTTTTTACATCAAAGACTATGAGGGGGTTTTTGACTGATTGGTCTATAGAAACCAGCTCTCCGGTGTTCAATAAAAAACATATGGGTCATACTCCTATTAGCAAGAAGGGTTTATGTAAATAATCGTCACTATGACAAGACAGGCTAGCTTAAGACAACATTAATTATATATTATTGGCGCTTTGTCACCACTGAAGCGATTTTCGGCCGCGTTCCTTCTACAACTTGTGGTTTTGCGTCTTAATGTTATCCAACAAATGGTGGGATCTACAATGTATATTAAGCCGGCTCAGTTTTTTATGAGGAGATTTAATTCCATGTAAGAAATACACTCGAAGAGGTTGGCTTAATTTTTTATTTAAACTCATTTTCTATAATTTTTAAATGTTGGTTGGCAAATGGCTCGAACCCAGACCGCCTAATCAAGACACTATAATAACTATTTATTCGGCTATTATTTACCGAATGAAGAAATTTATTCAATCGATGAAAAACGATTGTTTTGCATTGGAAGATCAGTACCACATCTGTTTGTTATTAATGTGTATGAAGACGTGGCGAAAAGTATCAGTGAAAATGTTTACTTGCTTAATTTTAATGACATTGCCTTATCATTTTGTTCCGAAAAATCATCATTTTCTATAAATACTACATTGCTGTTAAAATTACTAGTTAAAATATTCAAAAGGAAGATTCTGTTATTCTTCTTATATATATAATTGGCGCTTTGTAAGCGCTGAAGCGACATTTGGCAGAGCTAGAGTTTACACTATGCCGCAAATGGCTAATGGTTTTTTACGAGAATCTTTATTTCATGTCAGATATACACTCGGAGGGGCTGACACTCCCTGCCGAGGGGCGACCGCATTTAGAAAATTTAACTTAATTTTGTATTTAAATTCGTAGTCTATAACTTTTGGATGTGATCTTCTTATGTACTTTCATATATATATTATAGTCAAGTTATTGGTTTTGCGTTAAATAATATATAAAGTGTACAAAATATTTATTTTTCTACTTTAACGGTTATGAATGAAGATTAATGAAATGTGCTTTCCTTACCAGTGTGATAGCAATAACGATTACATCCAATACCACCAAGTGAAAAAACGAAACAAAGCAATTGCCCGCCCAATAGTTGGCATAATCAAATCCATATCTCCAATGATGCGCTAAAATATTCTCTTCTCGCTCTCGACCGTATCTCTAAAATACATATATTTTTGGATGAAATAGATAAAAACTAGAAAGAAGAGCTGTCTTTGGCCATGTCGAAGTCTTCCAACCTTTAATGACCATATCGAATTTATGATATTTGATTTTAGGATTATATATCTATTCTAATAACTGAAAAATTAGTTGGAAGGGACTTCATATATGATAAAGTTAAACGATTTCAGTGATTTTCGGTGTCAATGTTTATTTGTACATATAATTTGTCGCTCACAGATGCTCTTTTGATGGATTTTTTACCCAAAACCTCGTCGTATAGCATACGAGGTGTGTTCAAAAAATATCGTGAATTTTGAATTTTCGCGGGTTACGTATAATCGAATTTCGATTTTTTTGTGACATTATGTTGGTACTCATGTCTGTCACTTATGCTGACGAGCTGCTTTGCTTGCACGTGTTTTGGATGGTCTTCGATTTTTACCTATTCAAAAAAATGGCCTAAAGAACCTGTATAAAATTTTGTGTGAAAAACGGAATTAAGTGCGCGGATGCATTCCGAATGTTGACTGTGGCATACGGAGAAGCTACCTTGGACCGAAGCAACGTTTATCGGTGGTACAAAATGTTCTCAGAAGGCCGAGAAGATGTGAACGACCGAGCACTTCAACAACAGACGAAAAAATTAATTGCAGGGGCGTGGTGCTTCATGAGTTCCTGCCACAGGATAGAACGGTCAATAACGAATATTATCTGCAAGTTATGCGCAATTTGCGCAAAGCAATCCGCCAGAAACGCCCGGATTTGTGGAAGAACAAAAATTGGCTTTTGCACCACGATAACGCCCCTGCTCACACATCGTTGCTTGTGCGCGACTTTTTGGCCAAAAACAACACACTAATGTTGCCGCAGCCACCGTATTCTCCAGATCTGGCCCCCTGTGACTTTTTCTTGTTCCCTAAACTGACCTTTCATGGGGCCCCGAAAGGACGACGTTACGCTACGATTGACGAGATAAAGGCGGCATCGAAGGAGGAGCTGAACAAGATAAAAAAGAATGATTTTTTGAAATGCTTCGTAGATTGGAAAAATCGTTGGCACAAGTGTATAAATATCTCATGGGAATTACTTTGAAGGGGACAAAATAGATATTCATGAATAAATAAATAATTTTTGAAAAAAAACACAAAATTCTCGATATTTTTTGAACACATCTTGTATGTATTAAAGTTGTCCGACCTGGATCTCAAAAAATGTGAGGCTAGTTTGCGTACAAACAGTCGGACAAACGGATATGGCTAAATAAACACAGCTCGTCATTCTGAACTGATCGGTATAAAATTTGATAGGTATCTCTAATTCCATTTCACAAATATTAATCATTTTACATAAATACATTAGAGATATAAAGTAATATTTGTGTTTTTTCTTACCCAAACCAGATTTAAAAATGGTAAAAAGAATGAGAAACTATACGAGAACATCATTATATTGGATTTGATGAAGGAGCAGGCTTTCCAATTGGTATGTTGACGAAATGATCGTATTGCAACTTTTACTGGAGTTTCTTTCAAATGCACTTTGGCTAACCATTGAAGAAATATTTGATGTTGTAATTGAATAAAACCTTCTCGGTAATATAAGTCATCTTGCTCGTTATTTTTATTTTCTACATGCGATACCAGCATGCCACTACAGCGCGTTGTCCATAGTTCCATGCCTTCATGTTCAGTTTTTAGTGTTCGAAACTCACTGGGAAAGCGTAAGTAAACTTCTAGAAGAGTATTATTTACGGAGTTCAGCTGTACGGCAGCTAAAGTTGTATTTTCATCGAATTTGTTCATCATTTCGCTTTCAGTTTTAAATGGTTCTGCTTCCGTTAGTCCCAATTTTTTTATTACTTCTCCCATTATATTGCTAACAGTCGCATCCTCTGGCGTATATAAAAGATTTGTTGGAACTGGTTTTCCATCTGCTTCCAATAAAGCTCTTAAAAACATGAATATGCACAATAAATAAGCGACATTTCACATAACAAAAAGGTCGGTCCAAATTTACCTCAAATCATTTAAAGTATTCAATTCTCTTTCATCGTAGATCGCAATTCTTTCAAGATCTTCATCGGTCAAATCTTTAATGACCCTTGGAGTTGTGGGAAATAGTACGGCGAGTAAATAAAAAATTATTATAATAACTATTTCTGCAAGAGTTTTCTTTACGGAGCGAACTTCGAATTTTAAGCTTTTACCGATTACAGTTTTGATGGCGGCAAACATTGCAGTCGACTTGTTTTACCTGAAAAATATATCTACAGGAAAACAATTAATTTCACTTAAAGGCATATATGTATGTACATGTGTCTATATGTATATATATATGTATATGGGTATTTCTATTATTATATATAAAATATAATGCTATAGGCACTGTGAGGAAGAGCATCAAAAATGAAAGGAAATCGGCGGATGAGACGCTCGAGATTCATACATGTGTATGTGCGCGACTGCTTGGAACAGGGGCGGAGCTGACCAGCGATTTTCGGTCGAGATCTTGGTAGAATTTGTGGTGAGAATTTTGATGTTTTTCCAAGAAAGGGAGGGATCTATTCTTTGCCGCCTCCGAACGGCTGGTGTTTTCTTTATGAGGAGCCTTATTTTATAACCAAAATATACTCGGAGGGCTTGACATTTCCTGATGGGAGCGAACGCAATTAGAAAAAATAATTTTCTATAACTTTGGATGCTGGTCGAGACTGGACTTGAGCTCTGGCCATCAGCCAGTAGATTAAGAAATCAAATTTGTTTCAGATTCAATTTAGACCCCAGTGAACTGCCCACCGCAGAGTTTTTCCAAGAAAAACACATTACCGAAATGTGTACATTTTGTAATATTATTGCAAATCATTATAGGTGTACTTCTTTCCTTCCGTAGAAAAATTGTTGTTGTTTTATTTTGCATTTACAGTGGGATTACCTCTTAATAGAAATGTCGTCGGTTTTAAACCGCCTTTCATTGGATTCACCCCACTATATTTAAACTTTGTAAGCCCGAAAAAGTAATGAGGCTGTGTAATCTGCCGCTGATCAACAGTGAAAGCTCCGTCAGAATTATGAGTGCTCCTCGAGCCGTTCGATACGAAACAAAGTTTCAACCGATGTGGATCTCTATCTCATGACTTTTTTCATGTAATACCAGAAAATATAATACGAGCTGCAGGGCTAAATAGGGGTATTCTTTGCCTTAACAACCGAACCGTTGTTATGCTCTCCAAACTGGATTGGGAAACGAAGTGGCTTTTTATGAGCGAGGGCAGGACGAATTTCCCTGTCATCAGACAATCAGTCAGAGAATTCGCGTCTTCGCTCCTAAGTGGCTGTTGACAGAATCCAGCCTCAAACCAACAGTAATGTCAACCTAGAAATCAAATGAAGAATCAATTTTGACAGCAGGTGCTACTTTGGCCTTAGTAGTCATTTGAGAGAAAATATCAAACTCTACAAGTTTGCTGCCTAAACTCTTAGTTTGTAGAGGAGAGAACGACGCTATTTGATGCGCTGTTCTCTTCGTCGTCGCCATCTTCTCATCAAACTAAGGTTTTCGGCAACAAAATTTGACTTTGTAAACTCAGTCAAAACGATATATTTTTATGTATATATATATATATATGCTTAAGCTTAAATTGGTATGTAAATTAAAAAAACTGCACTCTATGCATTCAAATGCGCTCAAAACAATTATCAAACACATATGTATATGAGTTCCTAAAAGTTCCAGTTAGGTGAATAAATTTAATCATGAAAAGAATTTAAATACAACCCTGTAACAGCTGTTTTCTTTTATGTCGAACCAAGGCGAATTTTTTACATATTTTTTGCCTTTTATAATAACCTAGATATCTTTATGCGGTAAATAATTTTTATAAATTTACGCAACGAAAGTGGTACGGTTTGAGAATTAAATATCGTGTTTTAAGCAGATGGCCACAGCAAATAAATTAGGCAAAGGCCTGCAAAGACTTTTCGTAGGAAATCTACCGTGGACGGTAACTGAAGATGTTTAAATGTTCTGAAATTTAATGGTGCAATTATTTGTAAATACAGGTCGGCCATCAGGAATTGCGTGGATATTTCAAAGAGTTTGGTCGTGTAGTCTCCGCAAATGTGATTTTTGATAAGAAGACGGGTTGTTCGCGTGGGTACGGTTTTATTGTATTCAATGACATTACACCGCTAGAGAAGATTGAAGGCGAACAAAAGCACGTGCTTGAGGGCAATTATTTAAACATACAAAAATCCTAAAACGTTTATTCCAAAACTTTTAATATATCCGATATATTGATATCTAATATATCGTATCCCATCCCGGAAAAGAGAACTTGGCAGCAAATTAGCAAAAATTAATAGATAATGGCATCATCTGATTTTTCGGATAGTGACATGGATACCGATCCTCTCGACGAAGTATTCTCCGAAGCAGCAGAACATTTGCAAAAAATTCACAACACGCTCGACGCCACAGACCTTCTGGAAATTTACGGTTTATATAAACAAGCAACTTGTGGTCGATGTAATACACCAAAACCAGGCGTTTTTAATATTCAAAGTCGCAGCAAGTGGTGTGCATGGAATGATTTGGGTGATATGTCTGCCACGGATGCTAAGCTCCAATATATTGAAAAGGTTAAAAAAATCGATATTAATTGGCTACCAAAACATCAAATAGCCGATAAGCAAAAGAGTGGATCTGGCTGGGTAGTACATTCCATTCCACAAAGAAATGAAGAAACTGATAAGAAAGAAGAGCATGAAAAGAATGTATTTGATTATATAAAAGAAGGCAATTTTAATGAGCTCCAAAAAAATCTTACATTGGAAGTTATGGAGCTTCTGGACGAACATGGTATGGGACTTATACATTGGGCCACCGATCGTAATTCTGTTGAAATATTAAAATATCTAATTGAAAATGGTGTAGATGTTAATTTCCGCGACTCAGAGCAGCAAACAGCTTTACATTATGCTGCCAGCTGTGGTCATATGGAATGCATACGAGTTTTACTAGAAGCAAATGCCGATCCTTTCATCAAAGATGTTGATGGGCAGTCATCCCTTGATGTAGCCGATAATAAAGACGTGTATGAATTGCTTAAACCTGTTGCTAGTACATAAAATTTTTTATAATTTCGCTTACCAACAACTGCTAATAATGCTAAAATAAGTTCTCTTTGTAAAATTTGAAATAATTTATCGGTATATTTAAAAGAAATAAAATTTTCTTATTATGAATGAAAGCAAATTTTTTACTTCTATATTGACTTAAAACTGAACGAATTAAAAGCTATTTTGTGTGTGTCTATATCAAATACAATGTCACAGAAATGGAATTCCAGCAAGCACGATAAGAAATTTATTAAGTTCAAGTAACTCCGAAAGTTAACGATTGTTTATGTCCTTCCTTTATAGCATTTCTAATAGCTTTGTTTTTAATTATAACGTGCATATTGCTTCTTAATCAAATTTTTAGAATTATTTATTAAATACTTCCATTACATAAATGACTTATCAGATTTTATTTAATTAAAAAATCGAAATTTCATAAACAAAATTTTATGACTATAGGTAAGATTTATTTCCATAGCTTTTTAATGGACATATTTTTCTCGGAATCTTTTTGCATAACCTTTGCAACGGCCATTTCAAAGTCCTCTTGAGTAACATGCACTCGTCGCTCACGCAAAGCATACATGCCGGCTTCAGTGCACACGCCTTTTACTTCAGCACCCGATGCTCCAGGCATCAATTCTGCTATTTTCCTCAAGTTTATACCTCTAGTTAAGTTCATTTTCCTAGAATGAATCTTCAAAATATCCAAGCGTGCTTCTTCGTTTGGTGGAGGGAATTCAATTTTACGATCGATACGGCCGGGTCGAAGAAGTGCCGGATCGAGGATATCAATACGATTTGTTGCCATAATAACTTTTATGTTCTTTGTAGCTTCGAAACCGTCCAACTGGTTAAGTAATTCCAACATGGTACGCTGCACTTCAGAGTCGCCGCCTGACCCAGATTCTATACGTGACGAACCAATGGAATCGATTTCGTCCATGAAAATAATGGAAGGCGCATGCTCACGTGCCATTACGAACAATTCGCGCACCATTCGAGAACCTTCGCCAATGAATTTTTGTACCAATTCCGACCCAGACACACGAATAAAAGTGCATTCTGTATGATGAGCAACTGCACGTGCCAATAATGTTTTTCCCGTTCCTGGTGGTCCATAGAGGAGGACACCTTTTGGTTGAGCTATACCTAAAGCATCGAATAACTCTGGATGCTTGACTGGCAATTCAATAACTTCCTTAATTTCTTTGATTTGTTTATCTAAGCCACCAACCATTTCATAGGTGGAGTCGGGCACCTTTTCAACCATCATAAGTGAAACCAAAGGATCAACTTTATTGGGCAAAATCTTGTGCAGTGTGTAACTTTCATTGCGTAAAGCTACACGGCAGTTGGGGGTAACATCATTGATGTCAATATTTTTGTCAATATCAACGACAAATTTTCCTTCTGGATGCACTTTTACAAGTACCTTCTTTTTGTCCATAGGCTTGACGACTTCACCGACATAACTGCCTTGTTCTTGCAAAAGCTGCAATTCTTCACGGAGCATTCGAACTAAAAAAGTTTAATAGAAAATGCATGTATTATTATAATTTTCATTCATAAAAATTTGCGAATACCTTTAGCGTTTAGCTCATTACGTTGGGCCTGCAGACGTCGTAAATTCTGGCTTTTTTCAGCCACAATTAATTGCAATTCTTCAATCTTCTGAATGTAGTAAGAACGGAAGCCCTCACCCTTCAGAGCAGCGTCGATTTCCATCTAATAATTTAAAAAAATTAAAATAATATATATAACTCCTTTAAAGTCACTTACCCGATTTGTGACGGTCATCGTAGAATATTTCTTATTTTTCTTAAATTAAGCAAATATTTCTTGGCTGTAAGATTATTGTTTTCCGACAAATGACTATGCAAAAGCTTCGATTGTTAAAAATGTCAATGAAAATTTCTCATTCCAAGTACGCAGGGCTGCATTTGAGATAAGTATGTTCAGTGATTAAAAAATCATATCAACTTGGACCGATATTTACCAATTCTCTGATTGTAAGTTCTCTGGTTATCGATAAATATTATCTTTTGACAGGAATACCACTAAAACATAATCAAAAAATAAAAATGATAAAATACACAAACTAACGAAAAAACCAAAGAACGTATATTATTGTAATAGATATTATTTGGTTTAGTTTGGATCTCGGCATTGAAAACGTCGGTGCGAAGTGAAGCGGAGAGTGGTAGAATTCCAAAGTACTTGTTATTCATTGAGTTATAAATTAACGTTGAATAAACCCTTTCAAAGAACGTATATTATTTAGTTAACTCTATACAATGAAGAAACTGTACAATAAATTTTGGGAAATCTTCAAGCTTGTGTATGAAAAATCGAAACAAAATTTTCTTTCGACAGTAATATCAAATGCAACTCTGTATAATATTCACAATAAATTCTGAAATGTCAGTTGTACTAAAATGGTTTTAAAAACCATATTCCTCTCTTCTCTTTCTTACCAACACATATGCATTTTATAACTGTCATTATATATTGACAACCAAAAGTTGATAATTCTCCGACAAAAACGCTACATTTGTTAAATTTCTGCCGAATCGTTCGTGTCTCTTAGTTTTTGTGGAATAGGAGAATTGTTTAAAATTATTATTACGGTTCAAGAAATTTCATTAAATTTGAAATAATTGTGGCTACAAATTTATACATTTTACAAAAAACTTCAATTGCATAAAACGTCGCGAACGTGAGGCAAGGGCAACGTAAATTGAACGCGCATCTAAGGAAAAGCTAATGCTTGGGGGATAATTTTCTCGATTTTCCACATTTGTGTCGAATACATACATACACATATTTTTCAAGAAAAGTGTTGTGGGTGCGGTAAAGTTTACGCAAATTCCATATATTAAGAAAATATATTTAAAATTAAATTTACAAATCGTGCTTATTGCTCCAAAGAAAAACTGACTCCTACGTTTGTTTGTTTATATGTTGCAATAAAAAACTTTTACAAACAAACCATTTCTGAAGGGGTGTGTGTGTGTATATTTAGCATTTGTAAATACGCCAGTAAAGTGAAGTGAAAATTAAAAAGTTTATTTGTTCAGGTAAGTTATTAGATCGATAAGACAACAACAAAAATATTTGTAGGTATATATGCACACGCAAATGTATGTTTGTGCAATATTTTCATTTGTGCCAAAACTTTTTGATGTCCTAGTATTATTTGGGCTGAAATCAAAAGGATAAAACTTCACTACACTTCGATCACAACGAAGCATTCTTTTTTTTTTATAGAAAAAAGGAGTATGCCTTAGGTAAATAATAGGTGGAAAACATGTACGTTTCTAGCATTAAAATGTCAATTTTGATAAAATTGAAATCGATGGGAATATTTAAAAAAAAAAATAAATTTTTTAAAATAAATTATTTAAATTAAAATACTCAAAGCCCACTCCTTTGACAGTGCCGTTAATATTTTAGCAAAAAAAATGCATATGAATATTCTTAAATTCCTTGCGGGACTTTGAGGAGGCCGAAATTGTGATAAAAGGAAAACCTCAAAAATTCGCAAACATCGTACGTTTTGGTTAGGTACTTTTTTTTAATATATGTATGTACAAACATATATGTACGAGGGGCGGCTGATAAGTTTGCAACCTAAAGTACATAATGTTAATAGTTTTATAATTGATTTTGCGGCCATGCTATTTAACAATTTTTTGTTATAAGTATTAAGTAAACTAATGAATTGAATATTTTGGTATACAACAAAGAAAAATGGTAGAAGTGACAGCTGTTTCGGAGATCACCACATCTCCTCATCAGACTTCTTGTAGCATTTTTATTTTTTTTCAATATAGTATTCCTCAAGTGAAATACACTTTCAATATAGAACTTTCCGGAGCTGAAAATCTTAGAATCAACAAATTAGCGTAATACTGGTCGTTCATTGTAGTTCCTTTTGGCAAGTAATCAATTAATAATATTCCCTCGTTTTCCCTGAAAATCGTAGCCATACTCTTTAACGCCGACTTTTCCACTCTGAATTTTCTTTAGTGTCCCTTTTTATCTAGTGCACTCCTGTTTGGACACGATGACAGCTCTTCAAAAATTTCTTCAGGCGTAGAAGATATTTAAACACAACGCTCTGCTCCATATTGCGGGATTTTCAATTTTCCGTTGTGGTTGCTTGTTCCAGGAACGAAATGTTAATGAACTTGTGAAGTTGTGTTATTTATACTAATAATGAGTCTGGCATATAGTATTATTAGTAACGAGATTATTTGTCATTTCTAACTACCTCAGGTCACGAAATAATCAGCCGCCCCTCTTCTCCTTCTGGCACTTGCATACTTCGGACTACAGTTAATATACCATTTTGTGTGCATGAAATTAGTTAGATATTATTATGGGCTCCAGATCAAGTAGCCGAAATTAAATTAATATTTTTTTCTGAAAAGGAAGGTGTTATTATCGATATTATTGAGGTTATATCCGTAGAAGGAAGTTGTTGAGTGCGTTTATATTGCAATTATAAATAAGTAGACCATATTATATGTATGTCCACATGTATGTTTGTACAAATATTTTTAATATACGTCATCGATGCTGATAACGGCTTGTGTTGGTCAAAGTTGTTTTTGTTCTCAATTTACAAAAACATTTGCTTTTATTAGGTTTATATATTTTTTACTTACTTACATGTGGTATGTTTACACACACAATACATACATATGCATTGTACATAACTATAATATTTTAGTAAGTATGAACAAGTGCACTTACCTATGTACATATGTACATATATATGCTTATGGGTATATACAGCCGTAACATACAACAGACAATGATAATAAAATGCATTATGTAGATAAGTGAGACGCCCCCATTTTTGAAACAAATATGTGAATATATATACATCCATACATACATATGTACGTACATACATAGAATATGTACAAATATTTTATTTATTTACGCTTATTTGACGAGTTATCATAAAACCAGTATGTGTATGTACATACATATGTACATACATATCTAATACTTATATATGTACAAATGTACACTTGTATGTTCATATGTATATAGGTGGTTATTTTACGGTAGTTATAATAGTTTAGTAGCTGCTTTTCAATTCAGTCGTCAAACTAACTCATAGTCAATAGCCTAGCAGTGTATATTCTTCAAATATCAGAGAAAAACATAAACTTTCCTTTGTGGTGGAAAACTTAATTTTTGTAATTGGAAATTTACCACAGATTTTCTTGTGTAAGTTTTTCACTATATCAATTGTATATATGTATTAGTTTAAATAATTTAAAATGGTTTAAATTAATGATATGAAATATTTTCGACATTTTTTTTTTTTGTTAAAACTAAAAGTGGCCGCTATTTGGCATGTGTACATTTAATTAATAATACCTACATTTAGATAATTTCTTATATCGTTTCGATCGTATTTTTTATAGCAACGTACTCCAATGGCCGATTTCGATAAGTAATAATAATTCAAAGGCTCAGTTAAAAGTTATAAAAAAAATCGTTTTGTTTTTTTTTATTATATATCATTTTATTATATTTTATTTTATTACATTTTGCTTAATATCATTTAATTGTTTCTTTGCCTTATTTAATTTAGTTTAATTCCATATTATTTCATTTAATTTTTTATCAATTTTTTCTATTATTTAGCTTGTTTTATTTTATTTTATTTTTCATTTTTTCATTAATTTAACTTACTTTAATTTTGTTTTTATTTTAGTTTGTTTTTTTTTTATACTTTTTTCCACTTTCCATTTTATTTTATTTGATTTTACTTCATTCTTTTTCTAACTTTCATTTTGTTTTACATATTTTGTCTCGTGTTATTTTAGTATTAATTTTATTTTACTTATAATTTAATTAATTTTTTTTAATAGTTTTTTTTTTTAAATTTAATTTAATTTTATTTCATTTAATTTTACTTTATTTTATTCCATTCTATTTATTATTTTTTGTTTAATTTTTTTAAATTTTATTTCGTTTTATTTTATTTTACTTCTTTTTTGATTGTGTATCATATAATTATTTTATTTTTAATTTTTTTTTAATTTAATTTAATTTTTGTTTTATTTAGTTCTATATCGTTTTATTTTTTTCTATTTTTCATTTTAATTTATTTATTCTTTTTTTTTAGTTTTATTTTTTATACTTAATTTAATTTCATTTTAATAAATTTTGTTATTATTTCTCAAAGAACAGCTGAAAGACCAACTTCGAAAAAAGTATTGTCTAAAAAACACCCTTTATTTCAAATATGAGAGAATTCTAAAAGAGATACACTATTCAAGCAATAAGCTCTCAACATTAAACATCGGATCACTGTCCTCGATCCCAAGGTACAATATACAGATTTATCATTCTTCAAATCCTTGATACGATCCCGGATTTATTTGATTTAGAACCTTCATGTATTTTGTTTTTTTCTTAAGTAATATCAAAACGATAGCGGTAGCCGAGTGGTTAGCATTGCGTCGGGTACAAATTCTCGTGTCGTACTAACAACCAAAATTTTATAGAAAATTAATTTAAATAATAAATTAAGCTAAACTTTCTAATTGCGGTCGCCTCTCAGCGGGGAATGTCAACCCCTCCGAGTGTATTTCTTGCATGAAACAAAGCTCCTCGTAAAAAAACCATAAGCCGTTCGTAGGTGGCTTAATATAAACTGTAGGTCCCTCCATTTGTTGGAAAAACATCAAGGCGCACAATCACAAATTGGAGGAGGAGCTCTAAACTTTGCTCTTTTTATTTCGAACACATCTCTTATATGTTTATTTGTTTGTTTTATTTTTGTATTTTTTTTTGTTGAAAAATATTGTATGTGACAGTTCTTAGCCGAACAAAAAATTCGGGTCGTTATGCCGGAACGACCCGAGTGTAGCCGTATGTCCAACCCAGCTTAGAAGCAGCCACGACCAGTCTAAGTCATTGAGATTATCCAACAGGAGGTGCAGAACACCAGCTGTTTCGATTGGTCCGGATTAGAGGGAAAAGGGGTTAGATGAGTCGGTTTTAAGTGGCATAAAAAGAGGTGTTTATTCTCGGGCGGGTCTCATTACATGCAGGGCATGCCATGAGTATGTCGGCGTCAAGTCTGAATAGGTAGAAATTTAGTCCAGATTTAAATTGTACCACTGGGCACTCGAGGCAGCTCAAGCTTTCCGCCTGCAGTGAGTGGTGGTTGTTGTCGGTTAATGGCGTTTTGAAACCTGTCTGTTATCCATGCTGTAACGCGGTTCTTGTAAGTGGAGTTGATGTAAGAGAGTAACGATGATGGCAGCGAATGGTGATTGACTGCATTCATTCGATTCATGCGCATGCCTTCTGCACCTTTTCTAGCCCACTGTGCGTGTAATCCGTGCTTTCACATTGCCAATTCAGACTATCTACAAATAAAACAAAAAAAAAAAGATTAGAGATGGTTGAGCTCATTTCTTAATTTACATTGGAAAAGTAGTTATAAGCTATTTACACAATTAAAAATTCCGTTCGTGATTCCTACAATTCTCGCTACGAGTTCAAACTGTTGTGATTAGTGTGACCACGAGTGATCTTGAATGATTGTCAAAGTAGTGTTTGTTAAATACGTGGCTCGCTCATGGATGGCTAAGCTACAACACAAATAGACATAAATACATACATACATACATACATAAAAAGCTACATATCTACAAACTTCTTGTAGCTTTTCAATATTTTCTTTCTTGCACGTAAGGTGTCGCCAGCTCGCACTAGAGTGAAAAAACGTGGTGAACGTGCTGTCATTATAACAATTGTAACAAACAACAACAACCTATGCAGATATGTATGTGTTCCGTGGTTGAACAAATATATTATATTTAAGCTGATTTTCGTTTGACTTTGATAAATTGATTTACCTGCTGTTAATTCTAATCACCATTTTTTATAATTTTCATACATACATACATGCATACATACATATATTATGTAGATATATTTATGAAATAGGCTGTAAATTAAAAACAAATATCTTGAAAATCTTTAACCATGACATTACTTTTGTTGCAGATTGGACTCCTGAATAACAATTCTCCATCGTAGCCTGAGTCAACAGCTGAATTTATTTTTTAAACGTGTTAATTCATTCCAAATATACATATGTTTATGTATATATATCTATATATTGCTATTTGAAGTTTCTTTAAATTGCTTGTGCGGATTACTTTTCAAGTTTATACACAAAACTATCGGCAAACTTAGGCCTACACACACCCACGCACACGTACAGTGTATGCTATATTAAATCTAAAGTACTCAATAGATAAAAAAAAATCGCATATATTTTACAAGCAAAAGTCAAATACACATTCCGATTTCGACGACTTAATAACAAAAAAAAAAACGTGTTTTAAAAAAGAAGATAATTTTGGAAAATGTTTAGTCCTGATTATGAGAAACGCATATTAAAACATTGCAGTCCAGTCGCTCGAAATCTTTTCAACTCATTTGAAGCAGCCTCAACATCAACATCGCTCGATCGATTTATACCTTGCAGGTGAGTTTTTGATTAAAAAAAAACTTTGATATGCAATACATAAAATACCTATGTATATACATATGTATATGTGTTGAGTTTTCCTGCTGCCGAATTTAGGTAGTTTTTTATTTTATTCTATTTCACTTTATTTTATTATATTTTAAACTTTTATTTTATATTTTTAATTTAATTCTAATTAACTGTATTAGCATTTAATTTAATTAAACTTTTTACTTAATTTTAATCATTTTTGTTTTTGTTTTATAATATTTAATTTAATTTATTTATTTCATATATTTTTTTTACTCATTTTGTACTCTTTTTTTGTTATTTGTTGTTTTATATTGCTTTATATTTTAAATTGTATTTTATCTTATTCTTAATAATTATTATTGAATTCTCTTTCGCTTATATTTATTTTATATTAATTTATTTTGTTTCCTTTTGGTTTTTATTTAATTTTTGGTTAATTTCATTCAATTTTATTAAATTTTATTTTTTATTTTATTTATTTATATTAATTAAAATTTTTTTCATTAATTTAATTTAATTTAGATTTTCATTGTATTATATGAAGTTTTTATTTTATTATTTTTTCTTTTTTTGTTATACATATATTTTTTAAAATCATTTTGTTTTATTTTTAGTTATTTTCATTAAATCGAATAAATTTTATTTTTATTTTATACTATTTAATTTTTTTATTTTATAATATTTAATTTAATCTATTTTCACCAATTAATTTTTATATATTTGTATGTATTTTATTATCTTATATTTTCATATTATGTTATGTTATTATTATTTTTTATTTATTTTTTTAAATTAAATTAATTTTATTTTATTTTCTTTTTATGTTATTCCGTTTTAAAATTTTATAGCATTTGATTTTTATTTGTGTTTTTTTTTTAATTTAATTTAATTTAATTTATATTGTCTTACTTAATTTAACTCATATTTTCTTAATCTCTTATATTATTCTATTTTTAATATTGTTGACCTTTTTTAATTGTTTTATAATTATTTTATTTTACGTTAATTTGCTTTATACTTAATTGATTTAGGTAATTTTTATTTTTTTATTTCGTTTTCTTTTTTTAATTTAATGTTATTTTCATAATGTTATTAATTTTGTTTTATTTTATTAGTATTAATTTGGTTTTTTTATTATATCTCCTTTAAATAAAATATATCATATTTTATTTTGTTAAAATATTTGATATTCTTTATTTTATGTAATCTTTGATATGGCCGAATACGGGCCTTTATTTTTGTATTAAGTTCATTTTAATTTACAATATTTTATTTAAATTTTTTACTATTTTGTATATTGATTTTATTTCCTAATTAACATTTATTTGTCTCACATTAAGGAAATGGATTTTTAGAAATTTGCATTATAATTACTATACTTTATTTAATCTATTTTTTATATTGATCTATTGTTATTATTATTATTTTAATTTTAATATATTTGAAATTATTTAATTTAGTTTAATATTGCTTTTTTTGTTATTTTACTATTTATTACTATTAGTTATATATTATATAATATTATTATTTTTTATTTGATTATAAATTTTTCACCTTATTTAATTCTTTTACATAATATTTTTCGATTAAATTAATTTTGTTTTATTAACATTTTATTTATATTTTCCAATTTTTACTCGTATGCCTAAAATTTTAGTGGCTTGGCAACCGAAATGAAGCTCTCTAAATCAAAGAGAAAATATTTCAAAATATTCAGTCGAGATTCATTTAAAAAACCTGACCAATTTCGGGTTATTTTGGTCTTAAAATCTTTCTTTGGATTTCATGAGTTGTGTTATTTTATATATAAATATATATATAATTTATTTATTTATTTTTTATTATAGTAGGAGGGAAGAGAACGTTGACATTACTTAATATTATTGTGATAATTACATACATATGTATGTACATATAAATATATAAATTCATCTATCTTTCTATTCTTTTCAAAGTTAGTTGTTGTAGCTTTATGAACTGGCACAACAGCGCCAAGGTCAACGATCTCGAAGAGAGTCTCTCCAAAGAGTAACCACAATAAAGTGTTCAACAATTTGATTTTCCCCGTTTACGATTTTCATTTTCTACTTTTCTGTGCTACATACCAGAACCGATAGTACATGTGGTGTATGTGTGTGTGTGTGTGTGTGTGCGTGTTTGTTTGTATATGTGTGTAACCATCTATAAATTTGTAGTGCAGTAAATAAAACCATATGGAATACGGTGGTGTCTTAACAAGGCTTACCGGTTCGTTGAGCACATCTACATTTTCCACTTTTTTCACATGGAACATAATGTTGCTGACCGAGCGAATTTAACTGTTTTCATCATTAACCACAGACTGAGTGCTTTGACTGACGGCTATGAAGAAATTTAACTGCTAACTGCTTTTACACGTATACAATTACAACATTTTACACACACACACACACATACATTCACCTGTTTGGCTGCAAGCAGGAAATTCTACGCTTCAACGCTTTACCCGGAAGTTTTCGAGTTGCTCAATATGACGGTCAGCAAAGAATAAATATGCAAGCACGATTGTGATTTTTTACTTTATTGCCTTTTGGTAAATAAAAATTACTAATTAAAAACTATTAGTGATTGCCAATGGCTTTGGTTTGTCAGTCAGTCAGTCTCTATGTGAAACTTTTGCTTTAGTCTGTGTCTCCACTTCAGCCTTGTGTAACTCCAGATAGTCTCGTTTTTGGGGAAACTATAATCGATTAAAAGCTTCAAAGTTTGTTTTGCAACGAGCAAAAGATTAGTCAGATCTCGACCAAAAAAAGGCTTATACATATGAAGATAGCAGGCATAAAAATCAAATCACGAAAGGTATAAAATCGTCACCATGGCCGAAAGTAGCGCTCTTTTCAGCTTTCGATCCCCAGTCAACACACTAACAATCACTTCACTATTGACTGAGTTTTCTGAAGAAATCTCAGGTAATGCCGATACTTAGTGGAGTAGTTATACATTTCATGCTTAAATTTTCGCTTAAAAAATACGAATTGATTTCAAAACGATATAAATCTATGGGGCAGAAAATTGTTCGATATTTCTATGGTAAAAATTCCTTTAGACACTTGAATTTAGCTGATAACAAACGACAGATCCCACTAAAACTCAACGTCAGTAGGAATAATAGTTCTGTGAACTTAGGGAGCCTCCGTAAAGCATGCAATATTTTACACATTTCGTTGCCTCTCGTTCCAAGGAAATGGAAAATTTTTTCGCGACGATTCTTGATTAAAAAAGAAACAACTCGTAGAAATGCTGAAAGCTTATCCCATGCAATCATTTTTAAAACTCTTCTCGATCTTCTGAACATGACTAAGGTCAAAGTATAATGAGTGTCGAGACTGCTCACGCCTCCACAAAAACAACAGCGATTATAGTGTGCATTTATGACCTCTTTAATGAAGAGAAGGTTAGTGTATTGAGTCGTTTTGTTACTGGAGACGAAATTTTAGTTCACCATTAGGGCTCAAAACACGACTCCATGTTGTGGCATAAAAAGATCACAGCACTTTCCAAAAAGTTTAAGGTGTCACAGTCAGCTGGGAAACTCGTGGCTATAGTCTTTTGGGACTCGGAAGATATTATAGATCGATTATAATGATAAAGGTGGAGAATACTACGCTTTAATATGAGAGCGAACATCGCAACTTAAAACTGTTTTGAGAGTTTTATTACAAGGTGGCTCCATTTCAATGACCCCCAGTGTATTCAATTAACTCTACTTCTAGGAGTAAAATAATATTTATGCAAGTAATGTAAACAATTAATATAAATATTAAAAATTCGCATAGAAATTCCTCGTGCATATGTCAGCAGCTAAGCACAGACTTCATTTGATGTGAATGTGACAAATATTTTAATTAAAATCAAATGCACACTACCTTGAGTAATTGCAAGGTAATTTCGAGTCAAACACTGCACAAATCCATTAGTTGTATAATATTTTAATATTTCATGCCAACATATGTACATAGATATTTATTGCCAACAAATGCTTAATTTTTGCAATAACATGCGAAACGTGCAAAATGCAGAACGTGAATAATGCGAGTTAAGCGAAGTGAAAAAAGAAGTTAAAACAAAAAAAAAGGTAAATACAGAGTAAAAAATGAATGCCAATGAAAATATTTGTATTAAACAATTTACTGCTGAGTCAAGATAATACAAATTTATAACTAAATAAAATATTTTCAATGCACTTTTATAACGAATATTATTTATGAGCCTTCAATGTGGAATTATATATGTATGTACATATGTGCATGTAGCTTTGAACACTTGCTCTGTATTTCTTCAAATCACAGACTAAGTATTCTAAGAACCTCATAATTTGCAATTTTAATACAAAATATATCGCGTTTTCACGCTGAACCAAGCACAGCGCGAACTGCACTCATGCAAACCTCTGCATGCTCAACGCTACATACATTTTTTCCTACACAATTTTTGTTTGGCACCTTCGAATTGAACATTTTTTTCGTAAATATTTTAAATTAAATCGTCAACTAATTGTAATGCGAGTCTTGTTCGGCTTAAGCTTATTTGATACATCGTACTTCCACCTGCAATAAATAATACCACAAAAAAAAAAAAATACATAAAGAAAATCGGTAAAATGTTTGGTTTGGTTGAAAGAAAGCATGCGAATGTCTACATACAAAAACGCTTATTAGGTAACGCGTAGGGAAAGGTTGGAGTAGGCAGAGTTGTTGTATTGGAGTGCAATAATCACACCTGTGCGTGACGTCAAATTATTTGTATGTGTGTAAATTAAACAAAAAAAGGAGACAAAAATTAAATTATGCACACACATAAATTATTTGGCCCATTGAAAATTGTGAATGAGGAAATATTATTGACAAACTTAATGATATGAAGGAATACAAAGAAGTAATAATCAAAAATATATAAAATTATAAAAAAATATAAAAAAAATTCAATATTAATTAAAAAAAATTACAAAATAATGATTAAATTAATAAAAATTAAAAAAAAATTACAAAATAATGATTAAAATAATAAAAATTAAAAAAAAATAAAAGAATATAATAAAAACAATAAAAATATAAAATAAAAAATATAACAAAATAATAATAAAAAAAAAAAACAAAATAAAAAATAAGAAATAAAAAAAAATAATATAAATAATAAAAATTTAAATAATAAAAATATAAAATAATAAAAATATAAAATAATAAAAAAAACAACAAAATAATTAAAAAATAGCAAAATAATAATAAAAAATAAAAGAGAACAAAATAAGAAAAAATAATAATAAAAAAAAATAATAAAATTATAATAAAAAAAAATAATAAAATAATAATAAAAAAAATAATAAAATAATAACAAAAAAAAATATTAAAAAAATATTGAAAAGAGAAAATAGTAAAAAGAAAATAAAAACAGAATATCATTAAAAATAAAAGTAAAAATAGAAATAAAAAAGAATAAAAAAAATAAATGCAATAAATAATAATGTGTTGTGCGGAAGTAGGCTTCACCTTTTTCCAGTTACATGCATTTGCATTAAAAATTGGTGATTCACAATTCATTCGGTTTCGTATAAAATTATGTAAATATGTTTTTTTTTTGACGTAGTTTAGTAACATAACGGCATTTCGTAAACTTATTTCTTTTTTATCATTTCCTCAAACTAAATTAAATTTAATTTTTTGATCACTTCTACCATTTTTCTTTGTTGTATAACAAATATTCAATTCATACAAACCACCAAGCCTCGTAGTTTACTTAATACTTATAACAAAAAATTAATATTATTATATATATAGCATGGTCACAAAAAAAAAAAAAATTAAATTTATTTTATTTATTTATTAGCGGTACTCACAAGGTGTGTCTTGCTGTACCAACATATATATTGAAAATAGTGAATAATCTTAGATTTTTTTTTATATTAAAAATTGGAAAAAGAATAAATTACAATAACAAAAAAAACAATAATAACGAAGCACTAGCAACTAGGCCATCGACTTTTTATGTTATCATTACATTACATTTACATTAAATTTCAAAGTACAAAGTTGTTTTGATTATTTACTTAGGGAATATACGTGTATGTCTAAGCTCCCTTTTTAAAAATATCGTACCATTCATGCATTCCCAAATGCTTTAACAATTCTGCGAAAATCTCTATCACGAATACTCGAATGGTTTTTATGCTTGTTGTCCATTCATGCCAAGCAATTAAGTCTTTTTTTTTCTTTTTTTTTTTTGAAATATTGACTAAAACTATAAATCAGTCTTACCTGGTCGCAAATTAAATTTTTCAAACAAAATTAATTGTTTGGTGCGCTCTATGTGCAGAGGGAATTATTGGTACATATTTCTTCTAAAATGAAGCCGGCTACAATTGTTACAAAAAGTGTTCGAAAATTGGGCCTCTCGACGGGAATTTATGCGAGCCCGCGGTGGCGATCACTTGCACGAAATTTTAAAACAGAATGGTAAACCCTTAACTCAATAATAGAGCTAACATTAAATTAATCGCGTTTTATTTCTTCTCAGAAGCCACATGCCTAAAAAACAAACCTTACATATCAGATTTTTAAGTGACACAACCTATTTTCCGAATTTGTTTAATATTTAATAGTCCAAATATCTTGTATACATTTTGTTAAATTCGGTGAAATCGTTCTAATGTTATAAAGAAACACAAAAAACGGGCACTTATTATATAATATATATATATATTTTATTTTATATGAGATTGAAAAGTCCTATCTCCTTATTGTATTTTATTTTATGTTATTCAATTTGTTTTGTTTCGAGTGTCGTATAAAATTTGTGTTAATTTTTTTTTTTGTTGAAGTCAGGCAGCGTAAAAATGTTGAGAATTTCTTTTTCCAATTTGTTTATATTTACATTTTAATATTTTATTTCAAATTAAATGGAAATAAATTCATTTAATTTCTTTTGCTTTATTTATTTAAACATTTTCTCTCTCTCTCTCTCATTCAGGGCCAACAACAATTGGCAAACAAATTTCGCATCCATAAATAAATCGAATGAGAATTCACCGCAAACGAGTAAAAAGCAACGTGACTGTGGTGAATCCGCACGTGATAGCTTAGCATATTCCTGCCTATTAAAGAATGAGCTCTTAGGCACCGCCATCGAAGATGTTAAGTCGGTTAGTGACGAGCGTAATGAGAACACCTACACGCCAGCAGCGAAAAGAAGTCTATTTAAGTACCAATCACCAACCAAACAGGTGAGTTGAATGTCGTTGTCGTCGCTGCTGCTGCGACTATAGAAAGCGTCTGAGCTGAACGGCACGATAATGAATTAATTTTAGCTATAAAATATAAAATGCAATTAAAAGTATTTTATTCATAGACTTACATTTTATAATCTACTCAAATGCATGGCGTGTTGAGATATATATACATATACGAGTAAGGATAACTGCTTATTGTATTAGTTAAAGTGAATGTGAAGGCATTCACGTTTGTAATGACTGTTTAATATGGCATTAATGATATGTGACGTCGCATGTGAGTGTCTTAAATGAAGAGTCATGATATACTGCCAAAAGAAAATTAGACAAACTAATTCATTTCTTAGACTGTAAGAATTTTTCGCTTTCGCTTTATTGTTGCCTAATTTTGCCTTCGATTCAATTTCAATTTTATACACAAAATTTCTCCATCGATGAAAACTGATCGCGAATCGCCCATCAATGACTGAATATGTGAAAAAGAGAATGCAACTAAAAAAAAGTAAGTCTGAAGTTATTTAAGTAGTCTGCAAATCCAATTACAGAATAAAAATGAATTGAACTCATACAGCGTTGCAAATGCCATCAACGGAGCGATTTTAAATATAAATGCAGATGTATGTACATACAAAAATAGCATTGGTTATACTTTTTTCTTCAGTAAATGCTGCACAAATATTTTTTTTTTATTTGCATGTGAGCTGTGCTGCACCAGAAGGTATTATTTAATGAAAAATGCTAATGAGCCAGTCAATTATCCGATAGCTAAGAAGCCTCAAATAGTGCCAACATATGCCTGCCATTACTGAAAATAGTTCAATTACTTTAGAAGAATATCTCCTTTCTCCAATGCTTGTACATACTTTCTATTTCTTGTTTAAATTGCCTAATTTTTTTCTCAATCGACTCAAAAATAACGGTGTTACACTAAACAACTTCCAATGTATACTAACTTTTGTGATATTATATTCACTTTTATCACAGATTAAGCGAAACGTACCTAACGGTACTCTAAATTTGCAGTTGAATTCGTAAGCATATAAAAGCACCAACCAATAGTGAATTCTTAAAAAAAAAATATGTGATTAAATATTTAGAAAACGTGTTAATTTCAATCGTTTGTAAAGACATGGTTAGTGTATACTTACTTATGTGACTAAATGTATGTATATACGAGATGTGTTCAAAAGCAACCTGTGTCAAATTTTGTGTGAAAAACGAAATTAAGTGCGCGGATGCATTCCGAATGTTGACTGAGGCATAAGGAGAAGCTACCTTCGATCGAATCAACGTTTTTCGGTGGTACAAAATGTTCTCAGAAGGCCGAGAAGATGTGAACGACGAAGAGCGGGCCGAACGCCCGAGCACTTCAACAGCAGACGAAAAAATTAATAAAGTAGAGAAAATGGTATTGCCACAGGGTAAAAAGTTCAGTAAGGAATATTACCTGCAAGTTATGCGCAATTTGCGCGAAGCGATCCGCCAGAAACGCCCGGATTTGTGGAAGAACAAAAATTGGCTTTAGCACCACGATATCGCCCCTGCTCACGCATTGTTGCTTGTGCGCGACTTTTTGACCAAAAACAACACACTAATGATGCCGCAGCCACCGTATTCCCCAGATCTGGCCCCTGTGACTTTTTCCTGTTCCCTAAACTGAAGAGGCCCATGAAAGGACGACGTTACGCTACGATTGACGAGATAAAGGCGGCATCGAAGGAGGAGCTGAACAAGATAAAAAAGAATGATTTTTTGAAGTGCTTCGAATATTAGAAAAACCGTTGGCACAAGTGTATAAATATCTCATGGGGATTACTTTGAAGGGGACAAAATAGATATTCATGAATAAATAAGTAATTTTTGAAAAAAAGTCAAAATCGCGATATTTTTTGAACACTCCTCGTGCATATTAAGCAAGTCTGAGTTCATTCTGATTGTGTCACAGCATTATTCATACAAAATATTCACTTCCCTATATGACCCCAATTAAACAGATTAAAAAAATTCAATTAAACCCTGCCTATAAGTCTTCTTTCTTCCTATTTTTAATTATTTTAGTTAAATAAATTTTTTTTTTTGCATTTTTATGATAAATTTCTACCACTTGAACTGACACTCTACTGAAGTAGTTCCCATTTCTTTTATTATCTTAACTGTGAACCACTCTATTCACCTAAACACTTTTCTAGACAAACGTACAAACATACTTGTCATATATGTACATACATACATACGTGTATGTATGAGGTAGAAATGTAGATTTAGTGAAACCAGCATTAGCACTTCATTTTCATCATCATTATTTGCAACTTCTTTTGTTTGCATTTCTAACTTTGGCATTTAGGCATATATGTATGTATGTATGTACGTATGTATGTACGCTTTCTTATTTGACTTTTTATTATTAATTTTTAAGGTTCGTTTATTTAGACAATATTTACATTGAATAAGTGCTCGCCACTGTTGACACGTTGACGGTAGTGATGTGATGTCTTTGATGATTATGATGATGATGATGATGACGATGATGATATTGATGAGGATCATAATATAAAGTAGGCGGACAGACAGCGTGTTGAGACCTTTGACGGCAGCTCAAATTTGCCGCTGACATTAAATGCCGATTTGTTTTGAGTGGACGCGTATAATTTGCTCACGTTTTGTCATATTTGGTCTTCTTCTTGACTTCCTTTTTGTATTGTATTTTCAAAATGTTTTTATTTATTTTTTTCCACCTTCGTTATGTCATCTCTAGCATGTGCCAAAGTCATAACATTTACACGCCTTCATCGAATATTTGTTGTTGTTGTTGTTGTTTTTTTGTTTCGTTTGCAGCAATAAATGTTGTGATGTTGCGTTTGATAGCAGCAATCTTTCTTGGTTTTATACAAATATATGGAGTGTGTGAGATTTTATCTCGAACTACTAACAAAAATGGCTTCATGGTGTTGTTATGCACATATATACATATATAATATAAAGGGTGTTTTTACACATAAAGAATAAATTTCAGCCGAGAGCCCATATGTCAGCAATAAAGCGCGGAATATTCTCTTTACTCTTCCAAGAAGTTATTCATTTTGGGCTTATGTGCGCAAACAAGCGATAACCCCAACCCAAGAACTATTTCAGCGGAGTTGAATCGCACCATCTTGGAGGCCATGACACAGTCCAATAACTCGCTCACCCAAAAGTTTCCCCTTAATAAATAGATTGTTTCGTTTACTGTGTGGCAAATATCGCCATCTTGTTGGAATTAAAGGTCGTCCACATCAATATTCTCTAATTCAGATAGAAAAAAATCATTAACCTATACCGTTTCTAATTGACTGTTAAATTATATCCGGCTTAAATTTTGAAGAAATATGGAGCAATAATTTCCTCTGCCCATAAAGCACACCAAACATTGATTTTTTTCGGATTTACCAAGATTTTATTAATGGATTGGGTATTTTCATCACTCCAAAGGCGAAAGTTTTGATTATTAACGGTATCCATCCAACCAATAGTGAACTTCATCTCTGCACAAAAGTGTCTTGTGAAGTTCGAGATCAGTGGCTATTTCCTTTCGGGCGCATTAATCGAACGTTCGACGAGCTTTTGATGGTTCGTTTGGCTTCAATTCTTGTACGGAATACTTTGGTAAAATCTTTAATGATCTAGATGGCCACGGCTTCAATAGCGCTATGCGAGACACTCAGTCCTAACCATTTTTTTGGTATTAAATTTGTACGATTCGCAAGCGTTGTTCTGGAGTAAGTCTGTTCATTATGAAATGACGGTCGGGCTGAGTATAAATCAAGTAAGAGCTATCCAAAAGACCAACTCCGAAAAAAGTAGTTCTTGACTGAAAAGCAAAAGTACAAAAAAAACACCCTTTATATAAACATATGTAAATATATGTATCTCTCGTTGATTCTTTATGAATTATCTGTAGAACTCTGCCAGCTTTGGCAATTTTGGTTTTGTTTTTTTTTTTTTGTTGCTCATTTATTATTATTTACTGAGCGATAAACTTTGGCCGCTGATCTTTTACAATCACGTTCGTCTTTTAAATTATTTCATTCAATTATACTAAGTGAAATTTGTCACAGTCGTAATTCAATTTGTGTTTTAAGTCTCTTGTTGAAACAATTGAGGGAATTCGGCTTGTGCTGGTCTTTGATGCCTGGCATTTCAAGTAATAATAATTTGTGTGTGATTTTTGTAAAATTTTAATTTCAATGAAAAGAAAAACCCAAAAAACAAATATTGAATGAATTTTATTTATTAAAATTTTAAGCAGCAAATTGATGAAAATGCCTGACCCAGCTTTTTTTGCCTCGTGCTATTTAGTTGGCACTAATTTGGAGCACTAAAACAGCGCGGAGTGGAACTATTATCAGAAATACGACATACATACGTAATATATGTATATATTCCATACATATTGTAATTAAGAAAAATATTATTTACACACATTCTTTATCTATCAAGGCAAGCTCTCTAAAATAAGCGCAGTTTTTACTCAGCACTCGTAGTGGAATTGAGTGAAAAAGAAATAAGTGAGTGATCTATAGGAGTAACGCTGTGTCCTTACGTTAGAGTTATCAAACTATTCTCACAAGAATTATGACATATACATAAATTTAAAATTATCATTGGCAAAATCATCAGCATACCCCAGAAGCTGCATGCTCTTGGGGCTTTACACATCATATTAGTTTCTCCATCATCAAAATAAATAAGTCACACGATAAGAGTCACCCTGGCTGTAACCTTGTTATGTATGAAACGACTTGGAGAGATCCTTCCCGATTCTAGAGGAGCATTTGGTACTGTTCAGTCACTTTACGCAGCCGCTTAAGTTTAGAGGGATACTAATCAAACGTATGGGGAGCACTTTTTTGTGCTTTAAAATCATGGAATCATTCTCACAGAGAAGATTTACGTCACAATAATTCGCGCATGGCGCAGATTGTGTGGTCCTACACTTATCCGACCAAATATTACAA